GAAGCCAAGCACCTCCCGGAAATAGGTATATCAAGGATGATACAGAGGTCGACGACGGTCTCGGTGACGATGAGAGCGCAACTATCGGACGGACCATGGTTCCCGCCCCTCAAGTCGACGACGACAGTGAGATTTGTGTTCCCAAAATCTCGAGACGCCGACATCGGAAAGAGGTGCTATTAAATGACCTGGGGTACCGAATGAGCTGGAGTCAGAGCAGAGTATTCGCTGGACGGATGCTATTTCTTCAACGGTCTCGTAAGTAGTTAGACCTCGTCCCAGCCCAGTGGGCCCAAAGTATCTCTCGCTTCCTTTTCTCAATGGGATCGGCCAGGGTTCATGGTTTGATGGGTGGCTCAAAATATAATCATGCACGGGCTAAAATTTTCTCCTAGTGGATGCATATCGAAACAAAATGCGCAGCACTATGCTGGCCGCCGGTCAGGAGCCAGGATCCATTCCACCGCATTTTGAAACCCGCGCGGGAAAGCGACAATTCCTTGACCGTAGGAGAAAGACGAATGCTTCTTCCGTTCGCGAAGGCGGACATGGCGTTTCTGCGTCCCAGCGCGAGGCCGAAGAAGTCGAACCCTAGCGATGAGCGACTAGTTAATGATCTACTGTCCTTCTGCTTCGTTGCAATGATGTTCCTTTTCACATTATGATATTGTTTTGTCTTTTCTTTTCTTCTTCACCTTGCCCGACGAATACTCTCACAATTACGGCTGGTATGTATGATAAATAGACACGGCGACAGAATGTCGTGTGGCTGAAAGCGTGATGGTTTATGTTGGGATTTCAATGGAATTTGGATTGGTGTTAGGGTATTGGACGGAATAGTGACTCTTAACTACTTGACGATTTGATGCGGATGACTGATGATTACGAAGCCTGGGTTTAGGAATGGAAAAGAGAAGTGACTAGTATTTAGTCATGACTTAGGGTTTTGTTTGATATTTGACATGTGTACGTACGTGTTTTGGGTCACTGCTATGGAGGATAGCCCTTGGTATGGGCGCAAGGCACTCATCATTTCTCGATTTTTATTCCACACCCGCCTATTTCTCTGCTTACTCTGCTTACTCCGGGTTTGCTTTCTTCGCCTAATTCTTAAATCGACTTTTCCAGCCCAAAGACGAGTGTTGGACTATCCGCGGCCTCGGCATATATTCCTTCATCTGGGATTGTATTGTATTAATATCAATGTAGGAACTCCAGACGCCTGCGTCAGCACTAAGGCTGCAACATTCTCGCAATTTCAACCCGACTGAGACAACCTTCACATGTGAGGCCGCCGTCTCCAATAATTCTGAGACAGTGTCAACCGCTGCCCTCGAGATCCTCGTGCTAAGCTTTGAGATTCGAGAAGTGATAGGCGAGTTGTCTCAGCACCCAACCGAAACCGTCACATGCTGTCTCAGGCCAGACCAACATGGACCAACACGGGCGGCCAAGGAAATAAGACGCGTGTCTAATTAAGATTTAATTCTGAATCCATGCCTTGAGACTGGAATGCGGCCTCCACGTTTGCATCTGGTTACCGCCCGAAAGAGGATTAGCGTCTTCAGCGGTGCTAACAGCTGTGTTATTTTTAGCGGCCCTCGCCGTGGCACCCGATACGGTAATAAACGGGGTCCGCCGACTCTGGAGCCCCGATTCGAGAGGGTCTTACAGGGTCCGTACAGGGTCCTTACGCGGCCTTATGGTTGTCTGGGACACAGCCTCCACCAGAGCGTCGCCATCCACCATCAACACTCGACGAACTCAGTGAAGAGACTCATACCAGTGAGCGTCCAGTGTAAACTGATCGCCCGCATGCAGTAACCGGTCGCCCATCCCGTCCCCGAAGGATTCCTCTTCCTCTTCTTCCTCCCATCCAATTTCCTTCTCTCTCTTCTCTATCTATTTCCTCTCCATTCTCTTTTCTCTCTGCTCTTCCTTGAGTTTCTGGGCGCCCCTCTCGATCGTCCGTTAGCTTCTTGGTGCTCTGAGCCTTTAATTCTTCCGTCGTTCGCCGTTTGAGTCCTTTGTGTTTCACAAATATCAGCATACGTATTATTCCAATAGATTGCGACATCGTTTCTGTTCCTGGCCTGTTCCTGGGCCTTGCAAAACCCTCATCGCCCTCGGTCTCGCCTTTTGCCTTCGTAGATCCGTGGTTCCAGTCTCCCAGGTGGGTTTTCTGTGGTCTGACGTTTCAGATGGCTCCGGCGTGTTGCTAATCTTTGACAGACCAATTTTCCAGCGTCCCTTGCGTTCCGACAGCCTGGTCTGACTCTCCTCTTTCATCAATCGAGCTCTTCTGTTTCACGCTCTTCTTTTTCATGATTTTCTGCTTTTCCGACCGGGAAATATCTATCAGATCGCAGCATTCCGCATCTTGGCGATAAGTTAAATTGAATCAAGGAACAGCCACCCCAGCTTGGACACAAACCCCAAGACCGCCGGTCATTCTTCCGCACAAAATGGCCGGTGCCAATTACAACGATGGAGCAGAGCAGTACAGCGATATCCCAGCGATTCCGACCCGACACCAGATGCATGGATACGGACGCACCCAAGGAGGAGATCGTGGACTCTCATCAGTACCGGAGAACGGGCAACAGAATTGGGGTCCCGGCCTAGAGCACACACAGTCAATGCGGACGAATTCAACCGCAACCCCGGGTATGGATAACCTAGGCCCAGCGGCGGTGGGCGGCGGTATTAGTGGTATCGCGCTGGGTGTTGCCAACACCCATGACCGTCAGAGTGGCGTTGACGCTTTTAGGGAAACAGACGCTCCGCACGGGTACATCCCCGCAGAACGAGGCTACCACACCACCGGCGCAGATAACCCGTATGTGCCGGCACCGCCGCCCAGCCTCGGACCGGATGCAAGCTCGGACGCACTGCGTTCTCACGAAACGCTCGGCTCAAGTGCGGCGCTAGGGGCTGCGGCTGCGCCGGTAGGGAGCTGGACGCCGCCTGGCGGATCGCAGCGCAGTTTCCTCGACGGCTCTCATCAGGGCTCCGGGCCATACCAGCGAAACTCTGCGTACAGCGCTCATGATTATCCCGTTGATATAAACCCGGATGAGATCGTTGATGATGGAGACGATGGCTTTGCTGATGCTCCTAGGAGGGCCAACGCAGCTGGTGGTGCTGCAGCTGGCGGTGCTGCCGGTGGTGGTCTGTTGGGAGGGTTTTTTGGAGCCAAGAAGGTGGCTGATGTTTCTTACGACCCGGTCCCTGGCGGCGCAGGTTTACCAACAACGGAGAAGGCGGGACAATCTAAGCCCAGCGGGGGGAACCGGAAACGTGGATGGATTATTGGCGGTATTCTAGCTTTCATCGTGGTGGGAGCCATTGTTGGGGGTGCTGTCGGTGGCATTTTAGGCCACCGTAGGTCGGAGGTCAAGTCATCAGGAGAAACAGCTTCTGACGATGAAAAGGAGAATGGTGATCTTGATAAAAATTCGGAGGAGATTAAGTCTCTTATGTCCATGGAGGGGTTGCACAAGGTGTTCCCCGGAATGGACTATACACCCTGGGGTGTCCAGCACCCAGAGTGTGACAAGTGGCCACCATCTCAAAACAATGTTACCCGTGACATGGCTGTCCTATCTCAACTGACCAACACGGTTCGACTATATGGCACAGACTGCAATCAAACCGAGATGGTCCTCCATGCCATCGACCGTCTTGAGTTGAAAGACATGAAGCTCTGGCTCGGTGTATGGATCGATACCAACACATCAACCAACGACAGACAGCTTAGCCAACTCTATGACATCCTCGACAACGCGGAAGACCATTCTATCTTCAAAGGTGCCATCATCGGTAATGAAGCTCTCTTCCGTGCAGGCAGCACCAAATCGGAAGCTAGGTCAAATATCATCAAATATATGCGCCAGGTCAAAAAGCACTTCTCAGACCACAACATCGACATGAAAGTTGCAACTTCAGACCTCGGTGACAACTGGGACAAGACCCTCGCCGATGCCTCAGACGTCGTCATGTCAAACGTCCACCCCTTCTTCGGTGGCGTGGAAGTCGACCAAGCAGCCAGCTGGACTTATACTTTCTGGGAGGGTCACAACGCCCCGCTAACTCAGGGTACGAACAAGGGCAACATCATCGCAGAGGTGGGCTGGCCCAGCGGCGGTGGGAACGATTGTGGAGACGGCGCCAATTGTAAGGATAAGACCTCTGGCGCCGTGGCTAGTGTCGAAAATTTGAACAAGTTCATGTCCGACTGGGTTTGCCAGGCTCTGGCGAACGGGACGGACTATTTTTGGTATGTTCATTACATCCTTCGCACCTACAGATGGACTTCCGATACTAACACGCATTACCATCTAGGTTTGAGGCATTTGACGAGCCATGGAAGGTCAAATTCAACAAGGGAGATGAGCAGTGGGAAGACAAATGGGGTCTTATGGACCCAGGCCGTAATCTGAAAGACGGGCTTAAGATTCCCGATTGTGATGGCAAGGAGGCATCATAGCCATTTATTCGTCCTCTCGTCTCGATGGCTTCTCACGAATATCCCTCGGAGTTCTTCTCTTTTTTTTTTCTCTATACATGATTCCTAACGTACACATGTTTGATGATTCTCGCTACTCTGTCTATTTGTTTGTCTGTCTGGGTTTTCTCCGATCTTCACTGTTCTGGCGTTGATATACCGTGGCCTTGCCCATACTCTTTTGGATTGACTGACTTGATTGTACTTTAATCGCCGGTGGATTGTCTCTTTGGGGTTGTTGATCAGGGCGTGTGGAGAACCATGATTTGTATATAGCTCGTTGGGCATCATGATGATTTGGAATTGTGTCCGTCATCATCATTGCCTTGATTGAATGAATACCACATCACACTGCATTACCGCGTTTTGCACCGGCACGGAGAGATGCAGGGTAAAGATGAACTGAAACGCCTCACCTAGCGGTCAATACGTCGAGGTGTACGTATTTCCTGCTTCGGATGGTTCTGTAGAGAGTAAATGATAATTGAGCCTCTCACCCATCCGATGATGCCTGCGGAGGATAATAAACGCTCATCCCCCAGAACGCCGTCTCCATCTCCTCAAACCTAGCCAACTGCACAGACTCCCTTTTCGCGACAAATCCCCTCACAACCTCCGAATCGATATCTTCGAGTGGACCTCCAAACACGAATGCCGGATCACGCGCAAGCAGGATCTCGAGATGTCGCCGTTCCGCACCGGGGCAAAAGAGAAAGGTTCGAGGGGTGACTTTCTCGAATGCTGATGGGTGCGCGAGGACGGTTATATTTAGGTCGTTGAGAAGCTCGGTGTCGTGTTTATTGAAGACTGGGTCTTGTGCAAAGGCTTTCAGGGTGTTCGGTGCGGTATTCTTTTCTATAAACCCCCATTGAATGAACGTTAGGGACGTCCTGTTTCCGGAGAAAAGGGAAGGAAGAGAAAGAAGAAGAACGAACTAACCTATCCAGCTTATTATACTTCCCAGCGCGGCTAATTGGTACATCGATACAGCGCGACGATCGACCCAACCTCCGCGCAGGAATCCGCTCGGACTTCCAAGGCCGATGCATACGACTGAGACTCCGGAATGCAAATCGGTGTCGGCATCGGCATCGGCATTGATTTCAGGCTCACCAGCGCTTTTGTCTTCGCAACACGGAAACGCGCGCTGCAAGCCCCGCACGGCGCATTCCCAAGTCGTGGACCCCTCCCACCGTTCGCGATAGAGACGCAATTGGCGATGGAGGTCAGCGAGTGAGGTTTTTGACGGAGCTTCTGCGGGCTCGAGGGGTTCGAGGGCCTCCTCGTCGCGCTGGATCTGGTCTTGTTTCGAGTTTGGTTGACGGTGGAAGCGGCGCGCGTGCTTGGTCGTCGTGACGTGCGTCCAGCCGGAGTCGTCAGTGACTTGGAGGCGCTTGTCCTGGTTGGAGGGGTGTTTTTTGCGCCGGGTGTGGGGCATTGTGGGATGTGATTAGTGAGATAGCGCAGGGGTGCGAGGACGAAAGGGGAGAGATGAGGTGGGATTGTGGTGAGTGGTTAGCGGGTGTTTGGCGACGGGCGACGCATGCTATGCAGAGCTAAGATTGGAAACTTGGAGGAGGTGGTGGTTGTGCTTGATGGTGATAAGCTTGGGACACCGGCGGCTTGTGGGGATGGCCACCCGAGCGATAAGGTACTGCATCCGTCTTTCCATGCTTCATCGAAGCAAAGATCTAAAAAGCAAAAGTCCGAGACGTTCCAAATGCGAATATCATCGACAAGTCTCTGTTTTTCGAGTCCCTCGAGTCCGGCCACTCACAGCGAGTCTGTAAGCGCCGGCTCCTGATCTCCCCTCCCTCCAGCACGCTCTCTCTCCAGTCTCCGATCCGGGCGCTTCGAGCTGTGTGCTCTCCACCAATAAAACAACCCCAACCTGCATTCAAAGTGATGCGCTTGCATGCTAGTCCTCTTGGACTCGTTCTGCCTGGCCAATCCCATCCTCTGCTTGGCTTTCCCCCCCAATCCATGCAACTGCTGTTGCTCGCCGGCCGTCGCTCAAGCAAACCTTTCTTTGAGAGAGCCCAGGGCCCCCTGCCGGCGCCTGCAGTGCTGTCACACCGTGATCTCCGTTCTCACTCGTCCACTTGTGACTCGGGTCCCCGCAAAAGCCTGAATGTGAGGGCCAACGACAGGAATCAGACGATGGCTCCTCTGCCTCAAAAAGCGCGGCCAGCCCGTCTGTTTCTGTCTTGTCTTCTCCCGCCTGCGTTGCGCGAAGCTTGTTTCGTTTCGAGATGAACTGTCTCGCTCCCAGCGACTGATTCGAATATTCCATAAGTCTTCCACATCTGCCTGCTTATTTTTAGGCACAGCGGTTTGGAACTCCAAAGAATACTTGAAGTGGGATTTCTCACTGAGAGAATACCGAATCCTTCTTCCGTGTTTGAAGTCGCAGGCCGCGCAGTCGAGACGCCGCCAATATGAAACTCACAATATCGCCGCTCCAATGGCTAGCCGGCGTCATGTTGTGCATGAGCCTGGTGAATGCTCATACTGTTATTGTTTATCCCGGATACAGAGGCAATAACCTGCATACGACGGGGTCAGTCGAAAATGATCACGGTCTCGGTGCTTCTTACAATGCCGACAACAATACCATGGAATATCCTTACGGAATGCAATGGATCTATCCCTGTATGTTTTGAGAGCTCGAGTACAGGTTCTACAAGTCATGGGCGATAGGCTTTGCTAACGCTTCTTCTAGGCGGCGGCATGCCCACATCCACTAACCGAACGAAATGGCCTATTCATGGCGGCGCGATATCGCTTCAGCCAGGATGGTTCCCAGGTCACTCTCGAGCGATGATATACATGAATCTGGGTCTAGGGACTGTGCCACCTAATATGAGCCATCCCATGAAAACTCCCTTTGGTATCGTCGGCCCGGACAACGACCCTTACCCCGGAACAATTTGCATCCCTCAAGTCCCGCTACCTGCTGGCATTGAGGTGAGTCCAGGAGACAATGCAACGATTCAAGTAATCGAACTTGCTCAGCATGGCGCTGCCTTGTATAATGTATGTTGTTGTTATCCACCGATGATTGGCTTGGTACCAACTGTGAAATCTAACTTTGACCTTTATAGTGTGTGGACATCACATTCGCCGAGCCGGAAGAGGTTGCCGAAGTCAACAGAGATAATTGTAAAAACTCTAGCCAGATCAGCTTCGAAGAGGTGTTCACCTCTTCGTCGTTACAAAGCGCCGGACTCGAGGTCATCACCCCACCTACCCTTCTCACAACCGTGCTACCAGCCTTTCTCGCTATCGCGTACGGTTTCCTGATGGCATAAACATCCCATGCCTCACCATTCTGGTTTTCCACGTCTTTCTACTCAAATATACATGCATACCCCACTGTTCGAGTACGACTGGTCGATTCGACAGTGACAATTCGACGATGATCAAAATGAGCACAGCTTTCCTTGCATCTTCTGTTATCTACTCTTATACTCGGCGTTTGGAATAGCCTGGACCCAAGGCTGATTAATTGTATATATGCTGTTTTCCGGATACCTTACTCGCGTGGTTTTCACGACCAATCTGATGTTAATCATAATTCTATCTCATCCATACAGCCATTCACATAGTGTCTCCGGGCCGGGTATCGTCACGAAAGCCCCGATAGCTCCTCCCCAGAACTCGCGATCCATATTCGCAGGGCAAGCGCGATGTCCCGCCATCTGCTCCTTCTTATTTCAGCCCCAGTTCCCCATCGTTCCTTCCTGGTGGTAGTTGCCCACAATGCAGGTGCAATAGCTTGTTTGCTCCTTCCCTGCCCGAATCCCAGGCACTCTTCCCGCTTAGAATTGTCTTGCCGGTGCAGTTGAGAGCCTCGGATGCTCTGTTTCTTCCCAGATGTATTAATGTACACGGGTGCACGAGACTGGTGCGATAGCCCAGCTGGTCTGAGGTAGCTGGAGCCCACTATCCGCTCGCTCCTATTCTGAAAGTCCCCAGGTCCCTCATCGCCCCTTCCTTATACCCATCCATGCCCGCAAGGCAGGTGCACTGGGACGCGGTGCCTGCTGCTTCCTCGCCTAATCTGCCCTTCGATCGCTCCTTCCCAATCCTGCCTTACAGTAGTAGAACAATCGTGCCTTCCCGGGATTACAAACTCATTCAGAAGGTAAGGTTGACCCGTCTCCCCTTCATTGTCAATATGCATTCGTATCTTTATACTTTTTTGGGGGGAGCTGGTAGTACTATCAATATGGTGTATATCAATATACCCTATCTCACTGTACTGGTTAAAAATTTAGGCCAATTGCTCCTATTTAAGACGTCATTTGATTTTAGGTATTCATTCTAAAATAGCAGTCACGAAATCAGCGAAGAGGCTGCTTCTCGTTTCAGGTCTTTCACCATCGGTAACTGTCCGGAGGCTTGGTCAAAGGATATATAGCTTTCAGCTACATATTGAGCGGATTGACCGTTGGAGCATATACATTCTATTGAGTGGGTAGGAAAATCCACTTACTAAGTGCTAGCCGGGTAGTTTAAAACAATGTGCCGTAACTAGTACGCGCTCCTTGTTCGTCCTACTGTCATGATACTACGTACATGTGTCTCCACCCTAGTAGCCCAAGCTCTAGGCGGGTATTCTCTACGATGGTATGGGTAGAAAAAACGAGATAAGCAATAACGTGAAAATCAAAAGGTCAGTCAAAGGTTGGTCTGTGTCTTATAATTTGCTGTTAATATGGTATCTAAAAAGTAAGTGGTTGGTATGTTGAGTATATATATATTATAGCGGTGTGGTCATGGATATAGGCAGAAGGATATATAGAGGCGGGGTCTAGGGCCCACTGACTGGCGTCAAGACTGCTGAAGGCGGCGATGCAGGGCCAGAACGAGGTTCAAGCTTTAGGATATTAAATAAAATTGGCACGGCTCAATTACGCAAGGCACGAAGCTCGAGGAGATCTGAGATCGTGGGAACGAAATGAACACCTGCATCCACAGGCAAACCAGGGGAAAAGTGGTTCCTCACTGCCAGCTCTGGCTGCGACTTTCCTGTTGGGACAACAGTGACGCAATGGACTGCCCGTTTGGGTTAAGCTTCACTTCGGGCCCTCGTCCTGATCCTCACTTTCTCTCGACGCTGCCATGAAATCATCGTCATCGATCGCCCTATTTTGTTCGCTTCTTGGTTGTATCTTTAGTTTCTTTTCATTTTTAATTTGCTTCTCGCCCCCCTCATCTTTACCATCACCACCTTCATCATCACCATCTCTCTTTTTGTTTCACCTTCCCCGTTCCTTTCTTCCGGGCCCCTCTCTTTACCGTCTCTCCCGTCCTCCCTCACTCTCGCGTTCGCGTTCGCTTTCCATTCCGCAGCGCCCCCTCCGCCGTCCTTGCGCTAGTCCACTCATTTTCGGCGATCTTTTGGTCCACCGAGAGATTCAATTGCTCCAAATTGTCACCTTGTATTCTCTCGCGTCCGCCTAGACGCAGACGCTTGCTAAGCCATGTTCCGCAAAAAAAGGAGCGCCTCACAACATCGTGTATGTCATTCATCCATATTCTGTTCTATTTCTTTGTGCCCATGGAGATTTCGCGCGGCGAGTCGTATCAATTGTTGACAGCAAACGCTAACGAACTGTTCACTGTGTAGCATCAGCATCAGCTCTCAACTTCTAACACCCAATCCGCGCAATCCGCCGCAACCCGTGCATTTATCCAGTCGCAGCCATCGTCTAGTAATCTTTCCTCCGCCGCCGCCGCCGCCGCACTCCGCAGCCTGACACCGACACCAACCCCTATCGAAAATGTCCAGACTAAGCGGATGCTGCAGCGGCAGTCGTCCTTCTCCTCACAACCGGCCAGCTCACCCACCCTACGCCCGACTAGTCGGAATGGACTCCGACGGGTTAATAGTTCGGCCTCTATGAGCGCTCGGACATTCCGGGAGCAGTCGCCTGGCCGGCCAACATCGAGCTACTCGACGATGTCAACCCCAGCTGTTGTGCCACCACTGCCATCGATCCCAGCAGAATATGCTGCGCGGAACAATCAGAGTCGGCGGTCTGTCAGCCTAGGGCCCAGTGTGTGGTCGTCGGCTCCTCGCACACAACCTACTGAGGTGCCGATAAGCGTCAAACAGCCGGCCGTTGCGCCTCAGAGCCCGCGCAGCATCGCTAGTCCCGAAGCCGGAACGGTCTCGCCGTCACACCAGAGGTCGGAAAGCCGGAATTCGATCAATTTCTCATACCCAATGAATTCCCGGACAAATTCGCCTACGATTCCCGCTGGATTTGATCGCAATGACGCAGCTTCCAGTGCCGCAGCTTCACTCAACAAGCGAGCCATTCCTCAAATTAACAAAGCTACACGACAGCAGACACAAGGTGCTGGACCGGGAAGTCCGGGGAGAAGTTCTCGTCCTGTAGTGACTGCACTTGCGGCTGCTCAAGCTGCAGCTGTAGCTCGGAATGATGAGCCAAATACCCCTCCAGTCTCTTCTCGTCCGGCTCGTTATCGTGAAAAGCGAGGTCCCGAACCATCGCCGAGCCGAAGCCCAGCATCGGTGGATGTCAGAGCGCGCCCGCAAGTTAAGAAGCAACCGGCGCCATCAGTATCAGCGACACATTCATCGCAACCAGCACCAGCAGACGGCCGTCCAGTTAAGGAACCTCCTCAGCCAGACCCTGTACCTGCAAATGAGCAAGAAAAGGAGAATCAACTGTTGGCCAAGGCGATGCCTTTAGAAGAGTCTCCGAGGGCTCTAACACCGCCGGTCGTTGGAAAGATGGTACGGACGCCGCCTGTTAGTCCACCGCAGGTCAAACCAACCGTGGCATCCGACAGTGAACTTCAACCCTCTCAGTTGCGACAGTCAAGTAGTCCTGCGAGGGCGGCTCATTTCCCTAATCAACTCGCTGTATCGAACCTTGGGGCTGACCAGCTACACCAACCGCCTCCTCGGTCCCTCTCTCCGGCTAAGTCTGCCATGAAGAATAGAAATAGCTCTTTGTCTCCCGATGGCAGGCTTTCTGGAATTCTACGCCCGGGCCTCACACTTAGTGAACTTTCAGATGCGACCTCCGTGGCGTCTGATGATGGCACAAGGCCAAATCATCGAAAGAAACCTGTCAAAGTTAGCTTTGACGATGAGGCAGAAGTTGTAGGAGTGGCTGCAAGCCCACCGACGTCACCGGAAGATGTCACCCCCGAATCACCTCCTGAAAAGTCGAAATCGAAAAACAGTTGGTTTAATATCCACAAACGGAAAACTTCTCCTTTGCGATCTACGGACGGGGATGGGTTCGACGGGGTGTTAACACCCCGTGCGGCTCTCCCCTCATTCGGTAGTGTTCGAGCTAATAAGGACAGCCCGCGGCCAGAACCAACAGCCCACCGAGAAGTACATGACAATGATTCAGTTTTAACGGAATCGGACGATGATTTTCCAAATGGAAATGCCATAAACAGTATTATATCTCGCGCTTCAGACGGGAACGTGGAAAAGCAGGTACAATCCAATAATGCACTGCCTACAGAGCCCACCGAGAAAGCTGCAGGGGACGTTGCAGAAAGCTGGAAAGAGGTTATCCCAATTGGCGACACCGATCTTGATCCGGCATATTTCCCGAAGACGCAGCTTTCGCCCTTACAAGAGGTACCGTCTGACCAGAATCTCCCCTTGACTCCCAAATCGGAGGTGGAAATGCCTGATATTACACTTCAACCGGCGACACCTGATCCTGAAAAGGGAAGAGCAAGCCTTGATGAATACGATAGCCCAGAAGAATACCCGAGGAAGTCCGTGGATGGGGAACCGGAAGTATCAAGCCCAAAGAAGAAGAGGAGGTCATATGGAGAAAAAGGTGTTAACCACCCGGATAATGATAACGACTCTAGCTCGAGTGTGTACAGTGATGCAGAGGAGGATTTGGATGATGGCGATGGGTTTGGTTCCATCAACGCTATCGTTGAGCACGAAGCGGCGCCTTCCGAACCTGGTGTCGCTATCACCTCGACGTCGCAAGATGTAGCCCAAGAGGCTGATCGCGACCCAGCTATAGCTGATATCCCGGAGACTTGCCAGATTGCACAAGTTGGGACCTTTGCACAAGAATCTCCACGGCCCACCGCTGGCTCCGCCGCTCTAACGGAGCCACTCCCGGCCTCTTCGGAAATCCGTTCGTCTCCTCTACAGAGCGAAGACAAGCCAGCGTCCGCCCAAGGAGGCGTTGCGCGCTCGTCAACTGTGCCGGTCGAAGTATATTCCATTGCCCATGTTCGCGACGATGACACTAAAGAGGTGGATACTCGCTATAACCATGTCGAATCCAACGCTCCTAATGCGCAGCGAATCCAAAACTATAGCCAGCACCATACTGAAATTCCGACACCGACCCAGCGGAAAGAAGTCGGGAGCCCGGATGCTGTTGAGTTGGATGCGAATGGGGCGGATCCCCGCATGCCTCGACGTCAGCTATCGAACGGAAGTGACTCATCGAGTAGTTTCAAACGAGCCCGCCGGGCTAGTCGAGGAGGGATGGGCATGCGACAGAGCCTACGAGGGAGCCAACAAAGTGGCTCTGTTCCAACATCTCCCACCAGGGTCACTTCACCCGGTCTTGAATCGCCGCCGCCCCTCTCCGGCTTGGGGGCTGGTAGTACTATGCGTACAACTCTACGTGGTAATGCATCGCGGAAGGAGAAACCATCATTCTTTTCTACGGGCAAGGCGCAGAAAGGAAAGGCTACGAAGAACTCTGGTGCAGCGTTTGCTTCCCGGTTTCCCGACTCAGATTCGGACTCGGATGGTGGCATTCAGAATCGCAGATTAAAGCGACCGGGGCATCGCCCAGTAAGAAGCATGAGTGATAATGATATGCGACCTGTGCGCGGCATCCCACGTCGGAAGGGCGCCTATGACGGGGACTCTACTGAGCTGGAGGATAGCTCTGATGGGGAAAGACGCCCTGTCTCTGCAGGGAGAACCTCTGCTCGTCAACCCCAACTGACGACTGTTCGAGACCCTGCGCTGGCTGCAGTGGCTAAATCTCGTGGCATGACAGAGGAGGAACTGGAGCAAATGCTTAATCGTGGGTCAAGTCGCAAACCTAACCTTCTCAATCGTTTGAGCATGAGAAAGTCAAAACCACTCACCCATCGCGGAAAGCCACAAACGTCAGGATTCTTCTCAAATGGGTCAATTCCGGAGCATTCCCAGGTGGAGGCTCAAAGCCTACAGGTTACAAATGGCACCCACAAGAGTGTGGGGAGTCCCCCCCGGCTCCTGAAGAAGTCTCAGCAAAAGTCACCATCCGGCGATACTAGCGCTTGGCCTCTTGGTTCCGAAAATGGCGACCCTGTTGACTCCGGCATTGGGTCAATGTCGGCACCATCCACATCCCAACAACTATCACAACCTCAAGCTCCAGATGGAGGTGCAGTAAACGGCAGTAAAGCTCTCTCGACCGATCTGCACCCATTGCAAGACCAGGAACCACCGGCGACAGGGACCAACCGTGCATCTGATGTGGTTATTGAAGGATCTGGACGCAAAAAGCGATTCTCGCGACTAAAGAAAGCATTTGGCATTAAAGGGTAAGTATACCCGAACCACACAGGCTTTGCCTCATCTTTCGGCATATTGATGATTTTCATATGATTTATGCTCTCTTACCTCCATATTAACACTTAATTTCTTTCCTCACTTTGTTTCAGATATATTGTTTTAATATTTGTTGCATCATCACCTAACTATGTGGTCTGAATTAATCATGCCTGTGTTGCTGCTGTTTGTGACAGCACCGATTAATATGTGACATTAACATTCTTTCTGACGAGCAATATTGATACCCTCATTTGATGGACATTTCTATAATGCCCTGAATCATTTATGTTATATATATACCGAAAACGATTTCTAGGAACTTCACTGGCGGCAGCGCCTAATTGATTGGTTTACTTTCCTCCTTTGATAAATTGATTAGGATAATAAAATGAAGACATAATAATGGACTCATTGTCAATGTATGATCTCAATGTGATTATTCGAGGTGTTGTCCTTGGATACCTGGGGATCTCGGGAACCTTGCAACAACTTGTTTGCTTGTTTGGGCCGAGTCAACACCAGGCAGAGACACCGGAGACGATGATGAGCAAGGAGTTTTGGATGTTTGTTGGCAGCGCAACAACCTCGGGAGTCCGGGACGGAGTCAACCTCCACTCCGATCGATGGACCGGATCGACTCCGCACGGCAAACCAGCCAACTATGCCAGCCAACTGCTTTGTTTTTCCGAATTGAGTCGGTCATCTGGGCTCCGACTGGGAAGTGAGGGAGAGGCAGGTCGAGACCAGGGTCGACTGTCTTGTGGCGGGAATTTGGAGGCAAAAGTTGGGCAAAAGACTGGTGCTTTGTCACAGCTTCACTGATGATCCGGCTTTTGTCGCATTTGGGGGTGAATCGTGAGCAATCATGACCGAGCTCCTCCAGACCGTGCTCACCTCATAGTGGAGCCATGAGCTGAGCGAGGAGGCGGGGCGAAGGAAAGCTGTCTTCGGTGGAACGCCAATGGTAACGGACCACGAGGTTTGAGCATTGTCCAAATCACCAGGGTGATATGATGAGTTGGTTTCAGATATGGCCCGCGGGCCGGCGAACGAGTGCTGGAGTCTCCAATGTTGAGAGTCCCTCAAAACGTCAGAACCATCCGCTGATGAGATTCGGTGAGGTTGGGCTTGAACCTGTGGCCGATTGGAGCATCGCATTTGCCATTTGTCGATCGAGTGCAACTCAGCGGAGTCAGCGCTAAGAAGCCCGATTAGACCCGGCAAAGGAGGAGTTGTTGCCATGGCGATGTGTGGTGTGGCTGGGAAGAGGAGCTGTGCGATGAGATTGCGATTGCTCATTGGGGGGACCATTGGTTCATCTCAACCCTCTGCGATCCTGTTGCTGCATGTGATAAGGCGAGGGTTTCGCTGGTTGCCTCTGGAATGTCGTTTTGATTCCGGGACTCTCATTGAGCGAGAGACTGTGGTCAGAATTGCACTGCAGGGGTGCCTGGATGGAGACCGTGAAGACGGAGTCTGTCGGGTGCCATTGCGCCCATAAAATAGGTTGGAGACTGAATTGAACTCCTCTCTTCACGGGGCTAGCAGGTGATACCTCGGGGGAACCAAATTGTTTATTGACAAAAACAATCGCGATTCACTTCGGCAGCTGAGAAACCCTGGGCGATGAGGAGGGCAATGTCTGGTAGAGCAAGAAAACAAGAAGGCTGGACCCCAATGGGGAAAGGCGCCGTAAACAAACGCGTAACAACAACAACAGCGACTGCAATCTTAAAGCTCCTCACTCGTCGCCTCGTTCTTCTCTCCTCCCTCTTCCTTCTCTTCCTCTTCATCCTCACATTCCCATCTCACATTCCCAGCGTTAAGCTTATCTTTACATTCCTACCCCAGGAATTCTCCGCATCAGCAGTCGAGTATAGATCTATCGTTAGATCTATCTTGTACTCCAACTTCCTCTCTTACGAGAAAGACTTCCCCGTTGAAAAGTCTTTTCTTGTCTCATCTTCCGAGTTGTTATTCAACAGTTCGGAAGAGATTCGAGAAAAGACGCTCAAAGGACAGCCAACCTGGACTTTGACGCCCGCGTCCCCATCCCCTTCAGTGTCTTCCCGTCGTCGTACCGGAGTGACGCTGTTCCTGAGACTACTCTTGCCACCGAGAGAGTAGAGGGAGAAGTCAACCTCGATCGCACTTCGCACGTCGAACGGGAAGATACTCGAACCTCTGCCCCTCTCCCAGACCCCCGTGTCCACGGAAAGGAAGAAGTCGATCTTCACTTCGAACGTCGCTCAGACCGCCGAGGAGGTGACGATTTCACCGTCGTTGAGGAACGTGTGCGAGATAGCCGATACCCTCAGGTAGACCTTGCCCGTGACCGGTACGTTTTGCGCTGTATTTCCTTGCTTTTTCTTTTCTGGTTTGTTTACTGTTTACAACTCCCCCGGTTTGGCTGCCTGGGAGCGGATCCCCAATCAAACTACCCAAGTGGAGAGCACAAGAAGCGGTGTCACCCCAGCTAGACCACTTGTCAGCCTCGGCGGCGAGTGGCTTCTGGCTAGAGCTGTCTAGTCCCTCCGCTAAATTACGTGGCTCCAAAACAAAACAAAAATCCGATTGTCCCAGCCCCAAATAAAAACAAGCCAATCATGCCTGCCCCCTGCCACCGCGTTTTGTTCCCTCGTGTCTCTTGTTTACCTTGCCTCACCTTACCTGACCTTACCTTACCTGCTTCGACATACCTTTCTCTCTTCTAACATCCTACTTTAGCTACCGCGAACCTTCTGCGCACCGCTTTCAGGACTCCTACCAGGACAAGCAGCAGACTTACGACAAGACCTTTGAGACCCAGCTTGACATCACTGAGCGCGAGTATCGTCGTCGTACTGATCCTACTTACGACGTTCAGTCCTCTTTCGATCGTCGCTCCCAAGGTCCCGTAGCCTCTTACGAAGCTCCGCGCCAACAAACCTCGGACGTTTACAGCCGCCCTTCAGCGTCTTATAACGTCTCGTACGAAGCTCCTCGCCAGCAGACTTCGGACGTTTACAGCCGCCCCGCACCTTCCAACGTCTCTTACGACCGAGGCTTCGAGCCCCGTACTCTAGACGTTCCCCGCGCAAACTCTTTCGACAACCGCCAGGTTAGCGTAGAGAGTGTCAAGCCTGCCACTGCTCCTTCCAGCAACAAGGTCAAAGTTCTGAAAACTACTACCGTAGTTGATCACCCTAAAGCTCGCAAGATGGGTTACTACGACGACGACGGTAACTACCACTCCTTCCGTCGTGGTGTGGAACGCGCTGTCGACCGCATCACGCACCCCTTCCACCACCATCATGACCATGGTCACCATGATCACCATGATCACCGCGAAGAAGTTGTTGTCGCTGACGAACGGGGCCCAGTTCGTGTTCGCGAGAATGTCCGCATTGTCGAGCCCCGTGGTGGCGCCTCCCCCGAGACCGTTCCGATCCCCTGCCACTTCATCCGTACCGGCGACATCCTGATCCTCCAGGGCCGCCCTTCCCAGGTGATCCGCATCTCCACCTCGCCCCAAACTGGCCAGCACCGCTACCTCGGTGTTGATCTGTTCACTCGCGAGCTTCACGAGGAGTCCAGCTTCATCTCCAACCCCTCTCCGTCCGTTGTTGTCCAGACCATGCTCGGCCCCGTCTACAAGACCTACCGCATCCTGGACATCCGTGACAACAGCCTCGTTGCTCTGACCGAGAGCGGTGACGTCAAGACCGGTCTCCCCGTTGTTACTCAGGACAACCTGCACGGCCGCATCCGCGATGCCTTCCACGAGGGCCGTGGCTCCGTCCGTGTGCTTGTCATCAATGACGGTGGTCGCGAGCTCGTTGTTGACTACAAGGTGATCCACGCCTCCCGCCTGTAAGCGTGTCGACCCTGTCGGCAGGAGCTTTTAGGCTTCATCCAATAGGAGTTGGTCTGCTTACTGGCCTGGGGTGTTCACTGACGTCATTCACCTTATCATCTGTTTTGTTTATAATTTCCTTTGTTCTTCCTGCACGATCAATGATGACTTGAGAAACCTAAGCAAGCTTGTATCTGACACTTGGGAATTAAATTATGCGCTGATGGAATTGCCTGTTTGGGGCAACTGTTGGAGCTTGACACTTTGTATCATGGCCCTTTGTATGTAACAATCGTAATGGAATGTAGATTTGTGTGGTTTCCTACTTCTCCTTTGTAATGCCTGTCAGCTGTGAATCCATTGCTTTCTCCCTTGACGACAATGGGCGCTGTTGCGGGGTGGGTGAAGCACTCCAACGATGCATGTTTGACCTTCAACATTTTCGATTGCGACTGTTTTTCTGTACTGCCTACTAATCGCCCCAAAGTAACTTGTAGATAGTCCAAAAGTACATTAATAAACTAGCACGGCACCGACTTCAAGTTTCCCATATCCTCGAGCTTCCCCAAAACAACCGCGCATGCCTGTCTCTGAATATAATATGAAGTTACGTGTGTCCTAGACAAGGAACTGATAATTTGGTTTTGATGCAAGTCAACATACACCCTCCGAGCAAGCGGCCCTTGACTAAAGAATTTCAGACGCAGTTGGAGTTGAGTTACGTGATGCCACTTTTCTTTTTTTTTTTTTAGGGATAGCAAGAGTCATGGAATGGAATCACAATTAATCTTAAATATGTAAGATAAGACAAATGAAATACTTCTTAGCCTCAGTGAATAATAGGCAATGAATTCATTCAGCCAAAGACAACAAACGCCTCGCTGTATCATGCCTGTTGGTAAATTGACAGGATCATAATAATTAACCACTCAATCATCTTTTAGTAGAATGGGAATAGTAGCAAAAAAAAGGAAACAATGCAAGGAGAACCAAACAACTAGCAAAAGGAGTATACGTAGAGTGGAACAACCGCCACATTGGAGAGGTAAAAAAAGAGTAGAAATAAAAACGCCGAATCTGATGTTCCGTGTAGTATATGTTGTCCTGGAAGCAACGTAAAGCCATATTATACATTTTTTGCCCTGTGAGTCGAGCAATATAGGCAGTAAGTAAGGTAGGGTATCGTAGGTATGGATGACAGGATGACTTCGTTCAAGGCAGCGGGGCAGGTTATTGTAAGACAGCTGTGGGTTTGGGAATTTATTGACAGGGCGAGGACTCGTCACCTCTCTCCAAACTTGCCGTATTCCTGCTGCCATTTGAGTAGATGGCGGGTGAGCACATCCATCATTTCGACACTGCTCAAGACCCTGAAGTCCTTTTCTGATGGCAGTGGAATACCGCCAAGTATTGCGCCCCCATCAGCATTATCTGTGGACCCTTCATCTGCACCTTTCGAAAGGATGCTTTCCAGCTGATCGCCGATTGTTTGCTGGTCCGTTCCGTTGGCTCGTTCAGGCGGAGTTGTACTTTCACCTGCGACAGCCATTTCGACTTGCATCCGTGATATGAATTCCAAGATAGCTGCTACACGTCTTTTCATTTCATTCATCGTTGTCCGTTGGTGGACAAAGCGAGGCCGACTAGGCTTCCCAGTGTCCGCGCCATTTACCGGGGTGCCGATAATACCGATTCGCGGAGAGTCTGCGGCCGTTTCAAGTGACTGCCCACGACGCGGAGAATTGCCTGTGTTCGAGTCCGTTCCGGTCCCGTTCAAATCTCGGTCCCGAGTGTACTGATTGCGTCCCACGCGGCCGCGCCGCGCAGGTGGCCTTCCGGATTTACGAGTGGACGGCCGCTGGGGAGCAGAATCTGGAGCGGGGACGGAGGTGTCAGGGCTCGGTTGAGGAAGCTCGGATTCATTCACAGTCGCTTTGATCGGTGACGCTACTATATCATGATCCGAATCGGCTCCTTGGGCACGGTTAGCTGAAATTCGCAAGATCACAAATCGATTAAAACTCACCTTCGCCTTTCCGCCTATCGCTTCGTCCTTTCCTCCGACTTGCAGCCTCTGCCTGATCGGCTTCCTGATCGTCAGTCTCCTTCACGTCCTTGTCACGTTGGCCCCGCGATGAAGCTCTCTGCCTCCTGTTGCCATTGGCATTTGTTTTCGATTTCGACTCGTCGTCCGATGCAGCCGGCGAGGCTGGATTGCTTTGTTTTGAATTGACATCAGGAGAAGGTGAGCTGGTCCGCTGTCGTTTTGCTCCCTGCCGGTGTCTGTATGAGGTATATGTTAGCAAGCGTTGTACTTCTCAAAACGCACCCACACCAGAGGTTTAGCATACGCTTCACTATCGCTTCGGCTTCTTTTGGGCCTCCGGCTAGCGCTTTCCTCCCCATCGGTAGTTTTGTTATCTTCCTTGCTTTCTTCTATGGCCCGTCGTAACTGCTCCTCCTCGTCATAAGCCGCGTCTCGACTGTTCATGGTAGATCGACGCTTCGGGTTGGGGAAAGAGTCTGAATTTCGTGATTTCTGATCCTTTCCACGCTTTGAATTATCTCGTGAAGAATCTCGGGATGACACCGCAGAGGGGGGAAGAGGGGCGACGGGAAGGTACTGAGAAGAGTGTGATCTGAGATATCGTAAGCGAAAAAGGTTCATGTTTGTATGCGGAAAAAAAAAAACAAGGCTTTGGATACGCATTCAAAGCGGATGGTGGGGTGGAGTGTGAATGTTGTTCAACGCGAGAAGAAAGCGTATAAAGCAAAAACCAAACCAGCTCGTTGGACAGTCAAGTCTCTTTGACTGAGCACAACTTGGATGATCAAGACAGAATGAAAACAAAAGGGGACAAAAATGAGTTAGAGCTTACCCATTTGCCTCGCTTCTGATCCTGTGTAGGTCTTTTCGACACTCTTCACAGAAATACTCATCAGGGCTCATGGCCTCGTCCATGATCCCTACACAACCACCATGTTGCCAGACTTTGCAGGAGTCACATTGGATAAACATGCTACCGACATCATCCGGGATAAAGTCGGACGAGTCCACAGAGAAATTTAGAGAATTCTCATCTTTGATTCCACCCCGCGCGCCATTGCGACCGAGGGCCTCCCGACGAGAGGCGGGAAGGCCTGGGTAATCCTGTTGTCCACAGAGGCAGCGAGTAACCTCTTCTTCATCCTCTTCTTCTACATCGTCGTCCTCTCCATCGCCCTGTTTTGATTGTAGGTCGTTTTCGTCGTCGCCTCTCGCGCGTTGGCGTTGGCGCGTCTCGCGAAAATCGCCCTTGTCTGCGTCGTCATCGGACTGGGAGCGTGGAGAGGGGTTCTTGTGGTTTGATCTCGTGCTTCGTTCTCGCGTCATGGAGTGTGAATTCGAGGAGCTGGAAGAATTTGTGTGATGGATTGCCGGCGAAGGTTGGGAGGTACGAGCACGAGAAGACCGTCGGGGGCTCATTGTGGCGGAGGACTAGTCCACCGCAGCAAAATGAGACCAAAAGGGTTGAGGTTGCTGAAAAGAAAAACCGTCAAGGGAAAATGGAAGGAGCCTTCAATCCCAGATGAAACTGAACAGAAGGTGCGGCGTAGCGAAAGCTGCCCGTAGGCGAGCTGTCGCAGAGAGCTGGGGTTCTCGAGCGACTCGTGCAGACGGGAAAAGGTGACGCAGGACAAGAAAAAGAGCAAGGTGGAGGGCGGCAATTGGGGAATAAACGGCAAGAAGATGTATGTAGAGCTCAAACCATGGCCGGAGACTACATAGTAATCGAGAGATTTGGGAGAGGGGCTGGAGGGAGCAAGAGAGAGGGAAAAGAGCGAAGAGAGCGTTGAGAGCAAAGCAGCGAGACGGAACGGGAATCGCGCACTTCGCTCTGCGCCGACTTTCCAGCATTGGTCCGCCTTTCCCTTTCCCCGCTCTCCCTGTCGCTGTTCTCTGCCGGGTCTCCGTTGAATTGACCTAAAAGGTCATGTATTTCTGCATCCTGAGTCTCCGAAAACCAAGAGCCGTATTAGTGTCTCTGAGGCTCGCAAGAGTTTCACCTCTTTTTCGCATGTGGTGGCGCCTCATGCTCCTTCATTCCGCGACAAGACCCCGCTTATCCACTGATTCTTCATAGGAATTTCACCACCTCTTGAGTCGCCCCCAACATGCAATGATCTCGCCCATCTCGTTTCTTGCTTGCTTTGCCTATCGTGGCTCTCCGGAAATCCAGCCCGAGCGATATGATATCCCTTCGTGTTACCTCGCTCCGGTTACCTTGAGAAGACCCAGGAAGTAGCTTGAGTCATACAGCGAAATTCGCGGTTCGACGCTTAGCCTGACACAATCCCGTGCGATACCCCCGGGAGGTTTGCTCCTGATTCCTAGGCCGTGAGCTCAGTAGTCGGCCGGGACTCGCAGATTCAGAAGGGCGATGACGACCATCTAGAAACAACCGGGAATGTAGATGGAGATGCCCTGGCGAAGGGAACGTGTTGTCGCAAAATGACACCACACCACTCCATAGTCCGATAATGATTTATATTGCATATTAATACCGGGGGAATTTAAAAGAACCTATCGGGGCGGAGTTGAAATAGGACAGGAGAACGGTGTTTTACATCTGGGTCTCATTTTCGGGCCCCTACGACGACCACAATGCTTTTGGTTGATCCCCGCTCTAGCCTGGAATTCAGCCTTAGACAGTGATCTTTGTGCAAATGTCCCTGCGCTATAAATGGGTGCTCACAAACCGCTGGTGGGGGTGTTAAATGTGCTTACAGGTAGATACTGACCTTGACAGAATAATCAACAGGGCTACTAGTATTAGCAATATTTAGATAGTAGTTGCAGAGTAATAAATAGATCCTGCATCCGAAATCTACATAGAAAATTTGCTGCAGGCTCACTGCAACAATCAGATAGTGAATCTACGTGAATCTGCGTGAAGCAACCGAAGCCTTGTTGCCTGAGGCTGCAGGAATAGTTCCTGACAACTCGCGGGATTTGTAAGAGTAACAAATTCAATTCATGGATTGAAATATCAAATCAATCCCAGTCAATCTATACAAGCAATTCCGGCGGCTCTTCACTTGAAATAGCTTGATATTATTTCCCTCGTCTCTAATTGGGAAACCCCACGTCCCCGTTCGCTTCCACCGCCTCCCACTATCCGGCCCCTTTAGTGTACTTCTCGTCTCCTTTCCGCTTCATTTGTCAGGTGCCGATCGGGTGTCATTCTCTCATCAGAAAAGTTTGCTCGGGGAATGCTTTGGGGGATAGTTAAATATCTGTGAGTGTGATATTTGGTCTTTGCAATCTCCGGCTTATCTTTGCTTCCCTCCCCCTCGCATTTCTGGCCCACCGGCATTTTCCCGGACAGTGCCTGGACTGGTGTGCATCCAATTCGGAATTGTGCCCTCCCACCTGCCAACACCACGAACACGCCCATGACCAACGAGCTGACCTCAGATGGTATTCATAGATCCCCTACCTATTTTACGTACGCTCCGAATATCGAACCACGTCGGCAGCCGTCTTTCCTCGCCTTGAATAATATTCAAAGTGGGCTGAGGGATCAATAAGACTCAGGGTTACTCGCAGCTTTGCAAGGGAAAAAAACAAAACAAAAACAAAAACAAAAAAACAAGGCGCGAGGAGGAACAAGAACCGAGATATAGGTTGTGGATACCGCCAGGCTGGACTGCGGAAGAAGAAGAGAGGCCTCAACTGGCTGTGGCTGTGGAGGTCGAGACAGTCGATAGTTTTGCATTATGACTGCTACGCTGAGTATGTCCTCTTGTGCTCTCACTCAAAAGTAGTCCCTAGTTTGGGTGGTCTTTCCGAAGCTGGTTACAGGCTCTGAGGACGCAAAGATGTGGAGAGAAACAAACAGAGAAGGGCTCTGCTGGTCGTTCAGTTGCTGATTCCGTCCTTTTGCAGATGGGATGTTTAATTCGGCGCCAGATACCCCGTCGCCCGTCTATCCCGATAGACTGATCCGCCCCCTCCCCAAGCGTCCCCTTCGGTCTCGGTTGTCTACTGATGCCGCCGATACAATCCTTTACCCCCCTGCTCCCCCGACAACACAAATCTTCTACGGAGCTTGTGCGTCCAATGGGGACGTTATAAATGACTCCAAAGTATATGTACAGCAGGGTGATGGTGGCCGCGACCTAAGTCCCGATAGCCGGGACCGCCACCTTCCTTATGAGAATGGTGTTGACTTAGATAGCGGTGACGAGGATGGGCCGGTTGTTGTCCGACGGAGTGCCGGATTTCGAGGGTCGTCACTGTCACCTACACCTTCCGGCGTGCAACACCAAACACTCTCCGGTATCGGGAAAGAGCAACCGACCAAGTCGTCCCCAACCGGGCCCGATGGGTATGATGCCTTCGAAAACACCAACAACAAGAAAAAGCGCAAAATACCAACGCCTGGGAACATGGGGAGCCACCATTCTTCTCTGTCGCCCGAGTTTACAGCTATGGGATTGACAAATTCTGGACAACAGGTATCATCATCTGGAGAAGGGGGCCATGTGAGTACGTTTTACGGCACGGGTAGCCCTGCATCACCGGTAGGCAATGGGATGTCTGGTTCGGGCAGAGGGCGCCTTAAACATCAAGGAAGACGGTCGTCGGTACATGGACATGGTACTTGGGGACAGAATCGTGCTACTAGTCTCCGGGATGGGCCGCTATCCTCTCCAGAACCGACAGGTATGCCTCAATGCCTAATCAGACTGGGGCTCTTGCTAATAACCGTACTCAGGGGAGCGCAGCCATGGTATTATCTCGGCCGCTATTGCAAACGCTGCAGCCTCGGCATTCTCACCGTCTCCTTACCGAGTTTCGGTTCAAGGTAGCATGCTTGAACAGAAACAGACCACGCCGACAAGAACTCAGTTTACTTTCACATGCGAGTCTGATTCATCTAAAGGGATGGCATTTCACGCCCAAAACTCGTACGCATCTCAGCATAGATCCCCGATCGCCCAGTCCCAACCAGGGTATGGTATGCGGGGCGTTTCTACACAAGGGACGCAGACCAGTCCGACTGCCGCAGCGCAAATGATCCAGCAACCAACTACTCAACAACAGCAACAACCACACCAAACGGCTGCATCTACTGAGCCGCCACCTCCAGAGAGGAAGAAGAAGCGGTCACCCGGTAGCATATATGCGTTGGCCGCGCGTCAACGCAAGATTCAGCAACAATACACAAACCTCCACCATCCACCTAGACTTGAAGATATTTGGATTTGCGAGTTTTGTGAATATGAAAGCATATTCGGACGCCCACCTGAGGCCCTCATTCGCCAATACGAGGTTAAAGATCGTAAAGAGCGCAAGCGTTTGGCAGAGAAGAAAAGATTTCTGGAGAAGGCGAAGATGAAAGGACGCAAGCATAAGAAAGCGACCAAGAATTCAACGAAGCACGCGGCGACCCAACATGCACCCCATGATCAGGGCTATGACCGAACATCTGTTGATAATTCGTCTTTAGGTGGGGAAGGACCGCACCACGACGATTTTGGACCGGGCTACGATGATGAAATAGCAAATACTTCACCACCTGCTGCCCCTGCGGGGGCGTTCAAACCTCCGCTCCCTGGGGGAAGCGTAGCAAAAAAAACCACGGCGACCACATCGGGCGGTAGAGGTGCAATAGACGGGGAAATGAAACCGCCCTGATAGTAGAGGAGGACCTCTGCCTTGGGTATGTTTTGCATCCTTGTTCGCGCTTTTGCTTTATTGTTTGGGTCGTCGCATGATCGATTAGCCTTTTGTCATTTTGCATACATGAATCCCCGCTCCCATTGTCCCTTGATGTGTCATGTCAACAATAATGCATGGAATCCTTTCAGGTCGTTAGGTGTTTGGCCATTGGTTGGTTAGTGATGAAACAGGAGAACGACCGTTTTTGAATGTACATGGAGAAAAAATTGTCGCAGGTAGTGACTGGATAGCCCTGACAGGGCATATGGATTAGTGGGAAGGTAACCATAGTAGTCTATGAATAGGACACTGAATCTATGTTTATCTCACTCCCGAACATCCTGGCGACTAATCCAGCCCTAGAACCCCCCGCTGGGGCGTTCTGGTCCAGTCGATTGTGCCTAGGCTTTGGTCCCCGCAGCGGCGCTTCGGCAGCCACCACCAGCAACTTGACCTCCCAGCTGCAAACTTTGGCGCGCGCGAGCCATGACAACCATGTGTTTCAGGCGGACGCCTAGACAAATAATCAGTGGATGCCAGAGATTGTACTGTGTTAGTGTCAATAATAATAGCTTTGCAGGGCACATCTCTACGCGCGACGTTCTGCAGAAAGCACTTTGTATACCATAGCGGCAATGGGGTATAAAGCTGAAGAAACCCTTTCTGCAGCTCTTCTCTTTCTCTTCATTCTTCAGCGCAGCCTTCACTCTCTAGAAACCGGTTTCATCTTTCCTTTTCTCTTTCCTCTCTCTTTCTTTCTTTGCTTCCTTCCTGGGTGGATCCCTATAACATAACTACTTGCGCCGGCGCACCTCTTCACTGTACATTTACAACTGCATTTATTCCGTCCTTTGCATTCTTTTCCGCAGTGTCTATACATTGAACAGACAGAACACCTACTTGAAGTAGGCACGACCCAGCCAGAACTGAGACACCTCGCACCTTCCCCCAACACAACCACCACCAAAACTTATCAATTCCACCTAATGTGGTTCGTCCTCTTCAAAATCTTCCGCTTCGGATACTCCGAGACCAAGAAATACAAGGCCAAAAAACAAGCTACACAACAGCCCCCGCACCCAGGCCCCTACGACGCCTCCCGCGACTACAATAACGAGCAATACCCAATGGAGGCCTACCCACCCCCTCTCCCCGACCAAACCCCTCCTCCGGCGGCCATGGGCAAGCGAGCCCGTGCTAAAGCCTTTATCTCTACGATCCTCGCAATCTTGCAATTCGCATTCGGCCTCGCGGTCATCGGCCTCTACAGCCAGGATATCCATTCCGCGCACGACAAGGACAACTCTGCCCCCTCCCAATGGATTTATGCCGTTGTCACTGCATTCGTTTCAACGGTTACTGCGCTGCTATATCTTATTCTAGGCTGGTGGTGGGCGAAGCGCGCCAAGCTTGCGTTTTCGCAGCGCCAGGGCCTCTTCCTGCCACTGTTTGTGTGGGAAAGTGTCATTGTCATTTTGTGGTTGGTTGTCTTTGGGATCTTCGGGGAGAAATATATTGGCGTTTATCATGTGGGAGGGAAGGATGGTGGCGACTCGAAGGTTACGAGAATGAGGAGGGCTGTGTGGGTTGATTTGGCTTGCTTGGTGTTTTGGATTGCCTCGGCCGCTTGGAGGGGTGTTAGGTGGTGGAAAGGGAAGGGTAGTTCGTTCAGGAGTGAGGCTGTGGATGAGAAGGAGATGGCTTGATGTGTTACCTTCGATGCGGAGTATAATCTCGAGAGTTGGCTTCAGAGGGGGATTGTTAATTTGGAAATGACTTGGCCAGGAAGAAATAGGATTGCAGCTTGCATGTGGCTGGTCCACGCTGGAGCGATATCAGAGGTTTACACTTTTTTTTTTTTAAACACTTGTGCTTGCCTTTCTATTGTTCATAAAAGGCTTCAGGCTCATTATTCGTAATCATCATCATGGTATTGGAATTGGTATCGAAACATAAAGCAACAAAAAAAAAATCATTCCTATGGTTCTTCGCTTTCGAGATCCTCAGGATTCAAATAATCACCACCCATTGCCATTCCTGCTTCCTGACCCATGATCCGTTCCTGTTCAAGCAGAAGACTCAGCCCACTCGGACCACGAGGCGCAGAAAGAGCCGACGACTGTAGAAACGGATTTCCGCCTGGCGCCTGAATCGGCACCGGCACTGCCGTTGCAGCCCCAGTTTGAGGTGGAGGGGAAAGCGGCTCTGTATCTGACCCAGACGAGAATACAGCCTGGTTACCCAGATGCGGATGCGGGCCCCCGCTTCCACTCGCAAGAATTGATGTTGCTATTGTTGATGCGCTGTGGAATTGGGGGTGCGAATCGCCGAACCGCGACTTCGAGGGAGAGACAGTTTCTGCTGTTCCTGTTCTTGTTGGGGCTCTTGGTTCCACGGCTGCCTCGGTGGAATTTGAAACAAATGGGTCCGGTGCGAGGTTGGAATCTGTAATCACATTATCATCCGGAGGACGCACCTGCTGCTCCTGCTCCAGTTCCTGCTGGCGGTAGTACTGGGCGTAATATTCATCCGCTAGTCTTTTCTGCTCCGCGAAGCGGGCCCGGAAGTCCCGGTCAACCAGAGCTGGAACAGGTTTTGGCTGCTCATAGTTTTCTTCAGAGACATTTCGGACGTCGTAGTAACGGCATGCTGTCGCTGAGAAGAAGCCGACGAGGGGGGGTGAAGAGCGAGGGCGAAGAGGTGGGAGAGGGGTGTTCTTGTGGAGGAGGGCTTTAAGGTCGGCAAGTAACGCCGGTGGAAGTTGGGGGTTTTCTTCTACTTCTGTGTCTGAAGCTGGTTCTGGAGCTGGGCCTGCGGATGGGTCTGGCGCCGGCGCCGGCATTGTTGGGCTTGAAAATAGGTGTGTTGTGTAAATATTGGCCCTAGGCGGTTCTGTGTTATGGGTCAGAGTGGGTGGCTTATGTGCAAGGAGGTCGTGTGGGTGAACAATACCATCAGGGGGATCTTTCACCGTCTCTCCCTCTATTTCAACTTCCTGCACTATTGACATATCTAAGGCATTTTCATCGGAAGGAGACGATTGAAATTGGGGAGATTGAGCGCGTGTGGTTGGGATAGAAGACTGTTGCGACGATTTGCGCCTCATAAGTACAGGGCGGCGCTTGGAAGTCTTCGCCTTGCTGGCTACTGTAAAAGTTTTCTTCTGACTTGGGCGAGCACCACTATTAGAAGTAGTAGCACATTGCAGCTGCTCGTCGAAGGCAACAGGCCGCGAAGGAGGGACGGGGGTTGGTGGGTTGGAGGGTTTCCGCGTAACACTCTTTCCGCCCAATCCCGTTAACAGCAGACGTGTTGTTTTCTGTGTTTCGCCATGGGATGAGCTATTTGATTTCTTGAGGATAGGGGGGAGTGGAGGTTTTGTAGTCGTCACCGCGCTGCTGGGATGGCCGGCTGGGTGTTGGTGTTTCCAATCACTTTTCGAACTGGGCGAGTCTGGCTCGGATTCCTAAATTTCTAATTAAAAATATTTAAAAGAGATATTGAAGCTATTTTCCTTACCTTGGTCACCGGTCTTATTGAACAAGTAGTATTAGTGGCAGTAGGTTCTGAGATTTGGAGGAATAGACGGGCCAGCTTCGAGCCGGTGAGGGAGGTGCTAAGGCGCTCGCTACTCCAGATTCTCCAGAAGAAGTTCTGGAGCCGGTATCCTGCATTGCCTTCGTGGACCGAAGGGTTAATGCTGTATGCTGCCAACAAATGAGATAGGTTGGATTGTGTAGCCAAAACCGGGTACTGGAGAACCTTAGTAAACATACCTTTCCACAGCTGCACGATATCCCCGACATCCACGGCGTCAATACCACCCAGCTGAGCGGGCACTTTGTCCGAGACAGACAGCAGGCCTTCTGGAATACTCTCCATTGTGGCAAAAGGCTAAATGTGAATGGAGACCTCGAAGCCAGAAGACAGAGGGAAAAGGACGAGAGTTGTTGACAAACACTAACACTACATGGTCAAGACAAAGAATCCAGGCAGGCTAAGCGAGGGGACAAAGTGAGTAGAAGATCAAAAGGAAGAAACAGAAAAGGCAGTGTTATGACGAGCGGTGAATCTGGCGAGGGGGATTGGTCAGAGTAGAGTAAACGCAGGGAGAGCAGGGGAGGGAAACAGAGCGTGAATAACGGGCTTGATGACTCGAGACTGTCCCAGTGAGCCGGAAGTGAACAGTCCACAACTGCAAGGGCAGCGGCAGGCAGAACTTCCCCACATTGATTTACAGTCAGTCATTTCAATCACAAAAAATGGCGGGCTGAGGACTGTTCGCTGGGGTTCTTCAGCCGCATTCCCTGGGGCGAAAGGAGATTAAGAGGCACCCGGACTGACATCAGAATCTGCAAGGCCGAGAGGACAAGATTAAGGAACGGGAGTGTCAGGCTAGTACAGGAAAAGAAGAAGCGACAGTAAGAACAAGCAGCTGTTTTTGCTGCCTTATGCCGGGTCTTACCGATGCTGCCCAGTCGAGGCTGTCATTCCGCGCAGCTGGGGTTCAGCAAAAGAAAGAGAGAGAAAAAACCAAAAAGACAAAGAGCGCGGAATTCCAGCCACTTTCAACCACCATCCAGGGATCGGGAAACAGATCATGGGGATCGAAACACGGGACTCCATAGGCCAGACCAGCCCATCTTCAGGAATTCTATCGCTGCAGAGTGTCAGTTGATGTGGCCGGCCTTGATTAGGGCATTTTCTGCTTCCCCGGCCTATCATCGCTGTGTTATTGCCCATCCAACCCGATGGACCAAGTCCACTTGGGCACTTGACTCGACACTGCGGGCGGCGACATTTGAGTTCCAGCCTATCATCTCTACTCTCTTAGTACATCGAAAGTCGATCTTGTCGCAAACCTCCAGCTCCAACGTATCGGGAATGCCCGCTGGCCAACCTTGGAACACCCACCCCACACGGTCGTCGTCCATGTGCCAACGAGTTACTACATACTAGAGAGTACACTCCATCGGCGCTATCCTCAAACTGCTACTTATTCTCAGCCGCAGATGTGGGAACTGGCGACCCCGTAGACGAGACAGAGGCCGAGTAGAAGCTCGGTCGTACCCCGCGGATACTCCAGTTTGAAGAAGATTCCACTCTCCGACAGCGCATGATTGGGGAAGAAAGCTATTTATTCGCCCCAGACAGGGGCCACTCAGCTCCTACCTAATCGAGTGCTAGGGCAGTTCAAAGGATCATCGGTGCTTATTGTCGATTTGCCTCTCGGTCTCATCGCGGAGCCTGAAATTCGTCAATTTTGACCCAGTGAGGTGGGCGGATAATCCAGAAGGCTTCCCCTGCAGAGAACTCTCGGCGAATTAAACGAGGCCAAGAAGGTTAATCTTACCTTGCTTCCATTCGTGGGAGGGGACCCGGAACTGAGTAAGACCCGATGAAGATCAACTAATGAGCTCCGACAGGTCTGATTGAAGCTCTCGGTGACCGCCGAAAGGTTGATTTCTGTCTCGGTTGGTCTGTTGGACGTGGGAGAAGAGGGCTGGTCACCACAACCTCCGGTGGCGGGCAAACAGTTTGACGACGCAAAGGGCGGAAGAGCAAATAATGGAGGACCCCCAGAGCACAAGACAGAATGGATGCGACGAAAGCGAAGCTGCACTCGACTGGTCGAATCAAGTCACGATCGCCGTCTGGTGTCACGGGCCATCATCACCTGATGCCTTGCAGGAGACTTCATCATTGGTACCATTATGACTAAATCTTATGATGAACCGTTCGTTTGTTTCCTTACCATCTGAACTTTTCTGATATATCCTGCCGCTACGACAGAAGCCGAAGCTACCCAGGCCATGACGCCTGAGACCATGTCAGGCAAACCCGGTCGAGCCAGGTCCCAAAAAACTGCAAGTGAAAAGGCCACTAATATATGAGGTGGCAGTGAAAGCGACCAAATTTTGAGTGAGGTGATACGAGATCTAGCCTCAAGGCAGCAGTGAATCTGTCAAACACCACTTCCCCCAATAACGTGTCTGTTGCACCACCAAGCAGATAGATCCTTGCGCGCCGCGAGTCGGGCGAAAAGGAAGCCCAAATCCTTCAGCAAAGATATTCAGAATAGCGACTTCCAACTTGAACCCGAGCTCGTCGAGCAAAGCCATCGCTATGCCCTCTTCAAAAGGTCAAGAGGGCTATCACAACGCTAGGCACTAGACTCGTCCCAACTTTCTAAGGAAAACGAACTTCTACGCCACTTCGCAGTCTACGAGCTGACGTTTTGTCCACTTGACAGCAAGCAACAGCATGAATGACTCAGTACATGGGCAACCCTTGAGCTAGAATGTAACGGTCCGAGAGTGGCCCAGTGGGCAGATAGCTTCGATTGATTGGGGACCCTTCTAGAAATACGGCAGAAGGTCGAAGGATCAAATTAAAATTGCCAGGGTCAACCTCCCACTAGCAAGGATTAAGAAGAGCTGGATTGCGGGGACGAGGTGATCCAATCCTGCACTTGACCGCTGAATTGGAGGCGGCAAGTTCGGCTCTTGGACAATTTTCAGTCCGCTAAATCAATGCTAGGTCAAAGCTTGGATGAGCTGTTCAAAGTTGAGAGTTATGTAATACCAACACGCAATGCTATGTTGTTTAATAGGTATACCGTCATTGCCAAAGACTACGCTCCCACCCTGGCCAACTTGGAGGGGCATCTGCAGTCCGCAACTAGAAATAGCGAACGCTCCGATATCTCGGCTCATACCGAGGCACCTGAACCTAATAACTAGTCTGGTGCGAGTTCCTGTACCTTCCTCGAGTTGATCCCCCTGCTTAGTAGACTTTATTATCAGTAATTAATAATCATGGTAACTACCTGTTAGTTATTATTTAGCTTAAAGAATCATGTTGGCAATGCCAGATAACTCCATTAATTAGTAATATGTCTTGAATCTCTTGCCTTCTTTCATTTTATATGTTTACTTGGGTTATCTTATACCTTTAGTGTGTCCTGCTCCTGTCCTGCGCATAGCTGTGTCTCTAAACATGGGAAGCGGGCTCATATGTATTTTAGTGCGAGTTAAGAAGATAATATTAATAAACAAGAGACTATAGATATAGTCGCCAGTGTCTCGTGCAAGCCTAAGCAGTTCCTAATAGCCATTCAACTAACCGTTGTTTGCCATGGCATTCGGTCAGAACCCATCTCAGCAATACTCACACCGACCACCTTTAGTAATAATATGAACTACCGGCGCGCTGTAGAATAGTGTATCACAAACACGCGAAAGAAATTAAGGCACGCGCGTTAGCTTTTATAAAGGAGTAAACAGGCAAGCTGTGAATATCTTGCCTAACTAACCAACCAGAGGCCACTAATTCACTAAACTAAATAGAAAACTACTCAGTCCGCCATCATTAGCTCCGCCGCAGCAAGCCTCGTGGGCGAGCAACACAATGGAGAGACTGGAAGAGGTGAAGGTCATGAAAGTGATTTTGAGGAGGTAATATCAAATTAATTGATTCCGCCGAAAGAGAATAATGACAAATGATAATGACATCATGCTATGGCCAACAAATCCGTGTCTATCAAAACAATGTCCGACCATAGTTCAATCTTTCAATCTGTAATCCATAGAGCTTCGTAGCAAATGCACTGTTTTCGCTTTTCAAAGGGAACCGCTCATATAAACAAAGCTGGTGTTATCATAATGCAATGTTTGTCGCAAGCTCAGAGAGACAACCCGCTACCCTAGTCAACAAAAAAAAATAGACCTCCGAAAACGAAGAATCAATGGGCCAGCCCGTCTAATGGCCATAACTAGAAAGAAAGGTTCAGAGAATCTAAACTAGCGGTAAGGTACCCTCAGTCCACTGCTCTGTCAGGTCACCGTATAGCCACCGTCCACGCGAAGATCTGCGCCAGTGATGTACTTGGATGCGTCACTGAGGAGGAAGGTCACCGCGCCCATAAGATCTTCGGGCACGCCCATCTTTCCTGCGGGGATCAACGAGATCCACTTATCCCGCAATTCGGGGTTTTCATCGAGAATCTTCCGAGTCCTAGTTGCACAAATCAGCAATTTGCTCCTTAGCTATTTCAAATCCATATGGTGGCAACTTACAGAGCGGTCAGCATGTATCCCGGACTGATGCAGTTCACCCTGATGTCATGTCCTGCCCATTCAACAGCAAAGGATGAAGCGAGATGGCGGATGGCTGCCTTGGCCGCGTTGTATGGTGCCTGGGGCTGAGGTACATTGACAATAGCACCAGACATGCTACCAATCATGACGATACTGCCAGGGGCCTTGCGCTCCATCAAGTGTTTCGCAACTCCAGTAGCAAATAGATAGGTACCGTCCACGTTCACGCCCCAGAGCTTCTGGATGCGGTCATGAGGGTAGCTGATCGCGTCAAAGTTCTCTGTGAAGCCAGCAGATGTAACCAGGTGATCAATCTGGCCGTGACTCTCCAGAACCTCGGAGAGAGCGTTGTTCACGGAGTCCGGGTTTGAGACATCGGCATAGTGTGCAGTGACCTTGGGCAAGCTAGGGGAACACACTTGTCAGCATCGAATCCGTGACCTCGAGTGATTAATATACAGGATACATACTCCTCCAACCCAGGGTTCTCTTTCTGAAATTGATTCACCAACTTTTGCGCCGACTCTCCCGCTTCATCCCCTGTGATGAGGTCAGCAATCGGCCATAGTTATCGATACCAATTGCATGCTGTACATACTGTTCAAATCAACAATAGCCAAGTTAGAGCCCGAGGCAACAATTCCCTGTGCCATAACCAATCCAAGGCCACGAGCACCGCCCGTGACCAAGGTAACTCGATTCTCCAGAGAAAACTGAGCAAGGGTACGCTTGAAATGCATACCTCCACGGCCCTGAACTACCGGACTGGGAGGCATGTTCTCGTCGTCTGGGTATTCGATTACAACATTTTCGTCAGTACGTGCGTATTTGCCCTCGCTCTCTCCAGCTGCACCCTCAGGGGCTCTTGTCGTGGCCTTGATCAAAGGGTCATCGTTGTCATCTTTCTGGAAACGGGGAACTGTGGTCGAGAGGGGACGAAGGAAGAGTGGCTGCACAGCAGCGAATGCGGTTGGGCGAGTGCTTTGGCCGAGCGCCTTGACGGCCTGGCGAAGGATCGCGGGCCTGAACATTGATGGGAGTAAGTGGTGATTTAATCAAATGGGCACGAGGAGGATGATGAGAAACAAGGTCTGGAGCCTGCATGCGACAACTGAATGCTTTAAGAGTCAAAAATGTGTCCGGTCAAGGGCAAATGGATTGATCTTTCAGACGAGGACTAACTGGTGAGAGCAATGAATGACAGGAGTTACCGACTCACGAGCCAGCGCGCAGGGCACTGGCAGGAGAGAGCTCCCAAGACGGCAAAGAATAAAGATCGAAGGTCAGATGAGAACAAAAATCAAAAGCAATGCAATTGCGGGAATCTCTGGTACAGCCGCGGGATGCTGAGAAACATGTTATTTACCAGCCGATTAACTAGTAAGTACAGCCTGCCAAAGTACTCAGGTACATGCTCCATCTGACTGGGACATGCTTCACCCGCGCATTACAGCCAAGAACACTACGACGCCTGTGTAATTCTCCTGCTGGACTTCTGGTCTCTTCCCACCAAGTCAATGTCAGACGGGGGTGTGGCCGATCCAGGCCCCAACCGCCATGCAGCGGTCTTGCTCTGTTTCCAACTGAACTTGCCTGGATCCCTGCCTGTTCGCCGCCGCGTGACCCGTCCGTCTGTCTCTTGCTGTGTCAGGTTCCTCAACAGCCTGCGCAGGTTTGTTTCCCCTTTGTTTAAAGATGCCCTGACGTAAGTTTATTGCCTTGGCTTTGACATTAACTTAGCGAAGTAGACTACGCAATTATCGCAACACAAGGCAATAATCGATGCAATATGAACCGGACCCCGAAAGAAAACACTAGGCCTACGTGACTTATATATGCTGTTTGGGGGCTAACAGGAGCCTCCATGTTATCGATTTAAAAACAACAATAGAAATCAACTTCTAACCGCCCATCACCAACCAAGGAACAAACGCTCAAGCCTTCTCACCATCGCTCTTTGAGATGAGTTAGCCGCGGCGGGCTGCAGCATTGTACTTTGTCATCGGTATAACAAGTTTCACAGTTCAGTTTGGCCATTCTTGTCTTCTGCAGCCACATAAGATGCAGCCCGGACTTTGATTTTTGCATAGCAATTGAACAAAACTTGTCGGACCTTGGTCAAGTCTCCGCTTGAATAGCCTCGCGCGCAGTTCTTGGCCCCATGTAGTTCATCTGATTGTGTTATCATACTGCACTGTACACTGGAGGCTCCTGGAGACGCCTACACAAGAAGATATAATGTAACTGGGGTTCGGCCGACGCTTAATGGAGCTCTCGATCAGATCCAGCCCTAAAGTTTAGACCCCAAGTCCCCTAATGCTTAGTTTCGTCTAGCGCGACTTGAACAGATATCAATATACTGTATATGTATGTATCATGCTATGATGCCTCCCAGAACTCAAGAGACTACCTACACATTGAAGCTCGCTAGCCGTTTCTCTATTTCTTTCCATTCCCTCCACAGTAATATCCCCGTTTCTATTTTGATGCCTCTTCATCCTCGCCCACAAACTCGACAAGTGGAGTTCCACTTTTACATTGGTCCTGCAAGAAGCAACATATTAGCCTGTGTTTAAAAAGAGTGTTGGGTATATAATGGTTGAGGTGAAGAATATAGAATCATTGAGATTCTGTCACAGCCTTAATTGACTGGTCCGTGCATGCATGAACCACTAGACTGGGGATCCCCAGGATGATCTCCCATGGTTAGGGAGCTGGCGAGGCCTCTGCTCAAGCCTTAATTTCGAGGCTGAGCACCCCTGCACGTTTTCGAAATCCGACACGGTGGGTAAATGATGCCCAAGGCGCTAAGACTCCGGCCCGGAAGGGGTCGACATGAAATGGGGGGAAAGGAAAAAAGAGCAAATAAATTGGAACAATATTGGGCAAGGGTTGGTTGCAGGGAAGGGTTGGAAGAGCGCGTGACTTACTCCTTTCTGGTGGACGATTTTTGCAATTTTTCCTTGCTGCGGGCTGCGGATCACTGTTTCCATTTTCATGCTCTCAATCACAACTAAGGGTTGATCCTTTTCAACAACGTCACCGGCCTGGACCTCCACGCGTAGCACCTTGCAGGGCATTGGTGCGAGCACGCTGTTTGTAACGTCTTTCATGCCAAGTGCTTTTTCCATCCATTTTGCCCGCGGGATTGCAAGTCGGTATTGCATGCCGCGTTGAAATGCGACGACTGAGTCGCCGTCACGGATTACGGTGGTGTCGAGGCGGGTGTGGGGGAAGAAGGATGTGATACTGCGAGTGCCTGCATTGGGGTGACTGATCACTTGCTCAAAGGCATGCTCGTTGCCAACCTTCACATTGAACACATTGTCACCGGTTTGGCGGACTTTGACTTCGAAGCTTTCGCTGTTTGTTGGTGCTGAATCTGTGAAAGTCATATGGTGTTCTTGATATCCGGGACCAAACCCAACAGCAGAGCCTTCGAAATTAGCTGTCTGTGTTATGAGGCTGGCGTCGTCGTGTAGACAAGCCAAAGCCACCTGTGCCAGCACTTCAGGCGCAATGGCCTCTTTGGTGAAGAGCTCGTCATGATGCTTCTCGATATACCCCGTCTCAACTTCCCCGGAAATGAAGTCGGGGCTTTTACAGATTGTTTTTAGGAACTCGATGTTCGTCACTGGACCAGCCACTTCGTACTCTTCTAACGCTGCAGCGAGTTTGCGAATAGCTTCTTCTCGGTCACCACCTCGAACGATCAGCTTCGCGATCATGGGATCATAGTGCGCAGAAACCTCATCCCCTTGGACGAAACCCGCGTCGATTCGAATATCCTCCGAGAGTGCAGGAGTGCGGACGTGGAGCAGCGTCCCGGAATCTGGAATAAACCCTTGTGCAGGGTTCTCAGCGTAAATTCTGGCTTCAATAGCATGACCGCGAATGGCTATATTTGATTCGACTTCTTCCTGTGTTAGTGGAAGTTTGGCGCCTTCGGCAACCTTCAATTGCCAATGCACAAGATCCTGGCCCGTGACCATTTCAGTTACTGGGTGCTCCACCTGGAGTCTAGTGTTCATCTCCATGAAGAAGAACTCGCCTGTATCATTATCGAAGATGAATTCAACGGTACCAGCACCCTCATATCCCACGGCCAATGCAGCTGACCTGGCCTTTGCCCAGATGTCTTTCCTTGTGGTGTCAGGCAAATGAGGGGCTGGTGACTCTTCTAGGATCTTTTGATGCCTCCGTTGAATACTGCAGTCTCGCTCTCCTAGAGCCACACAATTTCCGTGCTTATCGGCGAAGACTTGAACTTCGATGTGTCGTGGCGTTGTGATGTATTTCTCAACCAGGACATGGTCGTCTCCAAAGGAGTTCATGGCCTCTGACTTTGCCGACTCCAGTTGCGCTTGGAATTCTTCTTTCGAATAAGCTATCCTCATTCCCTTTCCACCGCCACCCTTGATCGCCTTAATGAGCACGGGATATTTGATTTTATCGGCTTCGGATTCGAGGAATTTGGTGTCTTGGTTTTCACCGTGGTAACCCGGGACACAAGGGACTCCTGCCGAGGTCATGATCTTCTTAGACTGGCTTTACAGCTCGCATTGTCAGCGAACAGGAAACCAACTCAATGCACGTAGGTGACGTACCTCTTGTCTCCCATATCCTCAATGGCTTTCCATGGGGGCCCGATGAAGACTAGCCCAGCTTCCGAACATTTTCGCGCGAATTCCGAGTTCTCGCTAAGCTATTGCATTTATTAGTACCCTGGCTGGCGAGGCCGTCGATCCTACTTACAAAGCCGTAACCTGGGTGAATTCCCTGGCACCCTTGGGCCTTTGCAATCTCAATGATACGGTCCCCATCAAGGTATGCCGATACTGAGCCAAGATTGAATGAGAATGGTGAGCTCAGTGCATGTTGTGATCGACTATCTGGGTCGGTGTAGAGAGTAGTTACTCGAATACCGTGTTGGGCTGCGGTTTGGCCAACTCGTCTATCTGCGGTTAGTAGAAATAGGCGGTATTGGACAGAGGGCATACAAAGCAATCTCTCCTCTGTTAGCGATTAGAATTGAGTCTAGGGGTCGCGGAGGGCTCGAAGAACTCGAGGCAATTGTCGATGCATTTCGCTGTGACCGGCGAACAATCGTCGGCCCTAGGCGGGTGGAGGTGCGGAGAAGGGACGAGAGCGGCATTGTATAGAGAAGGGCACAAGTATTCAGGTCAATGCCACAAGGTATACTAGACGGTAGTAGTCACTCGCATGTTCCAAAGGGATAACAGAGTCGCGCGAAGATATTTGGAAAGGGTGGTAAATCTTGCCGGACAAGCTCAGTTGAGCTCGCTCCGCTTCTTGTATGACGGCGATCCAAGCCGCCGCCCCTTGAGCCGACGCAAAGCGATGCGGGGAAAACCGCGACCACGTGACCCTCGCCGCGGTTGCACTTTTTCTTCACTTGGCAAAGCAGGACAAGCGCCGGCGCTCAGCTCTGATCTCATCAACGCCTTTCCAGTCATCAACACCCTCGCGATCGCCCTAGTCTATCCTCAAGTGATTGTGGGTCTCACTTGAGAGTCACCTCTCTCTCTTTTTCTTGAGCATTTCTGCGCTTTCGGACCCACACGTCTTTCGCTTTCTTCGTGTAGCCATCTTATTATGTCTGATAACGAGGAATATTACGATGAATTCGACGATGATGATATCTTCTGGATCGAGGAGGCAGACCCGACTGTTGCTGTATGCTTGCCCACCCTATTATCCGCTAGATTATGTTGTAGCCCATCACTAACCATTTAATGACATAGGACGATCTAGCCGCGGCCGCTACCTATGATCCTAACTTCCTCGACGACCCTTCGCTCGAAACCGCAGAATTCTACAGCGATTGGGAAGATTTATCCGATGATTATTACGACGAAGACCCTACTGCTGTCCGCCGACTGCGCGCCATGGGCGCTTGGCCGACGCAGGACCCGATTGATATCAGCGCACCTCCTATGAAACGCAGAAAAGCCACGAATAACACCTCGACCGACCCAGCCTCGTTTCAAGGTGTCGCATGGAAACATCCCGAGGATAAAACGAATGCCGTTGAGATTTATGCTCCGGGTGACGGGGAAAAGGTCTCCCTGCTGAAAAACTGGAGGGAGGTATTCCGAAACGCGAAACCAGCGATTGGACGCCTGCGGGGCCGGATACCACATCCAAAAGCATCCGGTACGGCTTCGGCGGAACAGAGCGAGTCTGACCTTGATGTCCCATCGTTGGTGGAAGATATCTGCGAAGACGAAATAATTTCCTCGGATGCTCCATCCGCTAAGTCTTATTCGGCGCCAGTTAATGCGCAGGAGACTGTGGATTCGCCATCCCAACCACCTGCGCATTTGCATAAAGGCAGGTATAGGAATCTCAACGGTAGTACTGTAGATTCGACCAACGAGGACGGGACATCTGCAACCAATGAATTCACTACCGATACCAAGACTGAAAAGAAAACCAAAGAGCCTACAACTCCCCGAGGGGGGCGGAAACGCAAGGCCTCGGTTTCAGTGGACGAGCAGCCAGGCCAGTCTAAGAACAGCCCGCCCAAAGCGAAGCGGGCAGCGACGTCAAAGGCATCCGGGGCTAAAAATCCCCCGCCTGCGTCGGCTGCTCCCGTTCGCCGATCAGCGAGGCAAAGAAAATGATCTAAGACTCATGAGTTTATGCGACCTCTCTTCGACTCCTCTTACGAACACAATATATTTACGCCTGTATTCTTAGACATCTAAATAAAACGCTCATTTGAGTTACAATACACCCAACAAAAACCGGCTTTGATCACTGGGCATATTCCTTATTGAAGGCACGCCCAATGACCATGCGCCTAATCTCACTTGTCCCAGCCCCAATTTCGTACAACTTTGCATCCCGAAGTAGTCTGCCGGCAGGTATCTCATTAATATAACCACTCCCACCCATCAGCTGGATCGCATCGAGTGCACATTCTGTGGCCCTTTCGGCAGCGTAAAGAATTGCTCCCGCACAGTCCTGGGTTCGGATCGCTGCCGATCCTAATGAGGCGAAAGTATCGACTTGGCGGGCAGTCGCGTAGGTATAGGCACGGGAAACTGCAAGCTTGGTGTACATATCTGCTAATTTACCCTGGATCAGCTGGTTATGGGCGATGGGAGTTCCGAACTGTTTCCGAACGTGGGTGTATGGGAGAGCTAAATCGAGGGAAGCCTGCATAATTCTGAGTGCGATTGTCAATAAAAGCCCATTTACCGGATGTTATACGGGTATATATGGTGTGTAGTGTAACTCACCCAAGGGGACCAGCACTGAGGACAAGTCGTTCGAGATCAAGACCCTCCATCAGGACCTTCACGCCACGGTTTACTTCGCCGAGGAGATTCTCCTTGGGGACAAAAACGTCTTCAAAGATGAGTTCTCCAGTATTTGAGCCACGCATCCCCAGCTTATCAAGTTTGCGCGCGCACGAGAAACCCTTCGAGGTCTTTTCAACAACGAACGCGGTGATGCCCTTGGAGCCTTTCTCGGGCTCGGTTTTAGCGTAAACGACAATGTAATCTGCGTCGGGACCCTAGTGATTCTTAGCCGCAAGCTTTCTATAAATAAGTGTCAAGGGTAAGGAAGACTGAAACCCACATTCGTAATCCACATCTTGGTTCCGTTCAGCAACCATCCACCATCGACTTCCTTGGCTGTAGTCTTCATGCTGACGACGTCGGAACCAGCCGAATGTTCTGACATAGCCAGTGCACCAATCTTTTCGCCAGATAAAAGACCAGGAAGGAAGCGTTCTTTTTGCTCTGAGGTACCGTTCAAGGAAAGCTGGTTTACACAGAGCTGGGAGTGCGCTGCGTATGATAGACCGATACTGCCTGTGTAGAAGCGGCATATTAGAGGCAAGACACAAACGCAAAATATACTAGCGCGATATACCTGAAGCACGGCTAATCTCCTCCATCACCACACAATGGGCTTGATAACCCATACCAAGGCCTCCATAGTCTTCGTCTGCTGTGACTCCAAGGAACCTGGGATTACATTAGGCATTGAAATATCCCGACAGCTCCACGGAAAATTTACCCAGCATCACCCATTTTCTTCCACATATCCGCTGGAAATTCATTTTGGGCGTCTGTTTGCGCCGCGACTTCTTCGGGAATTTCGCGCCCTAGTTAAGAGAGAGCGTCCAGTCAGGATGGCTGGAAGTTATGGTAGTTGGTATATATCGGAATGCGCAAGCTTACTAGTAAATTCTTGGACTCTTTCTCGTAGTTCTAATAGATCATCCTCTGATGGAGGCACAAACCCCTTCGGATGTTTGGCTGTTGCGACGGTCCGCACGGCGGGGAAGAGAGGCCTCGTGAATCTCGTAGGGGCTCTTGAGGGCAGAGAGCGGAATAGAAGGGGTAAGCGTGTGGTAGCCATAGTCAAGATAAGTTTGTATGACAACGGAGTGCAATTGGCATACAAAGTCTAGAGATGAAGAAATAAATGCTGGAGACCGAGGAGCAAGGAAGCGGAGGTGGGAGTCGTGATGAGCGGGCGGTTAAACGCGGCCAGCGTCGCTTCTCCGCATCTCCGCGTTGTCCCTCCGTCCTTACTTCTGCTCTCTGCTCCTCCGCAAGCCGCATCACCACCACTGCTTCTTTTATATTTCGTCCACCAGATCATTTTACGCCTCTTGGGTTAACCTCTTTCTGTCTATTATTCTTTGAATGGTCATGATCTAGCCAACCTCTCCGTCCTCATCTCGTCCATTCCCCGCAATGCGTGTTTCCGCTCCACTCCTTCGCAGGAGTTGTACCTCGTCGTTAGCAAACACTGCTCGATCAGGCCCTCGACGACTTGTTGCTCCAGCTATACAGCAGACCCGCGGTAGATTACAAACATATCACATTTCTCCATCTCGGTCAATTGCTAGCTATACCCACCCACACCATGCCTCCGCCATTTCTGCCCTCCCCACAGCGGTCGATACGTCGTCCCCCGACTTCAAAGAGAATGCAGAGCAGATGCAAAAAGTCCTAGATCAAATGAATACACTTCACAGTACTATTGCGCAAGGGGGTCCGCAGAAAGCAAAAGATAAGCATATCGCACGAGGGAAGATGCTCCCACGAGATCGCGTCACAGCCCTCATCGACCCTGGCACCTCCTTTCTGGAACTCTCCCAGTTGGCGGGGCATGGAGTGTATCCAGGTGAGGATGTGCCCGCAGGTGGAATTATTACTGGAATTGGAACAGTCGAGGGTGTAACCTGTATGATTGTGGCAAACGACAGCACGGTCAAGGGCGGTACTTACTACCCCGTCACCGTGAAAAAGCACCTTCGCGCTCAAGCGATCGCGCAGGAGAACAAACTACCTTGCATCTACCTGGTAGATTCAGGGGGCGCAAATCTCCCCCATCAGGCTGATGTTTTCCCGGATAAGGATCATTTTGGCCGCATCTTCTTCAACCAAGCCCGGATGAGCTCACAGGGTATCCCTCAGATCTCCGTTGTCATGGGCCCATGTACCGCTGGAGGCGCCTATGTCCCCGCCATGAGCGACGAGACGATTATCGTCGAAAACCAGGGTACCATCTTTCTCGCCGGCCCTCCTCTCGTCAAAGCTGCCACTGGTGAGGAAGTCTCGGCGGAAGACCTAGGAGGTGGTCAACTCCATAGTACAATATCTGGTGTGACCGACTACCTAGCTGTTGACGATGCGCATGCCCTCGTGCTCGCTCGGCGCTCCATCTCTAACCTAAACTATCCAACTACGACGACGAAACCCAACAACCTCTCTCTAAAAGAAAACAAAGAAGGTATAAAAGAACCTCTTTACGACCCTGCTGAGCTCAACGGCATCGTTGGCACCAATCTCCGCCGGCAAATCCCCGCCCATGAAGTCATCGCACGCATCGTCGACGGGAGCGAATTTTCCGAGTTCAAGCGCGACTATGGCACAACCCTTGTCACTGGCTTTGCCCGCATCCACGGACATCGAGTCGGCATCGTCGCCAATAACGGAATTCTCTTCTCTGAATCTTCCCTAAAGGGCGCCCACTTCATTGAACTCTGCGCTCAGCGCAATATCCCACTAGTCTTTCTCCAAAACATCTCCGGCTTTATGGTTGGTGCAGATGCAGAAAAGGGCGGCATCGCAAAGAACGGTGCGAAGCTCGTGACCGCTGTCGCCTGCGCCGATGTGCCCAAGTTCACCGTCGTGTTTGGGTCTAGTGCTGGTGCTGGGAATTACGGAATGTGGTATGTTCTCTCCCCTTAACTCTCAAGCCCAAGCTCCAAACAATGTTAGCTAACATGACATCCAGCGGCCGCGCCTACTCCCCTCGTCTCCTCTTCATGTGGCCCAATGCCAAAATCGGCGTTATGGGCTCCGAGCAGCTCTCCTCCGTCATGGAGGCTGTAGGTCGAACAGCAGACCCTGAGCTCAAAGCCCGTATTGATCGCGAATCGGAGGCGACGTTCTCCTCGGCGCGGCTATGGGATGACGGTGTCATTCCCCCTTCGCATACACGGCGTGTCCTAGGGTTGAGTTTAGCTGCTGCTCTGGGTGGTAGAGGAGACGGGGATGTTAAGACTCGATTTGGAGTTTTCCGGATGTAATTCATGATATAGTTAGTAAATGGTCCTCTTATATTATAGGTTACCATGCATAAAGTGCGTGTTGTCTGGATTTATAGGGGTTTAAGGCTCAGCCATCCCATGTAGATTCATATAAGTACAAAAATCGACTCTATCGCTATCAGATTCGTTCGCCAGGCGAAATATAAAACAAGTAAGGGTATAAGTAACGAGCAAACAAAAGCCCTGGCATGTATTCAAATGACATTTTGAGAAAGAGAAAGAAGAAAAAAATAAAATAAAACACAATACACCTCGAAATGACTGATTAATTCAATCATGCCAGAACCAGAACAAAAACAGCCAAGAACAGGGCTGTAACCTCAGATGCAGCCGAAAGGACATGCGCCGAGGCAGCGGATTCGACGTCGGAACCGTCTGTGTCACCCTCCCGGTCGTTGTCGGAAGATGAGCCCGGGCTTAAGGGGGAAATACCCAGGTTCGCCGAGAGGGAGGTCGTAAGGTGATCGCCCATGGACCGAAGCATGTCAAAGTCGGTGATATACTTGTCATTATGGGCACTTGAAGGAAGGACAGCCTCAGGGCCGGCGTACAGGATGTATGTCACATCCATTTCTTCGTGGCCGCTGTCGCCGCTGAGGTTATCCTTGGGGAAGCAGGAACGAGCGAGGAGCAAAGATGCCTCACCCGTGACCTGCGGGTTGTTGCCATTCGTGTCTCCAAGAATGGCGTAAAACATTTTGTTGTTGCTGTTCTATGTTAGTTTGGTTACGGCTTAAGGACTAGGAACAGTAGCTTACCAGATGACGGCTGCAACATTGTTTCCGGGAATCGCCCCCGGATTGGCTTCGAGAAATGCCTGAGGTATCACAATGTATGGAACCTCGAAAGCAGACAGCGCGCCCCAGTTGGTAACGGCCTGGCCATCGGCGTTGCCGGAGCATTTGTAGTCAATTCCGTCACAGTCGACATCCATGTCGGCTTTGAAAACAAATGCTGCCCCGTCTTGGAACGACGCCCAGTCACTGTGGATTGTCGACGTATCTTTAGAGCCTTTAAGGCTCAGTGGATACGACGCGCGTGCTGGGACTGTCTTTACCATGTCAGAAGCTGCGAGCAGTGCCGGAACGTTGATGGCCTTGGATGCGGCAAAGGAGGACGGCTGCACCTTCTTAGAAGCTGCTGCACCCAGGAAGGGGAGGAGAAGGAGGGTGATGGTGAAGATGAAGATCATGTTGACTGCTCGATTATGGGTAAGTTCGAACAGTCAAAAAAGTATAAAATATTTGTAGTAGTAGCTGAGTCTTGGGGCCTTGGGGCCTTGGAGCCTTGGAGCCTTGATGATACTAGTAGTGGGTGGGACAGATGGTTGTAGAGGAGAAGGAAAAGCAGAAGGGCGGCCCGGGGCTGAGGCTGATTATATAGCCCATTTGAACTCAATATATAAGCCAAGAGGCGAATTATGAAAATATAAAGTTGGTATTCACCACCGAGATATCGTACTTGACAGGGGGTTAAACGCGTGGCCTGCCTAGAGAGTTTGGTTATCCACAGGTACAGATTGGTAAGGGGATACTTCCCGTCGTCAGGAACGGGTGTAGCAACCATCATGATCACGACCTGAGTCACCAAAAAAGTTTGTCGAGGGTGACATGATAGCAATCACCTTATTTGGATCATGACTTGCAACTTACCCCTGGTATTACCATGGCACCGACAGCTAAATTATGAGGGAAGGAAGAAAGGTACAGAAAAAAAATAAACTTTTCCATTCCTGAAGCATAATATAATAGATGGCGGGTGTAAAGTAATAGAAGTAGAAAAGTGTAAATGAACAGAAATCTATCGTAATATGACGTCGAAAGCGTAAGATGGAACACAGTAGAGATTGGTTTGGTATCATGTTTTATGGCATGTGTTGGTATGTGCAAGTCGTTAGGGGTTCATGAGCAGTAATGTGAGGAGAGGACTCGTCTGATGGTCGCATAATGCGATGGAGGAGCAACGAAGAAGCCATAGCTCGCGCTTTTGGGGTTGCCGGTTTTCTATAGAATGACGCAAGGTCCCTTCCGCTTGGGCTCTCGTCGCTTTCCTCGCCTTCTTTCCTGTCGACCCTGACCCTCACGCTTGCGAGGCGCGAGTTCGTAGTCGCCTGAGCTTCCTTTGGCGTCCTTTCGGATAATCTGCCGGCAGAGGTCAACGAAGACCTCGTTAACATTGGCGCGTCGACGAGCCGAAGTCTCGTAATATGGAGCATTGCCCCAGCTTTGAGAAAGAGAGAATGCGCGTGCACGGGGTACCGCGCGGTCTTCCTCTAGGTCCGATTTGTTGCCCACAATGACAATGGGGACGTTTTCATCATCCTTAATACGAATAATCTGCTCCCGTAATTCAGATAGTTCGTTCAGAGAGGACATGCTCGTGATGGAAAATACAAGCAGGAAGCCTTGGCCTTGCTTCATATATAGCTCTCTGGAGGGACATCAGAGGTTAGCGCTGAATCAACGTTTGTATGTATTGATATCGAAAGTCGCCAATACTCTCTAGGGGTTTAGGATGGGATAGTTTATTACCTCATGGCCGCTAAAAAGATGTTAATGGAAGGCTATAATTGTGGAGAGACAGGCTAACTCACTAAACTGTTCTGTGCCTGCTGTGTCAAGACTATCGGTATAAGTGGTCAGTTATGAGTCCACTATTGCAGTATCCATATACAAGATCGTCAGACATACATTTCTAGAATACATTGTCGGCCCTGAAAAAAAAGTTAGTATCCATATATATCAAGCGCAGCATGCTATACAAACTTACGTCTACCTCAATATGTTTGCGATAGGAATCCTCGATTGTTGGGTCATAGCTTTCAATCCAGACATTTTGAACGAATTGCGCTATCGGGTGTAAGTTATTGCTGACCCCAGGCGCGTATCTAACCCTAAGGCAGGGCTGCCGAGAAAAGTGACGGGGTCTCCATACCAGTTAGACAGCTTTTACCAACTCCTCCTATTGCGCACACGAACAAAAGTCAGCGCTAGAGCTTAGATGGGGTTGTTCGGGGCAGAAAGGGCAGCCTACCAGCGCCTAACACGACAATATGGTATTCTCGTCTGCGGGTGTCACAATGTCATTATTAGCATATGCCATACAGTATAATATGACGCGAACCAGGCTCCGGGGTTGAACTCACTGCGGCCGCATTGGTATGAGTAATCGTGACACCAGCGATTACAGCTGAACCTCTCGATTGGAGTGAGCTTTCTCAATGGCAAACAGTATGACCAAAAAGATGGTACTGTCCAACAAGCGTGCCTGCGTCGAAGTATATCTGTTCCGCAGCAAACAAACCAAGAATCCAAAAATCCCTTTGCGAACTGGCGAAGACGTAGTTTCGTAGGTCCGATGTAATGCGCGGCGCTCGGGCAATGGTTGGGCCTCCTGGCGGATCGGATGGTAGTCCAAGTCCCTCGGGGGTAAAGGAGCGGGGGTGAGCTTGGAGCAAGGGTAACGACACGCGATCCGTTACATCGGTCTCGATATCAATCAATTACCGCCCAATTGGATGTTTCCAGGAAAGATAGGGGCGCTTGAAGCGGGACGTGAAGCGAGGGGAGGTGAAAAGAAGAGGTCGGAGAAGCGAGAGTGTGCGCCACGAGGTTCGAGAACGAAATGGCAGCGGAGCGAACGAACGGACCAGTTTGATGTCCAGAGCGAGACTGAAGTGCCGGTGGGGGCGAAGGAGCCAGGGCCAGGCCCACTGCAGTTTAGTCGCGGTCTCTTAGCAGAAGTTGTGGGGTGCGAAGAACGGGTTTGGTTCAAAATTCGGACTTTCTGGATCTGGCGGAGAACGGAGGGGAAGCTGCGGTAGTTGTCCTGCACGGACAATGATAATAATGATGCAATTGTCTGACAATGTGATCCCTCTTGGTGTTTGCTTTTTTTTTTCTCCCTGCTCCGTGGCTTTGGAGTCTCTTTTCTTCCCCCTTTGCCGAGGGGAGGACAGAAAAACGCACTTCGGACACGCGTTACGAATAATCTTGTGGATGGCGGTGAAGATCGAATTGGGTGATTTTGGAACCGAAACTTTATTAGTGGGCGTTGGAGACGATCCAAACTGGGTAAAAATATGCAAGTTCCAAAAAGTAGAGTATGTGATGGTTGGCGAAAGAGATGGAGGGGAGAGAAGAGATGAGATGAGGTTGTAAGTCGAGCCTGGGGAGGGAGGATGGGCGAAGAAATACTTCATACACATCCATCTTGAAAAACCACCGGCGTGGCGGGGCATGAATAAATAACACCATGTCGCATCCCGTCTTCTTTTCTTATTCTTCCTTCTCAAAGCAATCAAACTACACCCGGATCTCATCAACGCCAGACTCACCGATGGCTCGACAAAACCCTGCTCGCACTTCTGCTGCACCATGCACCGACTAGGAAGGATGCAACCCCTGTTCTCGCGATCAGAAACACGCCCAAGTGTTGAGTCAGCTCTGCAACGCCTCATCCTTCCCGAGTCTCATCTCATCTTCATCACAAACCGCTAGGCACTGAAACAAGGCCCAACCTGTCATTCGCGACCTATCACCTACCAGCGAAATGCGATCTCACGCCTGAACTGCAGGTATGATCGCCCGCCTAGCCCAGGGACTGGACAACTCAGCGCTGCCAGGGACGGTCCATGGATCAGGTTCCTGGGCTCCGGGGCAAACAATGAAATGGGGCTTGATCTGGTAGGCACAGCCTTCGCAAACATTGAGAGCTTGCATCCGCCCTTCCAGCCCTTCTACCCAGTCGGGTCTCCGGTTCGTTTCCACATAATATTACTTAGGCATCAATATCATTTTTGATTCTTCAAGTGTCCATGCGGGCCGTTTCAATGTACTTTTACTCATCACATTCGGTACGTCTACGGACAGAAGTACCTCGCGAGATAACGAGGACGAAGTGGGTCAAGAACGTTTTGTCAAATCGCGAAAAGTACCACGATATGATACTTATCGTGCGTTGGGATGATGCGGACGACGGCGGCCATACCGTTTCTCATTTGAAGTACAAACAAGCATACCTGTTGATTGTTCGGACTGGGAATGAAGTGTCACATTAGGTCTCAATACAATGTGTTGTACAACGAGAACAAAAAGAAAAGAATCCTCGGGCCAGTGCCTTATGCAATGATGCAACTAAATACAACAATTATGACATTGGAAAAGCCAGGCTAGTATTCCCTTGTTCCCTTGTTCCGCCATTCCCACGCAACATATTTATCTCTCCTTGCATCTGCATTTTCAGAGCAGAAATCAGGCTGGCCCACGTCACTTGGTGCCATTAACCTGTCTGTTTACCTTCACTTCCTGCAGTCCATTGGTGGCGGAACTATACTGGTCCAAGGCATCGAACACATGGCCAAAAACCAGCTCAGGCGCATCCTGGGCCCACAGGAAATCAAGGTGCTCGTACTTTGGAATGATTTTAGCCGTTGTCCTTCGCGGGAGCTCTTTCTGCATCACATTGATATCAACAAGACTATCACTGCCCCCATACAGCAGCACAATCGGGGTTTTGATGTTCCTCGTGGGGTATTTGACTGGCTTGTAAAATCGTTCGCTCGCTGCAATACTAAATGGTGCATAGATCTCATCATCATAGAACTGAAAGTTCTTGTTGCGGATGATTTGGAACCAATGTACCACGGACTTGGTACTTGTGAACGAGAACAAATGGAAATAACCCGCGAGCTTCTGGCTACGGCTGATATTCCTGCATTTCCAATTAAAGAGGAAGGCAAGTGACGTGTCTATGATGCGCATGAAAATCGGAGGGTACAGGATGGTCTGCCACATCGTGGTTGAACTGAGGATGCTGCGTCGGCCAAAGAGCAAGAACAGGAAGTTCGGTGAGGCTTTCATAAGGGAATCCACAACCGGATTTGATATCCGAGCGGGTGCCATTGCAGGCGCAAGGGCCACAAAGACGTCGATCTTCTGATTTAACTGCGGGTGAATCGAAAGAGTGGCGAAAGCTTGAGCCGTTCCCTGCGAGAAGCCAATATATGATAGGGAGGGCTGCCCTGTCAGTTCAAGGATATAGTTGATACTGTCCGGGATATCGTGAAAGGCGAACTGATCGATTGAGAAATCCCAAAACTCATTGGTTAGCGGAGAGAGCCTGGTCGACTTTTTGGAATATTTATTCCCTCGGTTGTTCCCCAACCAGACGTCGTACCCTCGTTCCACGAGCTGGAAAGGAAGACATCGTTCCTCCTCTGTCAAGCAGACCCAAACTTCACTGCACATCATCAAGCCATGGTGGAGATATACGACCTTCTTCTTGACGCTTTGTGCACCTTGATTCACAGTCTTGGATTCTTCGCCCTTACGGTTGGGCAATCGATGCAGGCCAAGTAGATATCCATCCTTAGTCTGCACAATGTGCTCTTCCGCCTCATATCCAAAGATGGAGCATATTTCCCCAAAATCTGATGCTTCCCCAACCGCAGTCGCAATTCGCTTTTCCCTCACCTGATTTTCTGGCTTCTCAGGGGGTATAATGAGGTTGAAAATAGTTTTCGACCGTTCGTAGCAGAAATTAATGATCGGCTCAGCTGCTCCAAGTTAGCTTTTATCCGTGGCAGGTCCTTTCCCCCATGCTGCGACGTACGAAGGCAGAACGTAATGATGTGAATGACCCATTCCAGCAGCACCAAAATCAACGATCCGAATAGCGCAAGGTATTCGAACCAGAAAAGCCGCCCGATGACTGGTACACGGGCCATATTGAAGACGTAACAATCAGGAGGCAGCTAGTCCTTTGAAATCATAGCTTTGAAAGATCATAATGCGCAATGGCTGGGAGAAAATGATAATCTCCGCAGCCCTCCAGGCGACGATCGATAGACTAACGCGACGTCATTTATCCCCTACTAAAAGACCGCCATTTTCATGTGATGGAGCTTACCTAATCCGGGGATAGCCTGGCGAATTTTTGCCCGCGGAGTCAGGCTGCATCTCAGGTGTCGAGGACGGGAGGAACTTGAATCACCAACGGTCTCCAAATCCTCATCAGGGCATTGGCTGTGTCGCATCCAAAATGCCGAATTCTTGCAACGCTCTCCGTGAGTTATTCTGGCTCCATCCTGCTTCTGAACACTACCACGGCACGCCTTTTCGTGCCCCGGGGCCTCCGCGGTCATACCACCAAGCCAAAGAGAGCAGCTTCTCTAACGAATAAATTGAATAGGCGATGCCCTGGCACAATGCCTCCAACAGTCTGACTGTATCATGGTCCAACGCCACACACCGCGAGAATGCCTAAGCGAACCTCTGGTCGATGAACTTCCAGTCAAATGTCAACAGCTGCGGAAAGGTTTCGGCGAGTGCAAGTTCGTCACCCTAACCTTCCCCTCTTCCGAGCGAAGCGGGAACAAAATAAAGAAATCGGTTGCTAACTGGTTTTTAACAAATAGACGTGGACTAATCGATATGCGCAAACGATTCCGCGGCAACGCGCCCCTCCAAATGTCCAAAGAGGTGGAGGGCAAGGCAAGCAAACCTTCGCAACAGTTGTATGCGGGCAAGCCGGCGTTTGAGACTGTGAAGGAGATTAGTGGCGATGAGGTGCAGATGGATCCCGAGAAGACGAGAGGGCTATGAGGGGAGAAACGCATTGGAGGGGAAGCTGTGAAACCACAGACTTGATGTGAAATCTGGTTGAATTTAGAGAAATGTCTCCCATGCATATGCTTTTTGTTTTGGCTGCCTGTTTTTCTCCCCTCATGGCATGGATCGGAGTTGTTGTTTTTATTTGGGCATGTACAATATGTGTACGTTTATATATCAGCATGATGAAAACGATACCGTTTAGATTGGTTACATAAATCTACTATTACAGCAAAGTATGCATCTTTTAAGACTTTCGCCTTCCATTGTATTTTATGTTCATACAATATCATTCAGATTAGTACATCTCTGATCTAGACCTACTGCGTCTTCTTGCTCTTCACCGCAGCAGTAGAAGTAGGCGCTGAGTAGAGCCAGATGATCACGAATGCCAAGAACCCTGCGATAACAGACCAGAGACCAGCAATCCAGACCCAACCTCCGCTAATCTTCCAACTGCGAGGATACTCATTGTGGGCGTAGTGGCGGACGGTGACTTCGTGTTTTTCTTCAATGTTGGTGAGGAAGGGACGCTTGTAATTTACACGGAAGGAGAAGATTCCGTGCTGGTCAGGGACAGTGAACTGGGTGCCAAAGATGGTGCTGTTTGCTGTTGTCTTAATGGGCTGGAGGTTGAGACGGTGGAAAGGGGATAGCATGGTGAATTCGAGTTGGAGCTCGTCGTTGGCAGGGATCTCGAAGGGGACGAATCCATCGTAGCTGTATTCTGAAATCTCAATCGAGAAAGCCTGATGGTTCCTAAGTTAGCAAGTATAGAGGTACAACAATGTTGTAGACACGTACGGTTTCGTTCTTGATCCGATAGATGCTAGGGTTCAGGTCCTCTGCTGTGAGTTCATCCTTGGCAAGGTGGTGCTCAATGTTCCCAACTTTGAGAACACCAGTTTCCTTGAATGTCCATGCAGTCAATTGTTTGGCGAACTCTCGGTTGGCCGTCTCAGCATCTTTACCGCCCGGTGCCTTTACTGTTGCGGAGAACCATTTATCCTGGAGACTCTCTACGGAACCCAACAGCGTGAAGCGGGCAGAGTTCCTGGCCTGCATGGTTGATACCAGTGCCAATTGGGAACCGGTAGCAAAGACCTCTTCAACTGAGCCCACATCCTCCTTCGGGTTGTAGCTGTAGGCTGTAGTGGGGGCTCGCAAAATAGGTGCAAGGAGGGAGTTGTCCCCGAGTGTGTGAGGGCTAGAGTTTGGAAGAGCGAGAACACCCTTGCCTCCGAAAAAATCCTTGGTGTCTGGTCTGAGCTTACCAGGGCGCTCAAGAAGGAGGACATCATGTTTTTCGGAAGCCGAGAGCGTGTCGTAGTTGAAGTGGTCAACGGCGATGGAGGAACGGTCGGTGGATAGGTGGAGGTCGAATTCCAGGAGGAGCGAGCTGATGGCACTGGGAGTTGTGGACTTTCCCGAGAGAGCGAGGAGAACGTTTCCATCTTTGTTGAGAAAGTCGACGAGGTTCTTAGGGCTTAGCGAAGGCCCGAAACCTATATCATAAGGTCAATTGGTTGTCCCAATATAGTCCTTGCACTGAGTAGAAGATTGTCGAACCTTTGGATTTGGGAGGGAGAAGGAGGACATGGTCGTAGGCCCTCTCCCCCAGGTCGAACAAGGAAAGCTTATCGCTTTTGGGTGATTCGAAGACGAGGTTATACCCTCGAGCTGTCAGGCAACCCAATTAGCAACGACAGAAATCCATTGGGCCGGTTTATTGGACGGCATACCCTCTAGATCACCCCATAGCGTTGAATATAGCCCCTTCTCTGTCGCTTCTTCCAAAACCACAAGCAGTCGATTGCCCGAACTGCTCAATGCATTGACAGCGGCCAAAAAGCCGAATAGCAGGAGAGACGGAAACCACCGCATCGTCGAAAGGCTTCCGCGCAGCGGAGTGAGAGAACAAACCGAGAGAAAATATCACCAAAAGAAAAGAAACAAAATCGCAAGCGGCGTTGGTGAGGAGGTAATGGTATCAAGGTATATAGTCTGCGGAGGTCCAGCTTGAATTGGCGACGTGTTTGGACCAGGCGCCAAGACCTCGACAATCCGCCGCCTTTGCAACTAAACTTCGGTCCGGCTTGTCGTCACTTTCAACCTCCATCTTTCCCCTCAACCCACCGATCGCAACTCAGCTCACGCAGGGCACCCACAATTATCGTCCTCCGCGAGACTTCGACCTCATCCGTGTCCTCCGGTCTATTCAATTGACCCATCTCCTTGAAATATCGCATTCCGCGCGGTCAACCCAAACCCCGAACTTCCGCAAAATCTTCCCCCAACCTACGCCGCAACAATGACTACCCCCCAGTTCTGGTCTACACCCCTTCGCTACATGCGTTGGGCCTCGCACGAGAAGCCCGCCATCTTCTACTCTCTCGTCATTGGCGCCACCGGCCCGCTCATGCTCGTTTCCCTCCCCCCAATCAGACGATTCTTCGGCGATGTCGACCCGGAACCGATTCCCTTGACATATCCCAGTAAGTTGCCCGCCGCAGTACCGGCTTAAATTCAATGACGCTGACCCATTAATTTCTTTTCCGATTAGTCCCCCAAGGACCTCGGGTTATTCCCCAGGGTTATGACGACGAGTAAATCCAAGATTACCGCGCGGGTAATGGATGAAGGTTGTTTGTCATATTAGGCTTGATATCACTCTATTTGCTGTTGTTTAGCTGGGAAATTTCACATCAAGGTTGCTTCGAAACCGACATGCGCATACGCTCTCAGTCACATTTCTTTGAGAAAAATCGCCGATCTAATCCGCGGATATCGAATCTCGGCTGGTTCTTTACTCGCTTTAGCTCGGGCAAAGTCTTTTCGTTCGCCTGACCGTAAGGGCCGCTAGGTCTCCCTCTATACCCTTCACCTAGCGACATTTCTGTTCTGGCGAGAAGACTACATTGTATTGTATATGGAAAAAGAGTTATAGATCGCGAAATGGCATATTTCTTCTTTCATTTCGGCATCTCTCTTCGATGAGTGTTGGATTCCCTCTGAGTATAGCCTATCTTTGAAAGGTAAGTTTGAGAATGGAGTGTTCGTCATACATGCAAAGGAAATAGCATATAGGTGAACCACAAAGTACGCTTGATAAATATAAGAACGGATATCATATAGAGCAACAAACAATGAACGGAAGATCGACATGCTTCCCCAGTTTCTTCTGCTGTACACCGTACTTCAAAGAAACGCCAAATTCCCTTCACCACCGCCATTCTGCACCAATGGATTATCATCTTCCATTATAGATAAATCAAATATATTCATATTGCCCCCCAGGTTGCCGAACTGTTCGAAATCTACCGGGCTCCCAAAGAGGCCATTGCCGCTGGGACTGGTCATGGCCGAGAGGGATGATAAAGATGGAACCACCGGGTTGAGGGATGAGGATGAATAGCTCATCGAGGGATCCCAGACCATAGTGGGATTGGCTGTGAAGGTGTTTAACGAGTCCAAGGTAGAAGGACCGGTATTTTGCAGCACAGGGCTCAACAAGAAATCATTTCCGAGGGTATTATTGTTGAGACCCATCATGGCGCTGGAACCGTCCATAAGAGGCTCAGTAGACCCAGGAACAAACGACTGACGGACGCGACTATCATTGGGAATGTGGATGTTGCAGTTAGGGACACCCATAATATCCTTGATACCTGGGAGTTTGTAGTTCAACGTTTCTGGTAAGGGCATTTCCTCCTCCCTGACTTGACAGCAGGTCAGGTACGAAAGCTCGCCATTGAGAAGCGGGTCATACTTGGCTTGGTTGACGAGCAAATCCGAGACCATATGCTTCATAACTTTCTTGAGCTCATCCAGGTCTTTCTTTAGCTCTTTATGTTGTTCATTTCCGATTTTGAGGGAAGCAGAGAGCTGTCCAATGGTTTGATCAAACTCATTCAAACAGGGATCGTCTCCTGCTGCAATCTTGCGATAGAAGGCAGCGCCTCCATCTGGAGCGTGGTAGTTGCGACCCGCCACAAAAGATTGGCAGAGCCACTGCTGGTAGAAGGTTAATGCCATCCATCCAAATACATTTTTCGTTTCTCGATAGTAAGCCTTATCTAGGCGCGGATGAGGGAGGCGATTCACTATCTGAAACTCCACGGCCTTTTTGATCTCCTTTAGGCCTTGGATCTTCTGGACGCATAAGGTACGAACACTCTTTGGCAACGACTTGCGTTCCTTTTCTTCAAGGAGGCCCCATTTTCCCACCAAGTGAATCATAGACTCCTTGAATACAGAGCCTGATTGAATGCAAACTGCGAGTTTTACCTAGGAGACTGGGTCCTGCGAGATGAGTTTGTAGAGCGTTTGATCGAAAGTGAGGAGGGTTGTCTGAATGGCACGAGAGACAACGCCAGTCGAATGGAGTTCTTCTGCCTTTTCAAATAACATCTGGCAATTTGCTAGTATTGAGCCCTGGCCATCGGTGTCCAAGACCGGAGGCTCGTCGTAAAAGATTCTGAAGATATTCGACCAAACGCAGCGAATCTGCTCAGACCACATGGGAAAGGAGCATAAGCCCAACTGCACGTCGTTCATCGCACCAGTGGAATCGTCGTAACCCTGTATTGCAACCTCTTGTGTTAGAACCATTTCGTCTGAGAATTTTTCGCTATTGGGTAGGTAAGGTCATTTACCTGAATCTCCAGTATTCCGTATTTATGAGCCGACGAGCCGACTACATTCGTGATGATGCGGCGCAATTGTGGCTCAGGCTGTTTTGTGGATGATAAAGGTGTAACAAAGGGACAAAATCCTCCAAGAAGCTGCTCCAAGGATCTGGAGTGGCTTTTAAGCACCCGAGAATGAAGACAGTGGGTGTCTGGTATCACATTTACCTTGACATCGCCGTCAGCAAATTGGAGGGGGGTTAAAGCCATGGTAACGCGCATAAAGCATATCCCCTGTCAATTCTAGTGTATAGGAGGCTGGAAGAGGCGGAGAAGTAATCCAAGACATGGGTAGAGACAACACTAACAAACCCTCAATTTTGAACAAAGAACAGCCGAGACAGGCACATAAAATAGTAGCCAGCAGAGTTAACGTTGCGATCTAGTCGATGAGTGAATAAGATCAAGAAGCAAACGGACTAAAGTGTTTTGATACGCCAGGGCCGAAGTGGTTGGGCCCACCCAATGAGTGAATTGAACAGCAATTGAGGCAGTTACCGTGGGTGCCTATCTATCATACTAAATGGAAAATGGCCAAGGTGCAAGTCTGCCGCCTTGCTGCTAGTGAACAGAATGTGATGCCTCAACACTGATCTTGAAATGTTCAAATTTGGGGTGTTGAGAAAACACGTAACAAAGCTCAAGAGGTCACGGTGCAAATGACCGTTGAATTAGTATGTGGCTTAGGGGGCTTGGAGGAAGAACAAACAACGTTGAACATAGGCCAAGTCTCAATGAGTTGGTAAGCAGATTCTTGAATTAACTGAAACACCGTTGTGAAACTTCATCAGAATGAGAAAACGCCGTATATGCTCGTATCTACATCACCGTATATCATCAACGCCCGCACTAGCGAGGTATGTTTCAACCCCGTCAGCTCAACAAGCCGTGACAACGAAACGCCCCTCGAAACATATTAGGAGGCACCGAATAAGCTGGGCAAAAAAAATCGCTGGGAGTACACCACGAAAGAAACCAAAACGGAGCGGAGCAGTTGCCTGACATGGCGACAAGATAGAAGATAAGAAGACATCAGGGACCAGGTGAGCATTACAATGCACCAGCAAAACAGCCACCTTTTCATAAGCATCACAAATATTTGGTGGATCTTTACATTAGAACGCCAATGGAGTCCCCCCCGAGAGGAAAGAGCAAGGAACATATCCAGCGGAACACCGACCGACGTCCATGGAGACACTCGGTAATAGCAATCAACGCCGACGCGCACAACGTCCAGGGAAATAGAGCAAGGTCCGGTAATCTAAGGTTCGTTTCCCCATGGCTGCAATCGGTTGGGAAACAAAGACTAAGCACACTTTTTTCCGGCATGATATTCCTGTAGGCAGAAAAGGAAAGAGATCCATAAAGGCTCCAGGGTATGAGCGGCAAAGAAAATTCGTGGCGTAAAATTCATTAATCCCGCGGCATTTTCCGTTCAGGAAACACAAGCATTGGTACTAGCCGAATGCCTGCTGCTCGCAAGGGGCTTTGAAATGATGCATCATCACCGTGTCCGGCGGGGAGCCTCTCTTTCTCTTGCTGGTTGCGGCCTACTTCGGTCAGGATATCCAGAGTCCGGAGTGTATCTGGGTTCCATTCCTATCCGTGGGTCAGGGGCAGTAGTAGCAGGATAAGGAATTCCGGTGGTAACGGGAGAATAATCAGATTCGGTATCATATCCAGGGCCAGGGTATCTTGGGGCATTGTTTCTCCCGTTCTCGAAGCCATAGCCAGAGCTGGCGTAAGTATAAGAAGGGTGGAGTTCAGAAGTCACTGACGGTTGGCTTGGAGTACTGTAGGGGATATGTTGGGGAGGGTACGGCTGGCCGGCCGCAAAGCCTGAATGGTTTGAAGGATATGAGGGAGCGTTTGAGTATGGCGGACTTGAAGTTGAAGGGTAGCCACCCTGGTGATATTGCTCTGCGTACTGCTGCGGGGCCGCAGCGTAGGTTGTGGGGGGAGAAGGACGCTGACCCTGGGGCATTTCAGAGTGCATACTTCCCATAGAAGTTGGATAGTTTGGAGTGGCCCGGCTGGTTTGGGGGTAGTTGTAGTCCTGGATGTAACTACCTCGAGGGTAGCCTTGGTCAGCCCGACTTCTCACATCTGCCTCCCATCGAGCCGAATCGGCTTTGAGATCAGCAATCATTTCCTGGAATTCCACCACGTTAGTTTGCCTCCTCTTAAGTATAGATTTCAGAAGCCACATACTGATGTGAGATTTCGGTAAGCCCGAATAAAAAATCCTCCACGACCCTATTCAGAAGTCAGTAACGAAAACCCGGGTGATAAATTCATCGAGACCAGTTTCTTTGGCACTTGTACGCGGTCGATTGCAGAGGATCGGGGAGACGGACATTATGGTTTCCAGGTCTTACTAATGCATCATTTCCAAGGTAACGGCAGATATCGGCCTGGATTACCTCTCGGCTAATTCCATCTCCGGGAATGAAGTACTCATTTTGACGGCTAGTCATTGTGTCCAGGGAAGTGTATCCGGTGTTTATTTAAACAAAGTAAGAGGGTCCAGATGTCCAGAGGGGGTCCAGGGAAGAGAGAGTCCGGGAAGTCCAGGTAAATATGGTGGCGAACTGTATCAATCTCAGGCTGTTCTTCAACAAGGCAAGAATTATTATGAGGATGGATATCCAAGGCTGGTAAATAGAGCAAATCTGCTTTTGATTTGACAGGTTTCCAAGCGGGACCAAGGCGTGAGAGAGTGAGTGCCAGCTGGAGCTTCTGGGATCCCAAGCGGTAACGAAAACAAAGAAATCCAGGAGGATGAATTCTTGTCCACGGTTGTCTGTCAGAGAGCAAAGTGATATTCCTTGAGTATATCCAGTAAAAACCAGGTCGCAAGATAACAGTAGATGGATGTGAAGAGTCGAGGGTGACAACGAAGAGAAGACCACGAGGCGGGAGAACGGCGCGGATGGAAGATGACTAGAAGAGGGGCTAAGGGGAGTCCAAGTTTCACGGTCGTCTGTCGGTTCCAGTGGTGTTTTGTACAGATTATGCTACCTGGAAGCCGGCGAGAGATGCCAGATAAGGCTTTGAGGGAGAAGAGGGAAGAAGGGAAGAGCGTGAAGAGAAAGAAAGGAAAAGACGAGGGTCGGCGAGAAAAGAGGCGCTGAAGAAGAGCGAGGGAGCGAAAAAGGTGGGAGCAAAGGTCGAGGGGAGACACCTGTGTGGGTTTTGCGCCTGTGCCCCGAGAAGGATTGATTGGGCTGTTGTTGGGCTGGCTTTGGGCTGCTGGCCTGTCTGGTGCCACGACTGTCGTCTCAGACTCCACACCACACCGCAACGACACCAGAGGACAACGCCAGAATCTGCATGCATGGACGGACAAATAAGGCTTAGGTGCTTGGCCATGGAAGCCCCGTCGATGTTGGTGGTCCACGACCTGCTTTGGCGCCTGTGTCGCGATGGTGCCTCTTCCCGCCTTCTAATTCATTTTATTGGGCAAGGCCCAAGCCTTGACGATCAGGGAGGGTATCACCATGGACCGCAAAAGTACTTCCACTCCAGGATATAACTACGCTAGCCGACTTCAACTCGACTCCAGGAGGAAAAGAGTCGGTCGTTACGTGACTGTGACGGTGGACTTTCGAATCCAAAAGAGCAGATATCTCCCAGAAAACAGAACAAGCCTTTTTTCTCAATTCCAAATAACAATTCAATAACTATACAACCTCTCGCGCAGAGCAGAGAGATACCTTGCCTCCTCGGTGACCATCCTTGCCTCACCTGGTACCACAGACAAGCAAGCCCCTACTTCACCGGTTCAATCATCAAACAGCAGCTGTCCAGCCTTCAATTTGAAGACAGCCTGCACAGGAGATGAGAGACTCCGGAAGCAAATCAACCAAAGCTCCTTCTTTGCTCCTTCTCTCTTAATGAAATCACAAGCAAATAACTGGGTTCCCCAGCTATCGAGGAGACTTCGCGTATCTGCGGAGTACGTGATATTAACTGCATCACTACTGCATCCTTAGGAATCATTACAGTATCGACTTCTCGATGCAGGGCGCATATGCCATTATGAGGGCGATGTGCAGATGCAGTGAATTCTGCATGATCAAGAGCTTATGGCCATCCGCAGAGTGGTCGTTGCTTGCTTCAAGCTGCTTCAAGCTGTGACTCGTTGGCACCAATTTTTTTGGGGATCCAGCCAGTGAGGCGCGGGAGGGGGGTTTGGGCATTGGGCAGTCATGCGTGTGGCGACTTGGGCACTCGTCAGACGTCAGTTTCCTCCATAATTTTTCCCTACCGCCGTCTCGAATGGTTCCGCTTCCTTGATCTCTGTTGTCGAATAATTAATCAGATCATCAACGTTTAGAGATCCTGTTGCGGTCGCGAACCAAGGCTCCAACCCGCCCGGGCCGTCGTACTTTGCTGGGTCCCGGCCTCAGCCTTGCGTTGGTTCTCCAATCGCTTTCTGGCGGATACCCTTTGCTCGGGTGATGACACCGAGCTCGACACTGGTCCTGATGTCTTCTCATTAAGCTCATTACTATTCTTTGACATGGTGGCAAACGAGCATTTCTTAGTTAACCAATGTCCTTCCAGTATGACCTTGGATGAGGCTGCTGGTTTGATCCCGGTGCATGGATCTAACCAGCAGTCAGAATACAGATGGCCACGCCATATTACCTTTTTAATTCTCTTCCCGCCTGGCTATCAGAATATCGACTTCTCCGTCATCGATCCGCTGGTCAACCTTGCGCATCACTGTCAGCACAACTTGCTCGTTTCATTTCATGATGCTCACGTACTTTTCGTGGAGCACGCCGATGAGGCAGTAATATGCATGTTTTGTTCGAATGATATCAAGCCAGGTGGCTTCGGCATCCATGATACACTTCCTCATGTCTCTGTAAGCCTCCTCGACAGCTCGAAGGCCCAAACCCTGCGGGCCGCATGTGGATACGGTCACGTATAATGCCTCACTCCCCACGTCTCAATTACGCTTCCCGGGGCGCCAGTTTCGACCAAGCCAGCCACCGCAGAAAGTTATCTTGAATGAGAGGATCTATCCTCATTATCCGCGAGGTCAGATAGCTTCCTTTGACTTTGCTATGGTACTTAAATGAGGTCATCTAGACCCTTTCGTAAGCTTTGATATACCTGGCGCAACTTCGGGGTGGCCACAATTCAATGGCCATTATGATGAAATGTCAAGGCGTGTACCTGACATGTGGAGACGATTTGCTGTCAACAGTCAGGCGACGGCTGAGGAGATGCCAGACCCGATAATCGTCCACTCTATACGCCTCATTCGAACCTTGTTTACCGTAGTTTAAGGTATGCGTAGGTATCTTCTGCCGCTGCCCTACCTAGGATTGTGGTCAGCAAACTATTGGCGCTCCCGATTTTGCTACTGCTGAGGTGGGACGCGTTAGGAAGGAACAGATGGAGTCCGGGTGCATCGCACTTGTCCTGTAACTGGAGAGGGAAATACCCAAATTTAAGATACCAAGCACTAAATAGCGTAGCCATTCTTTGCCTTCCTTTTAGAGATGGTGACCAGGGAGGAAGGTGCGATTGGTTATGGTGCCTACCTAGTGAACTGATGTTGTCCGGTTGCTCTGGCCACTGGAACTGACTGCACTTGGAAGCCTACCTCAATGCCATTTAGGAAAGCACGAAGCTGGTCTACGCCTCCATAGGAAGCCGTCACCTACCGAGCATTATATATATTCACGACGCTTTACTCAAAAGCTATTAAACTTATTTTAGAGGCCTCGCATTGTTAGGTCCTACAGGATTCGGTACATTAATTGTTCGAGGTAGCTAGTATAAGCCACAGAGCATCCTAATCGGAAAACGGGGTGTTCTACGGTCGTAGCCATATTAAAATGTTAGTACGTATGAGTATTCACTATTCAGCATGGACTATGGAGGAGGGAAATGGGGCTAACCCAATCCAGAAAATTAAGATCTTGGGGAAGAGCTCGACAACGTCAGGAATCCTCTCCGCAAAATTCAGGTGCCTCGCCGCTCAAGAGCCCCCAACCATGAGATCTAATTCATCGTCTAGCTATATTCACTACCAGAATATATTTACATAGTTAGATTCGCTATGTACGCCCTACCACCGTCATCGAAATGTCAAACTCGTCTCCAGAACTCCCCGCGTCGCCCGCGTCCCGCGATTCCGCAAAGCCTCATTCTCGCTACGCCTATCGCCAGTTCCATCTCCTCCGGCAAGCATCAACCGCGTCCCAACTCCGGGTAATAGCTCATATTGACCTTGATGCCTTTTATGCACAATGTGAAATGGTCCGACTGGGAACACCGCACGAGACACCACTCGCGGTGCGACAATGGGACTCGTTGATTGCGATCAATTACCCGGCGCGAGATTTTGGGATTACGCGGATGATCTCCGCGAAGGACGCGAGGGCGAAATGTCCAGATATTGTTCTTCAACATGTTGCTACGTTTCGAGAGGGGGAGGGCGGAAAGTGGGCGTATAGAGAGGATGCATGGAAAAACATGGGAACGGACAAGGTTTGCCTTGACCCGTACCGGGCGGAGTCGCGGAATATCTTAAAGGTGATTAAGGAGAAGCTAGCGAGCTGGTATACCGCGATAAGTGGGGATCAACTGGGACTGGGTAGCCAGAGCAAAATGCAGGAAGCACTAGTCGAGAAAGCGAGCATCGACGAGGTCTTTATCGACCTCTCACCATTGGTGTTTGGTGTCCTGCTCCAGCGGTACCCGGAATTACGTGAGAAACCAAACGGTGACGATCGAGTTGCACGTTTACCTTGTCCACCCACCACGGCATTGGAATGGAACACGGATGACTGCCTGGTTGACTTGGACGAGAACGAGACAGAGGTCGATGACCCAGACTGGGATGATATCGCCATGCTTATTGGGGCTGAGATTATTCGATCGGTCAGAGCAGCTGTCTGGTATACTCTCAGTTACACGTGTTCCGCAGGAATTGCTAAGAACAAGATGATGGCGAAGCTGGGGAGCGCGACAAACAAACCTAACAAGCAAACAATCGTCAGAAACCGTGCTATCCAGAACTTCCTTGGTGGTTTCAAGTTCACTAAGATTCGAATGCTTGGGGGTAAATTGGGTGACCAGGTCAGTGCTGCGTTTGGAACAGAACAAGTAAACGACCTCCTTGGTGTGTCCCTGGAACAATTCCGGGCCAAGTTGAATGATGACACGGCAGCCTGGCTTTACGGGATAATTCGCGGAGAGGACCGGAGTGAAGTCAACCCCCGAACGCAAATCAAGTCCATGCTTTCCGCAAAGTCGTTCAGGCCGAGTATAAACAATCTTGACCAAGCCGACAAGTGGCTGCGCATCTTCGCCGCGGACATATATGGTCGCCTTGTTGAAGAAGGTGTGCTCGAGCATAAGCGTCGACCGAAAACTGCTGCGTTGCACCATCGGCAAGGCGCTCAGGTGAAATCCCGACAGCTGCCCATCCCTGGATCGGCTAATATTGACGAAGACCTACTATTCGACCTTGGGAAGACGCTGCTTAGGCAGGTTGCTGCAGATGGGAGTGCATGGCCTTGTGCAAATCTGTCTTTGAGTGTCGGTGGCTTCGAGGATGGCGTGTCCAAAAACCGAGCAATTGATGGTTTCCTACTGCGAGGCGACCAGGCAAGGAATGTGGCACCCCCTGGCCGGATCCATACGATGAATGAGCTATCAACTGAACAATCTGCCAAGAAGCGGAGGAAGTTCGATGACAACGGACTGGGGCGATTTTTCAACAAGCAGCCAGAAGTCAACGGAACGGTTCGCTCTTCTGAACGGGATCAACCAGTAGATGTGCCGGAATTCAAACCTGACAATGCTCAGTTTTTTGAAGATGTTTTACCCGATGAACAGACAGAGCTATCGCCTTGGAGCGCCTACAGTTGCCATCGATGCGGAAAGTCCATACATGTTGATGGGGAAGACGAGCATAATGACTGGCATTATGCCAAAGATCTTGAAACCGAGGAAATGCAAGCTGCCAGGAATCCTCAAACATCGCAATTACCAAACAGGGCGGCTCCACCGAATTCCCGCTCGAAACCTCGCGGTGGGCGAGGCAAAACAGAAAAGGGACAAACGCGGCTCAGTTTTGGATGAAGTTCTTGAAGCTCTTTCCACCGCCTCGCCATTTACGGGAAAAGAACATCGCTTCCTTGGTGTTGGCTGTGCTAGTACTCTTCCGTTTACCGTGAACAAAGATCGAGGCTTCCCGTCATTGGGCCTAGGAAAAGGTTCGAATGATGGTCTCGTCTTCTTCCCCTAGTCGTTACTCATGGGAGTTGCAGTTTCATGATTTTACGTACTGATACGCTCCACCACCTAACATTGTTTATCAACGGACATAGCCAAGAAACAGCTACGAGGTTTCCGTATCTTTCTTGACTTGGAACGAGGGCCCTCTTATTGATTCTGTGATAATAGGAGCACGTGTCTCCTCTTACCCCCAGAATGCTCTCGCAACTTGGGCCTGGTGGATTTAGGCCATGCTCAGCCGTGTCGTAGACAATGCCGACGTGCTGCGGCCAGCACCTGCGTACAGGTATGGTGATATTAGAAGAGTGATGAAGGTGATTGGAGTTCTAGGATGAACAAACAAGTAAATGTAATGTTTGATGTGGCCCAGATTCCGTAACAAGGCAGTGTAGGGAGTATGGAAGGATGGCACTTCAGTGAGTGGCGATTCAAATACTGAAATCTGGTTCGCGGTAGGAAATCTCTCCAGTACCTTCGTGCTTTCCCTGTGTTTACGGTACAATCAGCACACACCCAATAGATTTCAAAAGACGCAGTATTTGCGCAGTTTCAGATGCACGAAGAGAATGGAGCCTGTCGGTACAAAAGGAAGGGTGCCTCACCAGGCAAACTACTGCGGTGTGACATCAGCTGGCACAGCCGCGGGGTTCGTTTCAGGCAGGCGAACAGTTCACCAGCCCATCCAGCATCTCAGCTGTCACATTCCATCTCTCCACTACAATACAATGATCGCGATTTCCTTCTCTCTTCTCTGAAGGTACACACAGCAGCTCAGCAGCCACGCTGCTTCCACCAATTGTTGTTTTCTCCCACCGTGGGGTACGCGGCATCGTGACAGCATCAAGCGCCCGCCCCACAGCCTCATACGAACTCCGTGCTTTTCGCGCAAGTGGTGAGGTGCAAGGGCTAGCGTTGTTTTAATTGTATCTTGACTTGCTACTTTCCCGTGCCGCTCTCTCACATCCCAAGATGCCCCGCCGAAGCCGTCCGATTGAGTACGACGATGTCATCGACGATATGGAGGAGGTGTATCCTAGCCGAGCTAAGGGAGATCCGTTCCTAGTCGACCACGACGCACGCTATAGCCGCCGGGTACCGCGTAGGCATGGACCAGCTGTTGAGAAGCTCGACCGTCGCCATGTCCGAGAACGTGCGAAGCCTGAAATTCCTCTCGAAGGTTATGAGTATCTACGAGACGACGCTCTGACTGCTGAACGGCTTGCCAGGCTTGACCTGAATGCGTATCGTAATGAGGAGGTTGACAAGTACAAAAATATGGCGCACAATGTTCGCGGATCAAAACCTCGTGGAAGGAGGTCCGAAAGGGTATCTGATGTTGAAGAGGCATACTTTTCTAATGGGGATTCTACCCAGGATTACACGGATAGTGAATCTGATGTGGTGGAGGAGGTTGTTAGCAAGAAGAAACAACCAGTGATGCCTCAACATGACTATCATCCTCGCAAGAAAGCCATACCACGCAGTAAAAGCGTGAAGGACGAAAGACACATGCGAAGATCAAAATATGATGACGGTGCTTTCCCCAAGAACAGCCGCTCGATGGAAGCATTTCCTGGCGATAGAAAAGGCCCACGCCGCGATGCAGCTCCACGGTCTCATCATCGGTCACATTTCCACATCGACATCGTGGATGATGAGAGCGAAACCGACGAAAGCGAGTTGGATGTTCTTCCGAAACATGGTCGACGGGGGATGGCACGGGGAGATCCTATCAGACACAAGTATTCTACACGAAGGCGAGCAACGCCCTCGCTATCATCGTCGCCCGAATCTGCAGGGTCTTCTGAAGAGGAAGAGCTTCCCAAAGTTCCTTTACCAGTTCCCGTTCCCCCGATCTACAAAAGCTCACCCAGGAGACATAAATCTCTCAACCACTGTAAGAGTTCCACGGGAATTTTACTGCAGTTACTTACTGTTCGACAGCACCAGCGCTTCAAATACCTCGCCCACCCAGCCCACCTACCCCACCTCGTGTACCGGACCTGGAAACAGTCCTCAGCGAGCGTGAAGCTCGCCATAGGTACGTCTGACAGTCTTGTTATTTGAACCACGTATAGTAACCCTACAATAGAAAAAGAACTGAAGACGCGGCCAAGGAAGAGGTTGAGGTCGAGAAACAAAGTAGAGAATCGCTTCAGCTAACCCCTCAAGAACATAACACGCGACGGAAGAAAGGGAAACCGGCAGCCGTGCTTGAGAGACCAGAGCTCGGAAGCAGGGACGCCCTCGTCGAAGATGAACGAGTCGATCCACGGGGCTCGTACAAGAAGCGCGAGGTAGTCGAAGAGGACTACTACAGAGGTCGAGACCCTCAATCTTCTCGCAGCTCACCTCTGAGCGACCCTATGGATGAATGGGCCATTGTTCAAGCTCCCTCCAAGTCGAAACACAGTCCCGAAAAAGAACTGCCTGTTGTAGACGTTCGAGAAGAATCAAGGCGCTCCCGACGAAAAGACCGTCAAGCAAATCCAGCTGAAGACGAGATGAGAGAGCCTAAGCATAAGGTGGATACTCCTCGGAGCAAAGTTGGGCCGCGATATATCGGAGTTAAGGACCGTCGAGAACGCCTCTGGACTGAAATAACGAAGGATCTAGTTGTGAAGGAAGCAATTGAACGTGCGGGGTATGAGTACGAGGAAATGGACACGGTCTATTATATCTTCTCCTACCTTCACCCGGTGAGTATTTGCTCGCTTCGCCTACTTTTGATCCGGAGTTGACCATTATTATCTTGCAGGAGGATGTAAACTCCTTGGTTGAGGATTCTGACGATATCCGACGAGCGCGCCGCCGACGTATCCAGCAGATCCAGCGCGAGCGTGCCTCCGTACCCCCTTCGTCAAGGCGATCACCGAACAAGTCAGCTCCTATACTCCCGGAGAGGCCTCCATCACCTCCAGTGCCGCCATCACCACCCCCGCAACCACGTCAATATCGGGATGATCGAAGAGATGACCGACGGAGGAGAGAACGGCCGCGCGAATATGAACGGGAGGACATTGAGGAGGGTCGCTGGAGAGGTCGTCCGGGCCGGTGGTAAAAGGGTGTCTTGTCTGTTGACACTCGACATTCCTCACGTCGACGATCAGCTGGACTTTGCAGATCTAGACCTGGAATCTATGCTCATGCGCAGGGTCGAATACTTGGTATATTATTATTATTGACAAATAACTCAGCATATTGTATTTAAATACCGCCACTTGAAAAATCTGTCTATATTGCCTGTCTATATTGCGATGACGAATGACTCTCTAAAAATAACAAGTGAGGACGTCAGTATGTCGAGGATTTATATCTAAAATCGAGCGAAGGGTGTCCGCAGTGTCTCACCAAACCGTTCGATGGGATGAAACCAGACGAATCATAGAGCATCTCTATATACGAACTCCCGATCAACACATATCCACAGACGAGTAGTGGATACATCCGTTACTATCACCGAGCCAGGCCCAGAACTATACTTACGGGCATATAGTTAGATCCCTACCCGCGACTTGAAAAATTCAAAGACATTTTTATTGTTTTGTAACGCTTGGCTGGAACAGAGGTCAACATAACACATTCCTCGCTTCCGAACAGCCGGCTACTACTGGAGGTATCCCTGTCACGATCCCTATTTTATAGCCAAAAACAGTGATGTTGAGGGTGGTTATGAGTCGTGACTCGTGCATTCCCTGGGATCTTGAATTAAGGTCGAAACTATGGGAAACTACAGCGCACGTCCCAGACCTAATAGCTACCAAAGCTCCTAGCTTGGCTCCTGCCCGGTTGTTGCTCGGGGTATCGACCATTCTGTAAGAAGGAATCTGTCCAGTTCTATCTACTCTATTCGTAAACAACTACGTGAATGGGTCGCAACAACACCAGCAACTTGCATACCTTCGACTACTTGGTCGAACCGGACTTTAGACGGCTACGAGAAAGGCGCCTAAGCCGAGACCGACCGAAGTAGGTACCCAAATTCCAGATTCCAGATTCCAGAGCGGCCGGGACCGGATCGCAGTGGGACTGGTATTCCTGGTAGAGATGAGGTCCGCCAGGCTGTGCCGTTGGGCGTTGATTCTCATCTCGGTCGGGACTCGGTGAGAGCCGGGACTGGAAGGATATGGGGTCAAGTTTTCAACCTTGGGTCTTCAGACGACGAGTGTGGCTTGCTTGAGTAATATTGGTTAAGGTGGGTGAGCGCCGAGATCCTGGGGTCCATATCCGTTACTTAGACATCAGCCAGCGGAATACCAGGAAGGGTGTTTAGGCACCTGCAGCGGTACAGTGCCGCAGCGGCTTATATGCATTCCGTCCAACTCAGAAGGTGGGTGATGGATGGGTTGGAGAGCGTGACTCCTTCGAAAGGAGGGAAGGGAATATCCATTCTTGGGTTGTTTATGCCGTTTCGTCCCTAGAGGAGGCGATTCTGCAGTGTGTATGCGCCTTCAAACCCGGCCGGTAAACACGACTGGAATTGCAATTCCCTGATGACTGTTGAGAGAGACGCATGGAGTTCCCGAGGAATCAGCAAACACAAGAGTCTCGACTCTCGACTGCGTAACAACACGATAGGACGATGTCCATTCCATTCTGGCCCTTTGTCTGTGGATCGGCATTCGTCATCCGCTGAGTGTGTGGTGGAGGCGGGCTGTATATTAACGCCCCCTCTATTTTACTGGATCATGGATGCTTGTTTCTGTTGAGGTGCTATATTTATGTACTTGTATTATTTTGTTTTGGTGGAAAGAGTGGTCATCTTGTCATTGTGATTTGTAGCATACTAACCGGCCTTGTAGTCGTGTCGTCACAAACGAAGAGCGGCTCGGCTAAAAGCTGTAAAGTGCAAAGAAAGTCCCAAGGAAGACCATTCTACGACACGGCGAGATAAATGGGATAATGGATGATGCCTCGATGGCAAGGAGGCGAGCAATAACCCAATCAAGAGTGGAGGTCGGCAAATAACAAGGACCTCTTTCTCACCCCGATGGAGTTTTGGAGAAACTCGATAAACTTCGGTTTTTCAAAATACAGCGAAGAGTTTGTAATCGGATGGGAGAATTAATCTCCAGCCACATATCATGTCACGGGATGGAAAAGTGGCTGGTTGGGTGTTGTGCGGATTTCCATTCAATGCATATGGATGGTCAACCCATTGATCTCGTACTATGTACGTGGCAGGATATCAGTTGCTGAGGTTCTCCCAAAGCATTGCGACCCCTCGCAATGTGCATTGAGATGGGTAGTCTCAGAAAGGAAAGCAGCGATGTCGACCATACAGTTAGAAAACGACTATGAACTCTGATTTTTGCTTTGAATGTGAAAGGCGGGGTCAAGGCTACCTATTCACCCACTAAAGTACGGGCCTCAGAGCACATGAACAAGGCTATCTGGCGCTACTGTTGGATGGGAATCAAAGCGGCTGACAATCTGACTGGTCAAAGACATGATTCCGTGATAGCAGCGGTCGTTCGTGAGTGGCAGAACAAGCCCACTCTCGAAGTACATATTATCCAAAGTACTTTTGGCCAACCTCTGCATATCCTGCATGTGGTTGTGAAGGGCATGGACTGTTCCGCATTGCTGTTCAACAACTCAGTTCAGCGTCTAATGGGAAACTATCAACAGTAGCCACGAAGGCCAGGCATTCGCCGGGGGCGCGGTCGTGTTATTGCCCCTGAATATCTCTGCCATCTAAAGCGCGTGATGGCGTTTCGAAAGTAGGATAAAGTTATCAGGGCGCTGCCCTGTTTCTGATGCGTTCACTGCATGAGAGATTGAGGCGCATAACGTTGTCAAGACCGAAGACTGTCGAGAGGAGCGACAAAGACTGGCTTTATAGGCCAACGAGAGATCTGGATCCTTCTGAGGGAGATCGGCTAATGGACAGCGATCGAAAATCCACGGGAGGATGTCGGCAGAGGACTCGGCCGAGCTAGTGAAGGGCAAAGTGGTGTAAACACATGAATGTGACTTGTTTTTTTTCTTGTACATCATCCATGGAACAGTCAGCCATGGAAGCGCAACGGAAGCGCTGGTCTGGTTCACCACTGAGAAGCCCAGGTCGGAGAATAGGCAGCGTATCAAAATTCTGGGAGCCAGATGCAAATCGCACATCCTCATAATATGATAATAATGACTTGGCCATTCATTGTGTTTCACCTCTCCACTTGTAGAAGAAGCCCTGTGCGGTGGCGAGTGTGGTCAAACTGGGCAGGGGTTATTTACAATAATACACCGCGTACACAGTCTGGTAACAAAATTACTCGCGGCCGCTGCAAATCCGCCGTCCGTATGCCAGATCACCCAATTAAAGGACCACGATCTGCGACGATGGTCTTATCTCAAAACGCTTCATGGAAGTCTTGACAACTTCCACTTCCAAGGATTGCGTCGGCGCCTGCAGTCGTCGATCCTCGTTTCGTGGAATCCTGGTATTCGCTGCCTTTCCCCCTTTGGGTTGTCCATTCCAAGGGACATCAAGGGCCATTAATATTATTTAATGATCCGAAACGAAAAAAAGTGTTCCTAGCTGTTATTATTTGCCAGTTGTGAAATGACAATCCCTTTAATCTGCCCAAACGGCGATAATTATTTGCGTGGCTTGTGGCGGTGACGCAGCGATGATGTTGGGGTCAATAATTCATTTTTGCGTCTGTGCTATTTACGGACCGGCTGCTCCCTATAATTCCGACCTTGCCAATTCCCCTGTTAAATATTTTTGAAATTGAGTCGAGTGCCTGGCTCAAGATGTCAAAATGTAAACAAGTCTGGTTTTCTGCGCTCATTGGTGCCAACGGACGTGATTCTGTGGTTCGCATTTCTGGTCTGCGCGATCGCTGATCCGAGAGTCGGTATTTGTAAATAATGTGGCTCATTTAGGTAGTACTACGCCGTTACCAGCCGACCATCAGACAATGAGCAGCCAACATCTGCAGCTGCTTTGGTACGGCTTCTTCACTCAGTAAATCGAGCCCAGCAACTCAAACTATCGTATATAGCCTTCTAGTAGACAACCAGCTTGCTCCCGACGCCGCAGTCGGCTGTGGCTTGGGAAGGCCATGATGCAATGCATAATGAGAATTACCAGCCCGGTGGGACAACAAAACGGGCCCGCACTCAATGTGTACGGGGCTAGTACGAGCGAGGTATGCAGCAACAACTTCTTCCGTGCCCGCAAACCCGGCTCTTGTCCTCGTCTCGTCTCGCTGCTCCCTCTCTGTTTCCTCACCTTCTTCCCAAGTGCCTTTCCCTCCGGTACTACTCGTCCCCGTTTCATACTCTTTCGTTTTCAGCCTCCCTTTTGTTTCTCTCTTATCCGGCACTGCCTGGTGCTTTTGCTGCTTTCTCGCTTCTCCTGGCCGGGAGGATCATGTTGGAGGCACTCCCCTGATCCTGACGTCTTGGACTTTCGTTTCACCCATGTCAAATATTACGCCCGCTTTTTAGTTGGACAAATTCTTGAACAGCCTCTAGGGAACACTTGACGGGTTCGCAGGTTCGTTCGCTTGACGAGTTACACACGGCTTCGATCTGTTGCTGACGATTGAAGAGGAAAAGGCCTTCGAGTGCGGGACACTTCCACTTAATCGACTATAATAACCACACTCGGATCGTACACATCCGATAGACGAATCTCCTACCTATTTCCTTGCCTTCGACACTCTTGGAACGCTGTCGCTGGGTAATTTGTGAACCCGACCGATTGTTCTTGAACGGGAGTTGGGGGGTTGTGAATCTCGGTTCATATCTGGGAGAGGAGCACAAATTCTATTTACAGTACTCTTCAGGGGCACTGTTGGAGCACGTCTCTCGCGAGACTAGCTTACCGGTTTACCGCCATGTATCACCTATTCTCTGTACCTCTGGGAGCCGTGCTTGCATGGGTTACCCTCTGGATCTCTGCTGCCGACAGTGCCAGCGACCTTACTTACTGCTCCACGGATAGCACGGGTTCGGGCGCTGCAAGTAAGTCATTCTTTCTCCCGCTACCAATAACTTGTGTCTAATATGTTGTCTAGACTTTTCCACCTACCAATCGAACGGTAACTGTCAGGATCATTGCAGCGGCAGTGCATTTGGCATTTTGCAGGGGAAAAACTGTTGGTGCTCTGACATCGCCCCCAACGACGCTGATAATGTCGAGACCTCAAAATGTGACGATGGCTGCCCTGGATTCCCGGACGATTCGTGTGGTAGTGCGTCGAAGGGGCTATACGCTTATATTCAGATGGGCAGTCCCTCGGGGACCGCGAGCGCATCGTCAACATCAAGTACCGAATCGGTCAGTACATTCCGCCTTCATTAAATGCACTTAAATACCCGCCCCCTATCGATGCCCCTCCACGTCCTCTGAACTGTCTGGCTTATTTTACTAACTACGTGAAGTCTTCAACCTCGGACGAGAGCTCCACCAGTACGTCCCACTCGAGCGTAGTTGAGACCCATGGCGGCCAAGTAACAACAGTAACAGTCGGAGATTCCGGCTCAACATCTGCAGCAGATAACGCCAATGACTCGAAAAGTGATGGTGGCGGATCCGGCGTCAGTGGTGGAGCTATTGCCGGAATTGTCATCGGTGTCGTCGGTGGTATTGCCCTGATTGCTGCTGCCATTATCCTGTTCCTCGTCAAGCGCCGGCGTGATAGGGAGGATGCCGGCTACCAGAACGACTCAATAGATGGTAGGCAGAGCAAGGGCTCCTGGATGAGCTATGCCGGCGGCAAGGGCGTCTTCGCGGACAATCACAGTCACACCCTATCCAATGGGTCATCGAGTGCACCCCAGCGTATGCCAACCTTCACGGATAACCGTTTGAACACAGGCGCGGTACTATATCCGAATGGTCGTCGCGCCAGCGATGTCTCCCTTCAGGATAACGAAGATTATTCTCGACCGGTTCTCCGGGTAAGTCGTTCGTGGTTGCTGGTCTATGCATGTACTGACTTCGCATTAGCTTACCAACCCCGACTAATTGTCGATAACTACCCCGAACTTTTAAATCATGCATCGAATTTCCCTATCTTTACTCGAATTTTTTGCACGGCGAAACAGCGGTGTTATGATACCCATTTGTCACAAACTGTTATTGATCTAAGGGAGGGGGATAGTTGTGAAACATCATCTCCCTGCGGCGTGTCTCAATTAGTGTATTACCAACATAATGGAAGCATATTGAACTTGATATCCTATAACTGCAGCACACTTGATCCGCTTATAGTGCTTTCCAGTGCAATTATCGCTACTGGTAATGAGAGCCACTTTATCACGCGTAGAAAGCCTCTCTTGTGTCCGTTTATATATATGGATCTCGAAGGAGCTTTCCTATTAATTTCCGAAAATATTTGACGTGCGATTGGTAAAAACTCATCCTTTGTTTTTTGCACATTTCCCAGGATATATAGTTATACCTTTCTGGTCCAGAAGGGATTTTTGGTCTTTGCTCTCTGTCGTTCAACGGGCTCTCCTGCTGGCGGCCTCTAGTGTGACTATTTGCTCTGGCCATTGATGCTCGGATTTTGTTTTCCTTTTCTATATTTTCATGCTCAGAATACTTTTGTATATAATGCGTGCAGTATGTGCTTCATTTTTGTTATTCTGCTTGGCCTGAGAGGTGGGCTTTGAAGTGGGCTTCATGGTGTACGATGGATGAGACTGCGGAGATAGATAGGCAGGCGAATAGAGAAACACTAAAATAGTGACCACCGGCCTTATCTCTCGCTGATAGAAGCTCTATCAAGCAATAAAACGCAAGATATCGTTCCTATCTAACCCCATGATAAGGAACCTTCTTACTAAGTAACCCCAGAAAGAAGCTCGGCCCTACCAAGTAGGGCTCCCGGGACATTTTTACCCAAACGGGAAATGGACATCCCCAGCCTGTCCATGGCTTCCCCTCTCGCTGGTCCTCGCCTCCTCGTCTCTTTTCCCCTTCTGTTGACCGGGTCCGGGGTAGGTTGGATATCTAGTAGTAGGATGGACTATGATTCTCTACGGGGATTATCGAAGCGTGCCTGCTGCTGAAAGGGGGGAATGATCTGAGGGTTGGGAGTGGAGGGATGGGTAGATAAAAGGAGAGTGATATCACTTGGGAGGAACACATGAGAGGAGAAAAGGAATTTGGCCAAGTTCATTCCCTGTTTTCTGGTTTGGCTGTCTTTGTTTGTCCATGGTCTACTAACTTGTCTTTCACTTTTCCTTCTGTTTTGTGCAGCTCCCACTCGTATGGTCAGTTATCAGCATGGATGAACTGAACACCCAGAATAAACCGTGGTGGGCTGGAGTAGCCCTCGTCACCCTTGCAGCTATATGCCTCTTCGTTTTCAGCACCGGAATACCAACGATCCACGGAATACGCAACCGCAAGGCATCAACAAGCCACACCCCACCACGCTCAATCTCACCAGAGAAAAAGAACCCCTCGCAGCAAAAGACACCCGCGAGTCCCGTAGATGTCCTGCCGCCACAGCGCCGTCATGCCCTCGCAGCAATAGGCCTACCGTACAAAGAGATCTCCGAGGACCAAGTCCGACAGCGCATCCTGCCCATGCTCGAGGATTACCGCGCCTGCCAAGAGGAGCGATATACGCCGACTGGATTCTCGGTTGCCGATGTCAAAGCCCTAGGCGACTTTCCTGACTATGCAACGCTTAGTGACGTACCATTGCCCGAGGCGTACGATGAGTTTGACATTGAGAAGGCGCTGCCTAGGCCATACCGGCCGTTTAGATGGAGTTATCATCAGACCATGTGTATGTTTCACCGACCAATTTTCAATCTTTAATCGAGGAAGGAATTGTCGGGGTGAACACCGGCCGTATGGATGCGGGTTTTATGTTTCGCAAGATGGCCAAAGCTGACTGCGCTGCACTGTAGCACTGACGAAGCTGGAGCCTGACTGGTGGATCGAGCTTGAAAATACGTACAGAAAACGAATCGCTCAGCGTAAGGAGCTATTTGCGAAACACGGCAAGAGCGTTCTGGGATCACTTCCAGGGTCAGAATTGGCGTGCAAGGAGCTTATGGAAATGGTTTTGCAGTTTCTTTGCGCCAGGTATCCCCAGTATTTTTCGTTGATTGACAAGCGGATTTTCAAGAACAAGATCCTCGGCACGGAGCAGGATGTTAGGTCGAAGCCTCCGTTGGAGATAATCATGGACAATGTCCCTGAGGACTTTGGTATTATGCTGCGCGATGATCAGACGGGGAATTATTTCTTGCGCGCAGGTGTGATCTGCTCCGCTTTGGGATGGAACGTTGGGAGCAAAATTGGGCTTCAGCTCCATCAAATCCATGATCCTATTCCAGACTACAAAGAGAAGATGAAATTCTCTATGGATCGGTAGGTTGGATCTAGGTGCTGGGGTAGAGAAACATTCTAATGCCTGTGCAGTTTCTTCACAAAGATGCCGGTTGATAAGCCTATCCAACGAGGATCATGGGGCCTCGAAATCGGAGAACCACTGTACATGCCTCCTGGAGATCCTCATGAGAAGCTTCGGACGTTCCAAAATCCCAATCTTTCGCTGGAGGATTGCCATCTGCGAGTCGACTGGCAGACTCTTCGTCGAATTCCTCTTTCGGGCGCCATTATATTCAACTTCAAAGCACTGTTCACACAAGTGACAGAATTCCGTGACGAGCCTTGTGTTCCAGCGCTGGTGGCGAAGATCATGAAGGAGGGAAAAGAAAACCTGCTCCGATATAAGGGCACATGGCACGTAGAACATGTGGTCCTTAAAAAGCTCGAAGAATGGGCTCGGGAACAAGAAGAGAATGGTCTTGCTCCGAAAGGCTGGGAGGTGGCTACGTTAGAGGAGAGTCCATGGTTCAAGAACTGGCAGGAGAAGTGGCATCGCCAGCAAGGGTTTTAAAGAGAGCAGTCATTCATGTTTAGTAAATCTTGTACAAGAAGCATTATTATGTATATATGGTTTCATATTCGGTGGGCGACTCCATCATTGAGAGTTCGAAGGATTTTTAACACAACCGTTCGCATAAATGGTGACCATAAATTCCACTGAGCCCCAGTAATCACTTCACGACGCTGGGCGCGTTGATGGGTCCTGATGCCTGGACCAGGGCGCATGCGCTGTATTGCGCATTAAAGACATGCACCCTATGAAATCTAGAGATTGAAGTAATATTCCAACAGTCAAGGTGTGTGGTTTAGTCTTTCCGCGAGTGTCTTTTGCTTATGAGCAGTTAACTCGCACGGTTTGACTGTTGTATATAGTCGATCCCGGTGCGATTCCCAGTTTGGGGGCCGTTACTACTCGAGTATCGTTCGTAACCGTAAAACCGAGTTCAAAAGGCAGTCTTCAATCGTCGTCTGAGCGGGCGTCACTTGAATGCCCGTTTTCGTCATCGCTTCGGTCCATTTCTTCTAATTCGTCGGCTATCGGACTCTCGCGTTCATCCAACAGATCCAGATCTTCCAATTGCTGCCTGGATGGTAATTTCCATAGACTGGTACCGCACATACGATCTTTTGTCAACAGGTCATCAACAAACTGATCCATGTACGTTAGAACAAACGAGTCACGGACCCGTCTCTTCAATTTCCGGTAATCGAGAAGAAGCGGTTCCAGCGTCTTGTATATCTCAACCGGTTCCCAGGTTAATCGTACGTAGAATGCCGCAAGTGCTCGGAGATACTTGAAATCACCGCGATGTTTGACCACGCTGTTTCGTGCTCGTTCCTCAGCTGACGTATCTGCATCTCCCCCTTCAGACTCGAGTTCAGGGTCACTGAAATTCAGATACTCCATAATGATATTGCGGTCTGGGTTGATTTGCAGAAGCTTGAAGGCGAGACAAAGGAAGGGCGAGGCTTTTTCGGAAACTCCGTATGTACCACCAATAAAGGATAGTTCAATTGCCCGGTCGCAGAGAGTTGCGGCGTTCAAACCAAAGCATTGTTCTTTCCAATAGTAGGACTCTGTGATTCGGTCACGCACAGCCTTCTCGAAGAGCATTGCAGGATTAAGCCCGCGCACAAGGGGACCGGTGTAGCCCCGGTTGTCGAGGAGCGTGCTAGCATCGGCGCGGTGTGAGGCCATGGCGAATTATTTGTTGGCGCCTGAGATGCGCGAGCGTGAGTCAAGACTTGAACAAGGTTAAGAAAGGTAGTGCTGGAGAGAGCTCAAGAAAATAGCGGTCACGTGAACGGTCTAGATGCCAAGACATTTCTTATCGATAGTCGTACCGACAACCAGATCTCATCAACAAGGCCTCGATCTCACTCGACCCAGTATATGCACCATTTGATCATCGTTGATTTCTTGCCCGCTTCTGCATCTCAGTATTGTCATTATCATTATTATTATTCTCTATATTTTGGACCCTATATCATTATTATTTTTGATATCGTTGGGTTACGCAACAAACTGAAGCAATCTGCCCTGCTTGACATATGCGAGTACCATATAAGCGCAGCGAGTAGCTATGGTGCTCTTGACACATTCCACAGTTTCTGTCATTGTATCGACAGGAGTGGTCTCAATTTTCACATTCTTACTATTTCTTTCTGGCTACGCGCTACAACAACAATCTGTTCGAACTATCCAGCATGTCATTCGACCGCCGGAGCGTCATGCCTCGGCGGGGCAGATCAACAAAAGAAGTCAAGATCCCCTATCAAATTCAAATACCGGAACGCAACTACAAGACGAGCTGCCCAAGGTGAAAACAGATACTGGTCCAGGCACAGAGGGCAACTATGCCTACCTCCAGCTCCTATCCGACCCCGACCCTTCCAACATTTGTTCTGCTATTCTGTTCTTCAAACAACTCTCTACGAACGGAAGTGCTATACAAGACCGCCTCTTTATGTACCCATCAGAATGGGACATCATGAGCCCCCCAAAGCCCGTCTCTATGGCTCTGTCTCTACTTCGGGCCGCAAGTCTGAAATATGACATATGGCTCCTACCCATCGATATGACAGCAGCTACATCAGCCGGATACCAAACGACAGACACAAAACTCCTCCGCCTGGGTCAGATTCAATTCATGCAGTACGATGGCGTACTCTATCTTCAGACACCGGGGCTTCTCCTTGACTCCGCCAAACTAGACTCCATGCTTCTTGATCGACCCCTTCCTCTCCGCCATGACAAGAGTAGAGTCGAGTCATACGACAATGAGGCGTGGAGATCTATGCCGTTACGTGCGGAGCGAGATTCAATTCTTCCGCCTGTGTACCTGGTTACTGTTAATAATATTGAGCATGGCCACGTCGAGGCTCGAGGCCATATTCCCAATATGGCATTGGAAGGATTCGGAGGGATAGTTACCGGGACCTGGGGTGTACGGTCGGGATCGGATGCCGAAGAAACCTCCGATGGGAACCCTGGATATGTCGTCTTTGAGCGTGATCATGAGAATCGGGTGAAATGGGAAAACAATCCATTGTTTGGCTCCTGGCGAGCACAACAATATGGGGTTTGTGAAGGTCTTGATTTAGACGACGTATCCAGCTATGGTTATGATGAAGATATTTGAAGTTTTTTGTCGAATATTCTTGAGTATTGACATTATGTTTATATATATTCAGCATTTTTGGATGGCGCCAGTGATATATCTTCTTTTTTTTTTTTTTTCATTTGTATTTATGGATATGGATGGGTTGTATATACTCCGTGAACCGGTACGAATATATGATTTGAACGATAAGTGGATTGCGAGTCTCAAATAGCAACTTTAAATATTATCCCTATCCGACAGCCTATATATGAGGATATCAACCCACGAGAAACACCCAAGTCGTACGTGGTAGCAATATAATAACACGTTGTATAGTACATATAGTATCACTCCCTTAGAAGCAATGCAAAGAGAAATTCGAATGATATTATAGAACTGGATCGATCACGCTACCGAGCAACAGGGACGCCAATCTCATAACCCAACAAGACCTCTGTCGTGCTGCCTTCCCATCCTCTATTGCCACTTGTGGAGATGAGGAAGCGACATGCCGGGTCGACATACAGCTGCGAAACTGTACCTGTGCGATGACCGGGGATAATGAGGAAGGGAACAGTTGAATGGCGGGTTGCTTGCTCGTGTTTTAAATCGTACAGGCGGAGGATGTCGTGGGATGCGCTGGAGAGGTTTATTAGCTGCAGGAAAAAGACTTGCTTGAATATAAGCAGAAATCTTACCAAACAAGGTGTCGACCGTTAGGCATTGCCCTGAGAGCTGTGACTGGACCACTCCCCTGTGGGAATTTGAAGGTTCGTTCTGGCTCTCGAAGGCCCTTATGTAGACTGTATTCTTCTACTGTGCCGTTTCGACGGCCGGCATAGATGTAGTTTCCGTCTGGGGACCAGCAGGCATTCATACACCAAGGAGGAGAATTGCGAGGAGTGATGCGGGCGATCGCGGACGGTTGTCGTCGGTCCCATATCCGGATGGTACCATCTATTGAAGCAGCGAGGAATGTATTATCGGTGACATTAGTTGCCTCGAACGGAGTTTGTTGAGACTGTTCCTGGTCTTGTGAGGGCTGCTCTAATTCTTCAGCGTGAGGGAGACCGTTGGCCAATGGTTCCGTTTGGGGCTGGTTATTCGATGTCTCTGTTGGCTGAGAGTTTGCTGCTTGGGCGGCTGTCGGTGTGTTTAACTCCATACCGCCTGTATCATTGGAAGAGAAGGTACTATCGAAGAGACCATTTGGCTGAGTGTCCGGTTCTCCAGGAGCATCGGCGTCAGCAAGGCCGCCGTTGGCAAGTGCTTTTCCGAACTCATCGTCGTCGTCAATGCCGAATGCATTAGTCGACGACCCCATTCCGTCGGCAGCATTTCCATCGGCATCACCGAACAGTGAATCGGCTCCCCCAAAGAGCGAGTCTGCTGGTGACCCCGCCTGCGGGTTCGTAGCACCGTTCTCGCCCTGTTCGTTGGATGTGTCTATATAATCGAAACTGTTAACCGCGCTTGATTGGTTATTGGATGAGTAAGTTCCATTGGGTTGTTGAAATTCAGATGTGTCTCTGGGGATTGGCAGACTGGATTCAGGACGTAGCTCGATTGCTGAGATCTGACGCGCGCTCGACCCAAATGCGCGTCTGGTTTGGCCTGTATTGAGGTCCCAATCATAGATCCGCTTATCCCAGCTACCGGAAAGTAATGATTTCTCATCGGATGTTAGAGACAAGACCGATACCGCTGAAGTATGTTGCTGTAATAATGCGATCTCTTTGCCTTCATCATGCCGAGTTGATTGCAGTCGGATACTGCCAGATTCCAAACCGGACAACAACCAGAGCCCTTCGCTTTGACTTGCCAGCGAGTAAACTGGTGACAGTGCGTTGCCATCCATATTCTCCCAGTATGTCATCACGACTCCCGCTTTTATCACACTATCCACGAACGGATGTCTTTGCGCGACAGTTAACATGAGCTTGCTGTTGATCGAATCCACCCAGTTGAACTTCCGCACGTATCCATCCGAGCCTCCGCTATATACCCATCTCATATCCGCCGTCGCCGTTATGGCATTGATCGAGGTGCTGTGGGGCGCAGCTGTTGTAGGCACTATATCATAGCTGGAAGCTGTTAGGCATTCGGAGCGCACGTTCGGATGAAAAACAGAAGATAGATTGGACGCGGCATTGTTTGGAACGGTAGAGGTCGTCGTGCTATCCTGGTTTTGTTGGGTTGCTCCTCCGGCACTTTCAGATGCATTAGAGGGGCTATCCGCATCTTGCGCATCTTGCGCATCTTGGTCGTCTGCGTCGCCATCCACGTCCATCTCCGGTTCATTGTCACCTCCGCCTTCATCTGCGTCTCTGAGTGCATCTTCCATCTCATTATCCGAGCTTCCATCTTGCGAACCTAGCAAATTGGCGACTAGTTAGTTCTCGTTTCCGGTTGTGAGATGATTCGCGGAGGAGACTCACCTGCGAGGTCTCGGTCGTCCTCATCTTCCACCAGGGAGGCCATCGTGGCTTGAGATGAGAATATATTGACTGCGGCGGGTCGGTAACCGACAGAGAAACAAAAAATGGATTATAGCACTAGGGTTTTCGGGCTGTTTCTCCCTTGCTGCAAAGCGGCGTTCGTTTCGTTCGCGACCTCGGAGAAGTGGCACGGAGATCAGAGCGTCATGGCCCCAAAGCTGAGTGGCAGCCGCGCGTATGGGCAAATAGTATAGATCGCTGAGTTATATGACTGAAAAGACTGTTAATATGGTATTCAAGGAGAGTCCGGTCTTAGAGCGCAGGGAATTCGGTCGCAATTCGAGTTGGATTGATTGCATTTATTGTTCCGGCGTCAGTCACGTTTCCAACCCGCATTGATGCCTGAGGAACTGAGCTTCCGAAATGGGTTTGGCTTGGACTGAGTATAGACACTCAATGAATGCTATCTTTACTATTGACAGTGAGAAGACAAGTTGGAATATATAATACAGTCACTCAATAATGCAGTTTTTATAATAAACACTGTGATCTTCCTGGGAATTCTTGAAGACAACTTGCATTTGTCTATCACCACGCTTCAGCCTTTGCGAATGCAGTGAAGGAAAATTGACATTTTCCAAAATATCGACCCTGAAATGAAAATTTGAAATGAGTAGGCGGCATAGAAAAAGAAAATCAATAGGCCATAATAGGTGAAGTCAAAAAAGATGTCGACAAGCCCACTATTCCCACCTATGTTTTGTTTGCTTCCCTCCGTTTGCTCTCCCCAATAGATCCCCCCCTCTTTCAACACTGGAGCTTGTTTCATTCTCAACTTTTCTTCCTTTTTTATTTTATCCTGATAAACTCCTCTTCTATCTATTAACATTGTGTTCCCAATCATGAGCTCGGGCATTGAACTCAATTCTCAGTTACCTGAGAAGTTGCAGCAGACGACTCTTGCTCTACGCACCGTTGCACGCGTCAACAAAGACATTGGCGATTATTATTCCCAGACTTACACACAGGCTCCGGATTACTTGACTACCAGATCATGGCTTTCAAAACCAGAGATTCCTTCCTCTGATGAGATCCTAGGAACAGAGGATGATCTCTTGGAGACGGTGGAGGAATTCGTGGACCTTGCTACAAATAAGATCATAGGGCCTTGGGGCTCGAAGGAAGAATATTTAAAGACTCATTATGAGCTTCTTCGAGAAGAAGCAGTTGCTCCCCTGCGAGACGCCGTGGCAATCTTCCGAAATGACCCCGATATGGACGACAACAAAGATCTCTCCGTCTATGAAAAGGTGATTTTCTCCGCATGCCCTCCTACTATTCCTCACAGTCGCTGATAAGTACGCTGTAACTAGGTTCATGTTATAGGATTGACCTTTGCTCGACGAGGATTAGGTTTCAAAGTCCAATTTTCGACAAATAGGGCACGCAGAAACATCGCCTGGGAGTATTCGAAACGGTTGGTCAGTGGCTCGATGGTTGCACTATCCCCCGTTTATGATGCCTTCCAAACGAAGTGCGTTATTGCAATTGTTGCAGCTAGACCCTTGGACGGCGTGAAGTTATGCCCTCCCGAGGTTGATCTATTCTTTGCAGACCCGGCAGATGCGGACTTTGACCCTCAACTGGAGTGGACCATGATAGAGGCAAAGCAGGGGTATTATGAAGCGTCCAGGAATACCATGACAGCTCTCCAAAAGCTAAGTCGAGAAAAGTGAGTTAAGCAAGCTGTATGATCTAGTATAACAAACTGACAAAAAAGCAGTTTTCCGCTTTCAGAGCATATCTGCTTTCTAGACCCCGAGACCACCGCTCCCCAATACGTGAAAGATAAGCCTGTTGCTGAGATAAACTCAGTCGTCAACGATTCAGGGCAGGAGGGAAAGATTGACATTTTGGAAAATTGGCCTCAATCACCACCCGCGGACCTCGATGCAACACAATGGGCAGCCTTGGAGCAGATGCTCACAAAGCAACTAGCCATTATCCAGGGCCCTCCAGGAACTGGAAAGACTTATGTCTCCGTTCTTGCTTTGCGAGTAATTCTTGCCAACATGAAACCAGATGATCCGCCTATCATCATTGCCTCACAAACAAACCATGCTCTAGATCAGATTTTGACACACGTTTCTCGCTTCGAAAGACAGTATGTCCGTCTGGGTGGTAGAAGCAGTGACCCGGAGATTAAGAAGCGCACGTTATTCGCCGTTCGACGTAACGAACCTACGCCCAACGTCGTTGGTGGGACCCTCGGGAATACCCATAAGAACAGCAAAAGATTGTTCAATTCTATCTCGGAAATTTTGCAACCGTTCAATGTTGCAAGTTCTGACCTACCTCTTCCGTCCACAGTGTTCCAGCAGTATGGCCTTTTGACAGCGAAGCAATGTGACTCCCTCAAGAAAGGTGCCGAACGCTGGGTGAGCGCTGGCAAAGAGAATGATGACATTGACCCGTTGGTGACTTGGCTTGGGGACCAGGCAGTCGAATTTGAAGTCAAGTATATATTGGAGAACTTTGGCTTTGCTACGGATGAAGTGGACCTTGAGTATGAGCAGCTAAAGGAATTCGAGGCGGAGCAGGGCATCGGCGATGATGAGGAGTTCGAAACCCTTAGAGGCTCATTCACACATCTTCGAGAAGGCTTTTATGGGAAGCATAGCTCACAATCCGGTGGGACAGGTCGTTGTAAATACCTCGACTACGACGATATGTGGAAAATCCCATTGAAAGAGCGTGGATTTGTCTATAACGAACTTCGAAACCAGCTCAAAGGGAAGGCATTGCCCAAGTTCCGCCAACTTTTGGCCGAGTATGCGAAAAATTCCAAAAACATGCAGATTGGCGAATGGGAAAGGGACCATCTCGTTCTTCAAAACGTCAAAGTTCTGGGTATGACGACAACTGGATTAAGCAAATATCGCGCACTTGTTTCAAGTTTGAAGCCACGGACTGTTTTGATTGAGGAAGCGGCAGAGGCGATTGAAGGTCCCATTGCTGCGGCATGTCTAGAGTCGCTCCAGCAATTGATTCTCGTGGGCGACCACTTACAACTTCGTGGACATTGCTCGGTGCAAGATCTGGAAGGAGACCCCTTCTACCTTGACGTGTCGATGTTCGAGCGTCTCGTCAAGAACGGGATGAAATATGTTACTCTTCGCTACCAACGAAGAATGGCACCTGAGATCCGGCAATTGTTGGCACCTATCTACGGCCCCCTGCAAGACCACCAATCGGTAACTAAGCATGAAGAGGTGCCAGGAATGGGGACCATCCGTTCATACTTTTTCTCTCACGACTGGCCTGAGAGCTTTGACGACATGGCATCAAAGTACAACGAGAAGGAGGCCCAGATGGTGGTGGAGTTCTTCGTTTATCTAGTCCTGAACGATATTCCGGTAAAAAACATCACGGTACTCACATTTTACAATGGGCAGCGGAAAAAGATCTTGAAATTAATGAAAACCCATTCATACCTTCAGGGACAGTACATCAATGTGGTCACTGTCGACTCCTACCAGGGAGAGGAAAACGAAGTTGTGATCCTTTCCCTCGTTAGGAACGGAAGACATGGCATTGGGTTCTTGTCAATTGCGAATCGAGTCTGCGTTGCGCTTTCTCGAGCTCGCAGAGGGTTTTACATGTTTGGGAATGCTGGTATGCTCGCCACCGATGAGCTATGGGACCAAGTCCTATCTATACTACGCAGTAGGAGCCCAGAGCCACAAGTTGGGCACAGACTCCCGTTGACATGCGTAAAGCACAAAAATAGGACATATGTAAAAGGTTGGTTCAAACTTGACAGTCGCAACTTCAAGGCGGATGGATACTGACACAGGACCTAGATCCGGCCGACTGGAGCAAGACGAATGGTGGGTGCGGACTTGCATGCGGAGAGACATTGAACTGCGGTCACAGATGCAGTATGCGATGTCATAGGTAAGCGCAAATCTGGATTTAGTATAAGTCGATTGGTGGTAACCTTGGAATCATTTGCAGTTTTTCACACAACAAAATCCAATGCAACGAACCCTGCAATCGTCGCAAGGCATGCAAGCACATTTGCAAGGTGCCTTGTGCAACCGTCCACACTTGCTCGTGTGACTGTGAAGAAAGCAAGCGCCTCAAAGCCCTCGAGCAGGACAGCGCTGGAGGTGAAGGTGGATTGGTTGGGGCGATGACCGAAGACAGGCGAGTCAGCGAGCAACAGGCGGCCATTGAGGGCTACCAAGCATATGCAAAGGGCGGTGCAAAGGAGCACGATGCTATTCTCAACCAGATAGCGGGGCTTGAGCAGCAAAGCCTTTCGACAAGCCTTGAATCGCATGCTGAGGAGGATCTCATTCCTGGTACTTCTTGGAATGCGCCCAGTCCTGGTGCACAAGACGGTAACAAGCAAGCGAAGCCCAATCCGCAGCCGGAAATCAACCTTCTAGATGATTGGTAGATATGGAGTATCTCTGAAGCCATATCAGGTTAGCATTATTGCTAATCCAATACATTTACCATTACTATGACTTTTCAATGATCTCTAGCCAAGTATGTCGTCTAGGCATCGGCTGACCTGTCTGGGTAAGCCGAGTACCGATGTCGGTCGGCAAGAAGCCGATGGCATCCACAGGTAATTGCAAGTTCCTCAGAAAAGGTAAATGAAGGATGGAGAGGACGATAAAACATTTATGGAGTGTTGCGGGTATAGTGGAGAGGATGAATGAAGACTTTATGTCGCGCAAAGAAAGTCGGCGATGGCGCGATAGTTGGCCCATCACCATCCGGCTCCAGACGTCTCCAGCGGGTCTTCACTCCAGTAAGTAAGACTGCGACTAATTTAACATAGTTAGGGCATTGAACTAGGCCTAGTCAGAATGTAAACCCGAGCTGCTTTAGTTTTTACGGCCAGTATGAGCTGTTTGCCAGGCATATACCCCTTCGCAACAGGGGCATTGACATTCTCGGTAAAGGAACTTCCTGGCTCCAAATGCTTCAATAATAAGCCGACCGAATCCCAATCCTTTTCTTTGCCGTGGCTTCTTCCCCAGATTCTACCCCAGATTTCACGCCAAACCTCTCCCTCTAGGCCAACGCAATGCAGGCCGACCAAACGCCCGAATTGGAGAAGGCTGCTCTCCAGCAGCAGGATCCCGATGCAGATGAGGAGTTTTCCTATGCTGAACAGCGAAAGATCGTCCATAAGGTCGACAGGCGCCTTCTCATTATCGTCGGTTTGATGCAAGCAGTGTCGTTCTTGGATCGAGCCAATATGTCCAATGCGGCTGTTGCAGGGTATGCGTTTCCCTCCTTCGTGGATCATCACTGACTGTTGCAGAATGACCGCGGAGCTGGGGCTGGATATTGGCACACGCTATGTAAAGGATTTGTTTAATTGTTATCAAGGAAGTTCTAACTGTTCGCTAGTCAATCACTCTGCTGGTCTTCTTTGCACCGTACATCGTCGTCCAGTTCCCGGCCACCATCGCCATTCGGAAAATTGGGCCTCGAACATTCCTGTCGACAATTACCTTGCTCTGGGGGATTGTCATGCTTGTACGGCTTCTCCCATTATTTAGGTTTACGTCGCTGACGTATCAGTAGTGCTTCGGTTTTGTCCAGTCCTGGGCATCCTTGATCCCACTGCGCATGCTCCTAGGCGCTCTCGAAGCTGGTTCATTTCCTGGGATGTACTACCTCGTCTCATCCTGGTACTCACGATGTAAGAATCTTGCTTGTCCTATCAGAAATCTTACTAACTAATGCAGTCGACCTATACAAACGCATTTCTATCTTCTACCTAATCGGCGTCCTCGGCTCTGCCCTCTCCGGCGTGCTAGCCCTCGGCTTCTCCAAAATGAATGGACTAGCTGACTACACCGGCTGGCGCTGGATATTCATCATGGAGGGTCTCTTGACCTGCGTCATTGGGCTGACGGGATACATATTCATGGTGAATTTTCCCAGCCAGAGCCACAAGGCGTGGGGATTCCTGAGCGCCAACGAAAGCGCGTATATAGTACGCAGGCTGAACCGTGATCGCGGTGATGCAGATACTGAAACAGATGTACATGAAGATGGGAGTCTGAAGATTAACTGGCATGCGTTCTTCGCATCCGGGCTCGACTGGAAGGTTTGGGGGTTTGCGCTTTCATTCCTGTACGTCCCTTCCCACCCATCCACAATAAAGCTGTGCCGGACAGAACGAGACTGATGATTTATCTGTAAACAGGTGTTCCACAATGCAAGCCTACTCAATCGGCTTCTTCCTCCCCGTCCTCCTGCAGCAGAAAATGCACTTCTCGACCGCCACCTCGCAGGGCCTCAGCTCTCCGCCCTACCTCGCCGCCATGCTGCTAATGTACATCGAGGGCGTCCTCAGCGACAAAATACGCCTCCGCTGCCCAACTCTCTACTTCAACGCCCTCCTTTCCATCGTCGGCCTGTGTCTCATGGAATGGGCACCCTCGGCGGGCTCGCAGTACCTCGGCGCCATCTTCACCTGCATGGGCTGCAGCGCGAATATCCCCTCCGTCATGGTATTCCAGGCGAATAATATCCGTGGGCAGTGGAAGCGAGCGTTTTGTAGCGCGAGCTTGATTGGCTTTGGTGGGACTGGGGGGATTGTGGGGTCTTTGGTTTTTCGTACGCAGGATAAACCGACGTATTTACCGGGGGTTTATGCTTGTTTGGTGTGAGTACTTCTGTTTACCTAGATGTTTCGGTGGTGGGTGTGTGTATGATGCTAATGGATGCTTTGGGCAGAGCGAATGGGGTCATTATTGTCCTGGTGACGATTTTGGTTGTTCATTTCACGATCAAGAATCGGCAGGCTGAGAAGGGGCTGGCTGTCATTGAGGGACTGCCGAGTTTCCGGTATGTGCTGTGGTTGTGGAGTTGGGAGTGCCTTGGGTTCGGTGAGTATACTAGTTGGATAGAATTGAGAGTAGCTATATCTGTCGAGTATTATGGCATTAGTAGTATAGTTACTCTCCCAAAGCCCCAACTTTCCTCACTGTCGGATACTCCCACCCTCCATCAAACATAACCTCCTCGGCCCCATAAAACCGCATACTGATCATGAACGTCCCACCCCCAGCCGGACCAGGCAACCAATTCCCAACCCACTCCGCCGGCGGCGTTACATCCGCCGCCTGAATCAAAATCCTGAACTCCGCCTCTCCACCAGTCTGCTGCACCGGCTTCCCATCCCCATCAACAAGCCCACTCCTATCCCCCAAGTTATACCTCCCCAACCCATTGGGGATAAGATACTGATCCTCCCCGTAAATAGTCAGACTCCAGAACCCACTCTTCTTCAACCTCGGCGGCCCAGAAGAGAACGTAAGTATGTAGCTCTCGGTCTTCGAAACATTGAACCGGTCTGATCCGCTCACGGACCCGGGAATTGTGTAGCCGGGGTACGCGGCTTGGTCGCGCGAGAGGATCAGGTACCCGCGCTGTGCGGAGAACATGCGCGCGGCGTAGTTGGATTTGAAGTCTCCGGATATAGATGCCGCGGGCTGCGTCCAGTTGTTTCCTAGGGGTTCTGAGAGACCTGGCGCGCTTCGTGAGGTTGAGGCGAGGGTGTTGGCTGTCTCGACGGCGTGGGGTAGGGAGGTGTTGGGTGGTTGGGTGAATGTTCCATTGTGGATTCCGGCGGTTGAAAGGGCTGAAGAGATCCAGGGGCGGTCTTTGAGGACGTATGATGGGTTGTGGGGGGTCAGGCGGGCGGTTAAATTGAGGATGTAGAGGGCTCTTTCTTCTGCTGGGGCGGAGGAAGCGGGTGGAGGAGGGTTGGTGAGGATGTTGAGATTGAATGGAGGAATCGAGGCGGTGGTGTTGTGTTTCCGTGGCTTGGGTGTGAAAGTCATGAGATCCTGGAAGGCGTGCACTTTTGAGAGATCCTCTGGGGTTCGGGACTTGACGAGGATGCGGTTGAGCAGCATTCCTGTATATGTCAGTTACTGTCGCCTTTGTTTCTTCTTTTTACGATGGACGTACCGTAAGGTGTAGGCGAGTTTACATATGCAAGATACGCATCCTCGACATCCTCAGTCTGAACACCGAAGTTATCATCCGTGTATCTGAGTAAGTACTTCCCTGCCTTGAAACCCTGGAGACTCCCTAACCGCTGTCAGTTAGTACTCGACACTAAGGGATTCATGCTTGCACCGCGAACGCACCAACATTCCCAAAATTATTCCCATAGAGATCATACCATGGCCACAGCCAGTATCTATCGTCGAACTCGGGAATCACGAACTCCAAGTCCCCCTGTGACAAGTCGTAGAAGAGCGGGGTGTAGAGCGTATCGACATTTGGCCGGACGACTGCACGGTCTTCTGGGGTTGCTAGGTCCCTGAATGGGTACGCGATGTTGACTTGGGGGTTGGAGAAGGCTTTGACGTAAAGGGCGTAGGCATAGAGCGGGAAGCTGTATAGATAGGCGAAGGCGAGGGCGTCCTGGGGCGTAGAGATGGATGCTGTATGTATTAGTTTGGAAGTTGGATACAGCATAAGCAGGACTAACATTCGTCTGCCATTGTTGATGTCTTGTAGATTGAAAAGGACTAATAATAGCTCGAGATCAGATAACAATATAACCTCAGCATGGCCGGTGTCGGCAAACCAGAAACAGTTGGAGTACATGGATCATCGACTTCTTCTGCCCCGCACTCCATGCCTGCTAACTCCAACCGGGAGTCTTCGCCGAGCACGCAATACTTCTATCTTCGTCTAGACTGCATATTGTTTCGGCCGGCTTCTCGTCTATGCCCCCGACAGCCGCTTCGGGTTTGCCGATACCCGGTGTGGGGAATGGCTTCACCGGATAAAGCCCCATTAAAGCCAACGAATACCTCCCCGACCTTGGCAGTTGCTTCTACAGTGTAAGCTTCCAGCAACCACAATGGCCCGCCCTTCATTCGCGGATACAAGAGACTACGACGCCGCAGAGCGCGGCTTCATCGCAGCCCTAAACCCCGGGATCATCAAGCACGCCTCCGGCCGCGTGGTCTGGAACCCCAATGCATGGGATTTCATGCAAGGGGAATGCCCTGCCTCCGCACATCCCCACCTCTGGCGCCAGGGCCAATTGAATTCCAAGCATGGGCTGTACGAGATCTGCCCTGGGATTTACCAGCTTCGAGGCTACGATCTGTCCAATATGACGATTGTCGAAGGGATGGAGGGAATCATTGTTATTGACCCGCTGGTTTCGTGTGAGTGTGCGGCTGCTGGGATGGAGTTGTACCAGGCGCACCGTGGGAAAGGGAAGAGAATTACCGGGATGATTTACTCGCATTCGCATGGGGATCACTATATGGGTGCGGGTGGGGTTATTGATGCGGATGCGGATATACCTATCATCGCGCCAGAGGGGTTTATGGAAGCCATTCTGAGTGAAAGTATCCTGGCCGGGCCGGCGATGAGGAGGAGAGGAGCCTTTATGTATGGGAATGCCCTGCCTCGAAGCCCAACCGGGCAGATCGGGACGGGTCTTGGGATGGGGTCTAGTGTTGGGACGACGAGTCTTATCCCACCTAATCTTCTCATCCAGACAACAGGAGAGGAGCATATCATTGACGGGGTGAAGATCGTCTTTCAGATGGTGCCAGGGACAGAAGCACCGGCGGAAATCAATTTCCACTTCCCGGATTTCCGGGCCTTCTGCATCCCTGAGACGGCGACAAATTGCATGCATAATATTGTTACCCTGCGGGGAGCGCAGGTACGCGATGCGAAAGCATGGTCTGGGTACCTAGACGAGGCGATCGTTTTGTTCGGCCGCCACTCGGACGTGGTCTTTGGCAGCCATAACTGGCCGACCTGGGGCCAGAGCGAGCTCCTGACGAGGCTCGAAGAGCAGCGCGACCTGTATGGGTACATGCATGACCAGACGGTTCGAATGATGAACCTGGGCATGACGGGCACAGAGATTGCGGAGACGATGCAGCTGCCTCCGGCGCTTGAGCGTGCCTGGCACTGAGATTGCGGAGACGATGCAGCTGCCTCCGGCGCTTGAGCGTGCCTGGCACTGCCGGGGGTTCTATGGCTCCCTAAGCCACAATGTCAAGGTATGATGGCACCTGAAACCAACAGAAGCAAAGCTGACCAGTCCAGGGCATTTATCAGCGGTATTTGACGTGGTTTGACGGCCGTCCCGAACATCTCTGGCAGTACCCGCCGCGGGAAGAGGGGCAGCGGTATGTGGAGTGCTTTGGCGGTGTTGGCAATCTTTGCGATAAGGCAGAAATCTTCATGACTCGAGGAGACCATCGCTTTGCCATTACCCTCCTTGCCCACGCAGCCGCGGCAGACCCAGAAAACCTCGAGCCACGAGCACGGGATCTCCTCGCGACAGCGTACGAAAAGCTTGGGTTTAGCGCGGAAAACGCAACATGGCGCAATTTCTACCTCACAGCCGCACAGGAGCTCCGCACAGATAAGAAAGCCGGAATGGTAGCAGGCGGTCGTACACCGCTAGGCGAGAAGTTGAGCGTCGAACAGTGCTTTGAGATCCTGTCGGTGCAGTTGAACAGCGAACAGGCCTCGGGGGCCACCTTCAGTATAGACCTGCACGTGACGGACACTTCCGAAAAGTGGCGGTTAATTCTGAGTAACGGAGTACTGACTCGCCGGTGTCTCCATAGCCAAGCGCATCTAGAGGACGCACAATATAACAGCGCCGACCTGCAGCTGGAGCTCACCAAGGCCCAATTGCTGGAACTCATGCGGGGTAATGGCGTGTCGGACGTGCGGCAGAGTGGGAGGTTTGAAGTTCTAGAGCAGCTGGTCAGGCTGGTCCAGGTGGAGGAGAACTCAACGAGAGGGCCCAGTCAGATTTAAATAATCGAAAATATCTCAATTTTGAAGCCGGAATTCGGAAGCTGCAAAGTGGAAGTGGCCACTGCAGAGTGCATGAAATTGGCGTCCCTGAAACCTGGTGCTGGCATCTCAACCCGCCAATCAGAGCGCAGCCCTGCCGTGTATTCCTTGGGGTAAACACAAGCTTGGAACGAGCCACCAAGTATTGCCTGCCAAATCCTGGCACTGTGCTCGCCCGCTCTTCACGGCGAAGCCTCTTCCCTCGCCCTGTTCTGATCTCTCTTTCCCCTCTCTAATCCCTCTTTGCTGCCCCTTAACGTCAGAATGGCCGAGTTCGTGCGTGCTGAAATACTGGGGACCACCTTTGAGACCACTAGCAGGTACTTGGTACCCCGCGGTAGATATATATGGCCCAGCAGGAGCTGACCCCTCTTGTAGATATGCGAACTTACAGCCCGTCGGCCTCGGCGCTGCTGGCATTGTCTGGTATGGCTTCGTATATCCTCTTCCCATCCAACCGTAAAGAGCTAACAAAGCCGACAGCTCTGCTTATGATTTGATTTCCGAGCAGACGGTTGCAATCAAAAAGATGATGAAGCCGTTTAATAGCACTTCAATTGCGAAGAGGACGTACCGAGAAGTGAGGCTCTTGAGGCAGCTGCGACATGATAATGTGCGGATCCAATTCCACTAGGTGGCTGATCGTTCCCTGCTGACTCGTTGCCAGTTGATAAACATGAGCGATATCTTCATCTCGCCTCTGGAAGACGTGTATGGATAGTAGCCAAGTCTCATCGTGCAACAGCTGACAATTACAAGATACCTCGTAACAGAACTCCTACCAACTGATCTGCACCGCCTGCTCAGTTCAAAACAACTCGAGGGGACTTTCATCCAATACTTCACATACCAAATCCTGGTAAGCAAATGAATTATTGATGTTGCACTTCGGACTTATGTCCTTGTTGGAATTCCGAGGCTGACGCAGTACTGCTCCGTCTTGCGCTGTTCTTCTCACTACAGCGCGGGTTAAAATATATACACTCAGCAGGTGTAGTCCATAGAGACATGAAACCGGGAAATATTCTTATAAACGAAAACTGCGACTTGAAAATTTGCGACTTCGGGCTGGCCCGTCTTCAGGAACCACAGATGACGGGGTACGTGTCGACCAGGTACTACCGCGCACCGGAAATCATGCTGTCCTGGCAGCGGTACGGGAATGAGATTGACATGTGGAGCGTCGGTTGTATTGTTGCCGAAATGTTTCTGGGGAGGCCATTATTCCCGGGAAAGGATCACATCGATCAGTTCTATCTGATAACGGACTTGTTAGGAAATCCTCCAGATGAAGTTACTGATCGGATCACGACGACCAATGTACGTCACTAAACTTTTATTTGCCTTTCAACAGATTCGGGCTAATACAGTCATAACAGACTCGTCGGATGGTAAAGTCTATGCCCAAAAAGAGTCCACGACCGTTGAAACAAGTTTTCCTCGGTGCTGAAGATCAAGGTATGCGCAGTGGAGTTCTCGCGCGATTGTAGGACCGCAACTAACGGAAATGGTTTCCAGCAATAAACTTCCTTGAGAACCTCCTGGTCTTCGACCCAAAGCGACGAATGTCTGCAGAACAGGCATTGAAACACCCCTACGTGGCTCAATATCACGACCCAACGGATGAACCTTGCGCAGAGCAAAAGTTCGACTGGTCATTCAATGATGCCGAACTGCCCAACGAGACGTGGAAGATCATGATGTACGTCTCATATCCCTATGGCTAGTCACTTACAAAGGAGAGACACTAATAGGTGCACGGCACACCCATAGATACTCCGAAGTCCTTGATTTCTTCCAAGAGACCACAACCCTCAGCAATCAGAATCAGACTCTTCCAAGTACGGAAGATCCGTCACAGCTCCAAATACAGGCCAACATATTAAACGACGCAGAACTTATGCCAGATTTTTCTACCTTGGTTGATACGTCTAAGTTAGGTGGCATGGATTTCCTAGTCGACGGGCCAATGGATTATGCCTAGGTGAGCGTTTTTATAGGGTAAAAAATACTTAACGTGAACAGAATTGGGTAGTATTCCCTTTGGTAAACTTTGGAAAGTTTATCTGTCCTGGCCTGACTTCTGCTTGGCTGGAAAGCATACGCGTCCAGGAGCAAATGGGAAGGTTTAAATAACGAGTGATGATATATCAGTGATGACGATTCTTTAATTCCTTCCAACTACGTACACAATTCTTTTACTTCGATTCAGTCTCTACTTTTTGGTTTTTTCTTCTATTACTTCTTCTTCAACGCGGCTCTCTCCCGCATAACGACAAAACGAACAAAAAGGAGTAAAGCTAGCACACTCACACAACCATGCTGTCCAAAATGAGTACCTATACTTCTTGTTTCCTTTCGATACCCTCTATCATCCTTATTTCAATCCTCCTCTCCCTGCAGCCCCAACAAGCAAGTGCCTCCCCAGCCCCAAGACCAGGCTACGGCTACCCACATGGTCAGGGTCAGGGCCAGGGCCAATATCAAGGTCAAGGCCTGGGCTGGGGACAGCCAACCGCATCACCCGTCGCCACCATCCTCCCAGGCTACAACGGCCAAACTCAAGGCCAGGGCCAGGGACAATATCAAGGGGGTGAAGGCCAAGGCTACGACTTAGGTGGCTCCTCTGGTCTAGGCGGCTCTTCTAGTCTAGGTGGTTCAAGCTCCGACTACGGCTCTGGCTCCAACTCCCTAACCGGAGCAAATAGCTGGAGTCTCTCCCTCTACAGCGACACCCAGTGTACCAACCAGCCTCTCAGTTTCAGCGGCACCGACAGCCTGAGCTGCTCGAGCACCGGCGGAGCCGAGATCGCTGGCCAGGCGTTCATTGCAGAGGTACAGGGCTGCACTGTTATTTTCTTTGAAGGCGAGGGGTGCTTTGATGGGTCGAGGATTGGGACTTTTGGGGGTGACGACGACGACGACGATGAGGACGACTACGATGAAGACGATGGTGATGATGATGGCGACGAAGGTGAGGATGGTGATGATGATGACGATGACGATGATGATGAGGGCCATGGGAAGAGAAAGAGGGTCGTGAGAAGGGTTGGTGGCGGCCAAAGTTCTGGGACTTGTGCTCTTCCTAAGAGAGATGATGCGTATGAGGATGATGGGGGGGATGACGACGACGACGACGACGATGATGATAAGAAGGGAGAACACCACAAGAGACAGATCCGAAAGAAGCGAGGAACTGGGCCAGAAAATGGCAATGATGAGGGCGCTGTCCAGATCAAGGCGTTTGCAGTAGTGTGTGGCTTCTAGGTAGTTTGTCAAAAGTTCTTCTCTGATCTTATTTAATCTACACTCCATTAGTATGAATTCAAGTGGTCGAGATATGCTTTTCTTCCTCATACTACTATTCAACTAGAAGACAGGATAATAGAGGACTAAGACATAAGCAACAAGAGAGCACGCAATATGAAAGGACAAAAGAGGGAATCTTGCTGCGCTGCTGAGATTGGAGACAGGTGTCATGGATAAAAGCAGGTATAAAGAAAATAGGGTAAGGGAGGAATTTATGCAGGTGCTCCAGCCACAGCTGTCAACGATTAAAAAGAAGCTATCTTTGACCTCGAGCGTGAAACAACGAAAAGATTCTTCGGCCGAATTAAGAAAGACATGAAAGAAGGCAAGGAAAGCTGCGAGGGAGTGGAGAGCACCGACAGGCTCCACGTCCCTCCACCGGGACACGGTAGCAGTCATCGAAGGACACGGAATGTTGGTTGCATTGGCTCTTCCTTTCTCTTCCAAAGAAAGCTATTAACGTGAAGAAACAGTAGTCGAATAATATTATCCCCATAGACAGTTATAACCGCTGTGCCACGAGTTTCATAGCATAGGCACAGACGGCGTGAAGTTCCGCAAGCTGTTACCCGCGGACAATTAATCTTCAAAAAAAAAAGATTACTGCTCGCCGTTGGCGCTTTGCTCCTGGCTTGCCTCGCGGGCCATGCGCGCCTCGATCTCCCTCAATTGACTCTCGCGAGCCAACAGTTCCTGGCGCTTCTCAGCAATCTCACGCTGTACCTTGAGCTCAATATCGCGCAGCTTCTCTTCCTCGCGGCGGAGTTGTTCTTCCTTCAGGCGGACGGATTGAGTTGCCAGGTCTTCGGGGTTCATCGATGAATCGCCACCGCTCCTACTCGATATGTTAGTTATTGCAACATACAAAATGTTGGAGAGTATACGTACGTAGCAGCACCGTCAACACTCTTGCTAAGCTTCTCAGTACGGTAGTTTTCGTATAGGAAATCGTGGGTAATCTCCTTGAGATCTGCAAGATGGCTGTGGAGTAAAGCGCTTCGGATGGCCAGAAAGTCTGAGTGTCGGGGGTTCTCAACCTCGACAACACCCCAGGGGTACTGCCTAGCTCGCACTTTGCGGCTGTCGATTTCCACAAAGTCATCCGAGCCAACGATGGCAAATGGCATCAGTCCCCGGAGCTCAGCGTTCTCCTCCACGGTGTCCTCGTCGTCCTCTTCGATATCGTAAGGGAAGTTGTAAACAGGAATGCGGTAGTGCTCAATGTCTTCCATGATGAGCTTTTTCGACTCGGCGAGTTCCGCAGGGGTGAGCGAGTCGGCCTTTCCGATAACGGGGATAACGTTGACACGCGGGGAGAGACGCTTCATCAGTTCAATATCCAACTCACGGAGCCCGTGGCCGGTTGGTGTGATGAAATACAGGAGGACGTGGACACGGTTATCCCTGAAGCGGGGGTTTCGCTTAATTCGTGATTCCTCGGCAAGAATATCGTCGTATTGGCGTTCTAGGTATCCCACAATCTCACCAAAGCTATAAAACAGTTAGTTTGACGCCACGTCTCTCTCAGTTCGGCGGTAACCACATGCCTGGCTTCATTGTCAATCTGGTCACCGAAACCCGGGGTATCAACGATGGTGAGGGAGATTCGAGTGCCCTCGTCGTCCAATTCGAGTTCTGTTAGAACGTATCAGCCTGAACTTTGCCGGGCTTCGTCTTGGAAAGCCATACCAACTGTCACTGGCTTGATGCGAACACCCTCCTCAATGTGAGCATTGGCAGCGTCATCCGCATCCTTGCCCTCCAGAACCTGCTTCCCGCAAAGCGTGTTGACAAAAGTTGTGCGTCCTGCCGCGAATTGATCCGTTAATTCTGGAACGATTGTGATGCTTTTTTTTCTCTCAGATTAATCACGCACCGGTTCCACTGGCACCGCAGACCATCAGGCAAAACTGAATACCCTTCTTGACATTCTTCTTCCGGCGGAGCTTGATCTAAGAGAGGCGCAACGAACGTTAGTTTCCGACAACAAAGCTGATTGAAAGGGACGAGGAAGGGGGTGCGAACGGAAGCCTAAATTGAAAACAGTCAACAATTGAGCAGGTAAAATAGAAGGACTGAGGGTGGATCATCCTTCTGAGGCCGCAAGGCCAGAAAGGGGAAGTTCACATACCGGGTTATACGCAGACGACATGATGGGCTAAGAAAGGGGAAGGGCGAGTAAAGAACAGAACGATGGTCGGGAATGTGAATTGACGGAGGAGAGAACGAGGATAGCGAGTGGAAGGGACGAGAGACGGAGAAGGAGCAGAAATGAGGAAGGGAATGAACTGCTGGACTCCTGAAGTCGAGTTGGAACCAGCAGAGAGAGGTCGAGAGAGGTCGAGAGAGAGCGTCCGTTGTTAGAGGGACTTGACTGACCTGGCAGTTTAGGGGGGAAGGCGCCCCAATGCGGTTTAGTCTATGCGGCCACGGTATTCAATACGCCCCTCGTACACAAACTGCTTCCCCCTTTCTCTCCAGAGCTCGAGATACACCAATCACAGCCAAATTTTCTCCCCTAGACGCTGTATTCTGTATTATTTATTGGTATCTCTAATACACATGTTCAAGATGACAATCCGAGACCTGTGTATCCAAGCAGTGCTACACAAAAAAAAAAGGACAAAAGCAGAGAAATCGCTACATACGTGTTAAATAAGCTACGAAATGTGATAGGGGAGCCCAGGAGTTTTGCGCCCAGATCAAGAGCTCTGGTACCTTAACTATTGGTGAGAACGACCCAGAGAAACTGGGCCAGAAATGAGAAGATCCAAAGATCCCGTCAAGCTCTCAAGCCACCGTGACCTTTGATGTCAGACTCATCGAACACGGGGCAGTTGATTTCTTAAGACAAGCGGAGAGAGAAAATCCTTTAATACGACGCACAGGTGTTCAATATTTCTATTAGGCTGAGTTGGCTGATCAATTCCTCACGAACTCCTTTGCGAACGGGACTGGTCTTATTTTCAGGGGTAAATAATTTGGGGAGCCAAATGCTGCCCTCTCTCTCCGCGGGACCGCGGCCGTGGGCCCTTGCGGCCCACCACAAATCGCAGCCTGAGGCTGCAACACGCCGCAGAAGTATACCTTCGATCTACACTGTGCAATCAACCTTGAGTATACTTTAAACTTGCTCTGGCAAATAAGCACGAGAAATAAACCTATTATTCGGTATAGTAGAAATGCGAGAGATCACATTCCGAATCCTACGGGGTCCGCGATGCATTTAAAAGCCTGGTGAAGAACTTTGTGGTCTCTTTAGAGATCAGTTAATAAAATGGGAGTGGCAAGATCCAACGCCCCGAGCTAAGCATACAGTGACTCCTGACTTTGGGAGCAGTCAAACAGGCATGTTAACAATGTTACAGAGTTGAAGGCTCAAAAAGTAGCCGGTTACTCACGTGACGTCATATGGATGGCGGGCAGGACCAACTACTAGCGTAATCAGGTTCGCTAAACCCGACTCATTTATAAGGAAGGCAATAACCAAGCAGTATTGCCGACTCAGAGGTCTACTCTGGGAGAACTGGTCGGCGGTACAGAGTATAACTCCTGCAAGTCCATGATGCCATAAGCGGTTTAGTTGAGAGTGAGTCGCAGCAGTGGACCCGTGGACGACAAGTCCAAATAAGGTCAGCGGAACGGTTGATCTTCCCAACCCGCTCCCTCCAGCTTCCTACATATCTTTCCTCCTCCCGACGTCAAGCTCTATCGATCTAGATAATTTGCATTCCTGGCCGCCGGGATGGATACGCGACAGCTTATCGATGAATCCAAGGGCCCACACTCGCGATCGGTGACCTTCAATAGCGATAACTCTTGCTTCTCCGTCGGTTTGGATACTGGGTTCTGCGGTTCGCCCAGCCATTAGATATATCTCATGCGCGCGAGGAAGCAGTGCTGACTTATGAAAGTTCTTAACGCGAACCCATGCGATCTCAAGGTATCTAAAAGTATGTGCTTTGTCGCAGTTACCCTTCATCCTGGTATGCCATTATCCCTGACCTTATATAGATTTCGGTGCCGGTATAGCTCTCGCCGTCATGCTCGGTAAATCAAACTATCTCGCCCTCGTCGGCGGCGGAAAACGACCAAAGTTCCCGCAAAATAAGGTGTGCTAACCCTGGAATTGGACCCCGAGAGCTCTACTTACACAGGCACTGCAGCTGGTTATTTGGGATGATGCGAAGCAGAAAGCCGTCCTCACTCTGGAGTTCCGCACATCCGTCCTAGGCGTCCGGTTATCAAAGTCACGTATTGTTGTCGCCTTGCTTAATAGCATTCATACTTTCGCCTTCTCTACCCCACCCGAGAAGCTCTCAGTTTTCGAAACAACGGATAACCCCTTGGGACTGGCATGCCTGGGCCAGAAGTTGCTGGCCTTTCCCGGGCGGTCCCCGGGACAGGTTCAAATTGTCGAAATCGAAACGGGTAATGTCAGCATTATACCTGCTCACAGTACCCCACTACGCGCGATGACTATGAGTCCTGATGGAGAAGTACTTGCAACAGCGAGCGAAGCGGTAAATTCACAAATTGTTCAAATATGATATTAGTTGTTAGCTAACTAATCACTCCAGGGCACATTGGTACGGATATTCGCGACGAGCAACTGTGCGAAAATGGCCGAACTACGACGGGGAATGGATCACGCCGTTGTATTCTCACTTGCCGTCTCACCGTCGAATAATCTATTAGCCATGACATCTGACAAATCTACCCTTCATGTCTTTGACCTTCCACATCCACGCAACGGCCCATACAGCCAGCAGCAATCATCACTGGACGAGGAGCGGTTGAATAAAAAGTGGGGCATCCTTGGAAAGATACCACTACTACCGAGGATGTTTTCTGATGTTTATTCATTCGCAAATGCGCATTTTGAGATGGGGGAAGAAGGCCCGGGTTCAACATATGCGCCACCTTTGGGCAGTGTATTAGGGCGACCTATGAAAGGTGTAATAGGCTGGTCTGATGACAACACCATACTCGTCGTCAGTGCCGGTGAAGACGGGAGGTGGGAGAAGTTCGTCCTCTGTGACGGCGAAGAGGGAAAGCGATACTGCATAAGAGAAGGTTGGAAGAAATTTCTGGGCGGCGGAAGCTGAAAGGACATCCCTCAGATTGTATTCTGAAACCAAATTATCAAATGAACCGATAATGCGGGAGTCGTCGAGAACGATGTCTGGTGGAGCTACCTCGCCCTAGTCCGGCCAGGCAGAAACCTCCGGCACAGATACGGATGTTGGACAAAAATGGCGGCCATGGTATCCAATTCAGCCCCTACCAGGTGCTGACCGTCTATAATTTTTTGACATCAGATCTAATGACCCGCGAGCCAGTCCAGGCAACGATGATAGCGCACAGCAGCCGCAAGGTTTCGATTGATTCGTGCGGTTGGGGCCAACTTATCGGCGACGATCATGTCTATCCCGTTCCCGACGGGGCGCAGGTGATCGAGAACGCTCTGCAGACCTGTCCCTGTGAGACCTATCTCGTCGAGATCGCTCTTTATAGTCACGGCTGCTCCTCTCTCTAGACCGCGAACGGTCTTCATCACGTCGGTGGCGGCGGTGGTGATGGTGACGGGAATGGCGACTTGACCTCTCTCTGCTGGACTCTCGCCGTCGCGAAGACCTTTCTTTTTCTTTCCTTGCCTCCAGTACTCGAGCCACTTCTTCCCGTTTCTCCTCAATAAGAAATTCCTTCATGGGGTCCTCCTCGTCATGATTCTGTATTAGCTCCTGTAATTCGATCTCCTCTTTCAACATTTGGCGTCTAGGCAACTCCCTATCTTCGCTTCGGCCCCGCCTCTTTCGCCGCCTGCTCTCATCGTCCGTGTCGCCGTCGGCCTCTGTGTTAACAGTATCTCCCATTAACTTGGCCACGTTGTTCGTATCCTCTTCTTCGTCACGCTTCTTGTATCTCGTATGGTCTACACGTAGCATCCTGCCGAGGACAGTCGCGCCACCAAGGTTGTCCACGGCGAGATCCGTACTGCGCTGATCTTCATACTTGAGAAAAGCAAAGCCTCGGCTCTTCCTTGTCTCCTTGTCGCGTACTAGGTTTACGTGTACTGGCTCGCCATACTGCGAGAAAATAGTCACGATATCTCCCTCGGAGAGATCGAAAGGAAGACCACCGATATAAACGTAGGCTGTGTCGCGGTAGTCGGCGTGCCAGGAAGCTTCGGGAGGACTAAAATTAGGCAATGTTAGCAAAAGACAATTAAGGTCGTAATGGGTGAAGAGATACGCACATAGCATGCTCTAGCTCGCGCTTGTTCAGCGCCTGAACTTGGCGGATATTATTCATGGTGCCTTTGGTTTGCAAGTCCGTAGTTAAAGACGAAGTCCCAGTCGAGAGCTTCTGCAGGTCCGATCCGCTGGTATCGCGCATCACGTGATTTGGCTTCCCAAAAGAGATATTTGGGGATGAAGGAGTGTTGTGGATCCAGGAGAGAGAGGACATAGAACAACAACCACACTGTCGCCATGCTGAGCATATTGAATTCAATGTTATGCACTGTGTAACGCTGCGAACCCCAAACCCCGCTAGAATTCTACGTTTACGCCGCCCGGATCTACAAACACCGCAATCTTAGGCCATTCAATCTTCAAACACGTCCCCTGACCTGTTCCGCTTCCGCTTCTCCTCCGACACCCACCACCTTTACACCCTGATCCACGCGTCAAATTTGTTGGGACCGTGAATATATTGTCCAGAAATATTTTGGAATGGTCTGTGCAGACTGAGCGCGGTCAGTGTTGGACAGAGAATGTCTACATCAAGTCAAAACCCGCGGACAAGATCCAGCACAGGAAACAACAGTCGACCGTCCAGCAAAGATGGACCGAAGAAGAACATCTGGTCTTCTATGCTTGATAGCGCTGCGACCGGCAAGCGATTACCTGAGAAGAACCTCCTGATATTAGGTGCGCAAGTCCTTTTGAGCTTCACCACGGGTCGCTGCTAATCCTCCCACGTCTTTTAGGAGGTACACCCGAAAGCCAGAGAGAGTTTTTGGAGGCATATTCCGCAGATACTTCGGATTCTAGCACATCTAATGAGAAACGAAAGGGTAAATTGCCGCCGGTGGCCAATCAGTTTGCCCTGGGATACACGTATTTAGACGTGTTGGATGCGGACCAGGAAGGTAAGTAGGCGGCGGGGTCCCGCCAACTTCGGCCCCCGGCCATTTAGAAATGGTACTGGATGCTGAGACTATTTCTTCTTTACAAGATACGCTGGCACGTGTATCCGCATACCTTCTCTCCGAACCATCGTTATCATTCGCACCCCTCCTTAAACCTCTTTTGACACCTCAGTCCATTCCCGAAACCTCTGTCGTCATCCTACTTGACTGGTCCGATCCGTGGACGTGGGTAAGGCGGCTGAGAGAATGGGTCCGCCTCTTACGCCACGTTCTGATCTCGCTTGATGACGAAACCAAAGTCGTGATGGAAGAGAATATGACACAGTGGAGGGAGCGGAAGAAGGGAATAGATGCCACTTCAACAGGATCGCAAGCAGCTAGCTCTGGAGCCGTTGTTATAGGTCCCGGAGAGTGGGATGAAGGACTAGGCGTACCCCTATGTGTGGTTTGCCAAGGAGTACGTAGTCTTCAAGACCTTGTTGCGGGGAACAACTGCTGATGTTTATGCCTTCGAATAGACCGACAAGATGGAGAAGTTGGAGCGAGAACATGGCTGGCATGAGGAGGAATTTGACTTCATTCACCAGTTCATGAGAACGTTACTAGTAAAACGTACGGTCACTGGGAAAGGCAATTTTGAATCAACCTCTAACTGGCTACAGATGGCGCGTCCCTCATATACACGAAGCCGTTCCAGGCGAATAACCTACACAGCGTACTACACTCCTCCCTCGGCATACATTCCCTCCTCAAGAAGCTATCACTCAAAGCCCAATTTATCGAACGCGACAAGATTTTAATACCTACGAATTGGGATTCATGGGCTAAGATTCGAGTTATCCGAGAAGGATCCAATTTGGAGGGCATATCAACCGCTTGGTCTATCGAAATTCAAGACCCGCCTGAGCCGCTTACCAACGGCAATGACGAAGGCCAGGAGGAGGGTACCGCTGAAGACGACGACGGGACGAGTGCTGTAAAGATATACGAGCAGACCATCAAAGACCCCAAGCGGAGTACCTCCATAGCGTATCCTGGAAGCCAACAAGGCGGGAACAAGATCGAGGTTGATACAACTGATATGCAGGGCTTCCTCACCAAGCAGCTAGAGGTTTTGGAGCAGTTGAAGATTGAGGATGAGAAGGACCGCGCAGCCAAGAAGGCGCCTCAGCTGGAAATGTCTCCATTAGAAGATAACAGTCGGGTCAACGAACATATTGGGCCCGTGCAGTTCAACATGGGTGGTATCCAAGTCGATGCGGATGATATGCTCCAAAAGATAAAGGTAAGCTCTACCAAAGCGATCTTACTGATGGTGGAAGGATGCTAATACCCATCGCCAACTGTAGGACCGAGAAGCCAGTCGAACCCAGCGGAAGGATCCCGTCTCCTCACCAGGAGACGAGAAAGCACACAACCAAGCACTGGCGAACTTCTTTGCAGGCCTAGTTAAGAAACCCGGAGGCAGCCCCCGCGGAAGCCCGTCGGTATAACGCGTTCAAATCGAATCGAACAATTTTCCTGCCATTTCGCTTTCCTATGTTGGATGTACGTCGGACGGAGTTGGACTCAGTTGGCTTGGTTCTGTTTCTCATCTTCATTGCAAGTGGCTCGCTCTCCTGTAACCGGTGCCACACCGTGGAAATGCCAAAGGGATATGGCAGCCCGTACATTTTCACTCGTTCAGTACATACCCCCAGTACGTATCTTTTTCCTTTTGATTATGGTTAGCGTAGATACCTTTTCTAGTACATTTTCATGGGAAGGGGTGACGCCTATGTCATTTAAGACTGCCGCATTTTGTCAGTGATAATCATAATCTTCCAATTCGAAATATTCAGAATAATTCATTGTGCATTGAATATATATGTAATTTTATGAATACGTACGTGATTTTATATATAAATTCGCTTTTATTGCCACTCTACAACACTATCAGCTTTGACGTGAATTTTTATATATATATTGAAGCAGAGGCAAAATCAAGCCCGCTACCCAATCGCCCGCCGATCATACTAATTTATTCACCCCAACATCTTCTCAACCACCACTGTATCTAAGTATACAGATATCAGATATATATTTATATATATCAAGAACTTACCATCCCTCCCAAACTCTATCCGGCAACACAGTCCTCATAATCTTCCAATGCTCCAATGCAGTCCGATCCTGGTACTTATGCAACGCCCCAACGCCCTTATCATACAAAATCCTCTTACCCCCTTGCTCCACGGCCTCGAACCTCGCCGCATCAACCTCATGTCTCGGAACAAGATACCGGGCGCGGAACCGACTGCCCAGGAAATCTGCCGGCACGGGGTCTCGGAACGTCAGCGGGGTCAGCGCGTCCTTGGTGCAGAAGATGACCATATTTGTGAAGTCCATCCCGATGTCGGAGTCGGTTTCTTCGCGGTAGAGGCGGCAGGTTGGGAAGATGGATTTTATAGTTCGGATAGAGAGGCCGGTTGGGTAGGCGCTGATGTCGCCGGCATAGTTCTGTTGGGGGTTGGTTAGTTTTTGCTTTTTTTTTTTCTTTTCTTTTAATCGGGAAGAGAGTGCGTACGATGGCAACGACTCCGTCGTCCTTTAAAAGGGCGTGGAGACCGCTGATGAACTCGTATGTGAAGAGCTCGACGGGCTCAGCGCCGCCAGTGAAGACGTCGTGGACGATGTAGTCATATTGCTTCGGAGAAGCGGATTTCTGGCTCTTCTGGACGAAGGCGCGGGCATCGTCGATGGCGGCAGTGTGGTTGGATGGTAGACCGAAGTATTGTCCTGCGAACTTGTGGACGACAGGGTCAATCTCAACGATTGTGGTGTCAATGCCGTGGCTGATTAGCGCGCCTGGTGTCGTTCCGATTCCGAGACCACTGGATGGAGTAAGCTGGTGTTTTCTTGAACGTTAACCGAGAGAATGGGGGAGTTACATGACAAGGGCGTTGCTGCCGGCGTCTACGCGGGGAGTACCATGGGCAGTCTCAACAAGACGGACAGCCTCGAGCATGGTAAATACTGCGTAAATGGGGTCTTTGACAGCTGGAGGGTTGTAGTTGTGGCGCTTCTTGACCCATTGACCTCCGAGGAGACTGTGATCGCACCTCATAACGCGGAAGCCATCCTCAAGATTGTCCAAAACGGAGACGTAGCCGGTCGTGGAATCCTGACGGTCCAGGAGGGCAAAGCCTTCCTCGACAAGAGCAGAGTTGAGAGATCTCGTTGTATACCCCAATGGCAAGTGCTCGTTGGAAGTGAGAGAGAAGAAAAGAGACGGAATAGCCAAGAGAAGAAGTTTGGATGGTACTGCAGCAGCATACAGGATCGGGACTAGAATCTGAAGACCGGCGCGACTGAGCAAGACAGTCGATCCAATGAACTTGGAGAGAAATGCTTTGACCAGATGCTCGCCAGCAGAATAGACGACGTAGGAGCCGAGCAAGGGAATGTGCTCCGCCACTAGATCACCGTGTCGATTGAGGTCGAGACCGGACTGCACCAGCTTACCAGCGCTGGCCACAGAGAGAAATACTAGAGGATACAAACCAAATATCTCTGTAATGATGGGACCAGCAGGGTTCCCGAGCGCCGAGGTCTGCTGAGTGATGAAGTACTGTAGTACAGGCAGCCAAAAGGCCAACACGGGAACAGCATAGATAGCGTTCCGGCCGGACAGATGATGGACAATGTTCTTCGCAAACCAGCCCGCTACACCTGCGAATCCGACTCCGTAGCCGTGAAATATATGGGACGGGGCCGACCCATATACAGGGGCCAGAGTCAACAGAAAAACGACCGAGTAGAATGCCGCAAGGACCAACAAGGCCGCACCGACCGCCAGCTGCCTGGTCGTATCTTGCTGGTAAATGCTCCTAAACGGGGCCATGACTTTAGTTCAAATTCGATCAAGCTCAAGAGTTTTCCTAACAGTTGTCAGTTCCAAAGTTCATGTCCATTGAAGAGCTGTCAAAGCTATAGTGCCAAGCGGAGACATGAAACAAACAGGAGGGCCTCTTACATGTCCTTTTCAATTAGCAGTTAGTCGACAACCACCATACTAATTGCAGACAAAAGTACAAGTCCAGACTACCGTCTTTTATTCTAGTCTGACTTGCTTCGTTGATGCTGTGACGCGGAGGTGAAAAGCAGCAAATTTGCCGCCCGCTTCCGACTCGACAAAGTTCCCATTTGCATCATCGACACCGACAACCCAAACCCGCTCTGAATCAACCACCACCATCGACACCATTATGCCGTTCTTTCCAATGGGCACTGGCATCCAGAACGACCAGATCTCCATCGGAGAAGATGCCAAAGCCCCATCCCTCGTGATTCCCCGCGCAACCCAGATCAAAAACCGCCGCAAGCGCTATCTAGACCTCCATCCAGAGTATTTCTCTGCAGACCTCGAGCTAGCCGGTCCGCGCGCTCTATCTCACCATCTTCCTGGCTGATCGTGCTTTCAAATACAATGTCTTTTTGATACCGACAGCCAGGCTATCCTATCCGTAGGAGTGAGCTAATACCCCATGCAGACCCGTTACTCTACGATCGCCTGATCCGCCGATTCCAGACCCCCACGGAGCGCGAAGCCGAGGGTCGCGCAAAAGGATTTTCTGGCATCCTACAGGCAGACATGCTCCGGTCCGAGGCGAAAATGGACGCGTTGAATCACCCTGATCCCCACGCGATGTTTACCTATGCTCGTGGTCCGAATGGGGAGATCCTGGCGGAGGACCGCGACGAGATACCTGGAAGCAAGGAAGAGGGGGAGAAGGCGTGGAGATGGGAGATGACGATGAGGTTTCTAAGAGGGGAGGACTCGGACTTTGATTATACGGTTGTGGATGAGAATGAGGAATTGGATGATTTGCAGGAAGAGCAGGAGCGGTATTTCGATGATGAGGAGCCGGAGTGGATGGTTGAGGGTGATGGTGATGTGAGAGCGCGCCTGCAGGGGGAGACTGGGATTCAGGATTTTTGAAGGCTACGGGTCTGATCCTAGGAACCGTCACCGATACCCGGAGTTTGCATGGAGTCTGCGCTCTACGAACAAACTCCCTTGTTGGCTTATCCACACGCTTGTTGGCCTCTGTGATTTTTGGGTCGGGATCGTCTCCCGCTTTACCCTCGCGCCGAACAGGGCCATCTACCATCTCAACCTCTTCCGCATCCCCTGCTGACACAGCTGGTGAATTCAGACCGGCAGCCACGAACAGAGTGCGCAAAAGTGTCCCGGCCGTGGTCCTTTGCTCAGATGATGGAGAAGTATTGAAACGAGGCACCGTTCTCCAATAACCGGAACAGCTTGCTTCAATAGGGATTGCATATACATATACCCAGTTTCTGCACTGCAGACTCAGTTCTATGATGTGTTGAGACTAAATGCTTTGAAAGTCTTGCTAGGCCAACTGTCAATCAGGCGTGTTGAAATACCTGAAATATACCAATAATATCCAATAAAACCAATCTAGGCTATAACATATCGTTATATGCCAAGTGAAGTGTACATGATTTCATGATCGCTCAAGGCTCACAGAGCCACAATGTCGTATATACTCTTAAATATCCGTAGAGAACGAAACTTCCCATCCAACAACCCCAGGACACCGCCTAATGATGCCCTCCCAGAAGCTTCACCGCCGTCTCCCTAAGTTTAAACTTCTGAATCTTCCCACTCGCCGTCTTCGGAAACGCATCCGTCGGCTCAAGGAAGAATATGTACTTCGGCACTGTCCCAGCGTCAGCAACCCCACCCAAGCAAACTCCAGAACATGGGAAAAGAGAGAAAGGACATACCAAGATGTGAACTCAAGTTATCCCTAACAAACTCCCTAATCTCATTTCCCGTAGCAGCCTCGTCCTCCTGATGTGCCTTGGTGATAATAAATGCAGCCACAACCTCCCCGTAGCGCTCATCAGGCACACCGACGACCGAGACGTCTGCAACGCCTGGGAACGTCAGTAGACAGTTCTCGATCTCGAGCGGGTGGATGTTTTCCCCGCCGCGGATGATCAGGTCTTTGATTCGGCCTGTTATGCTGATGTATCCGTCCGGGGAAAGGGTTGCTTCGTCGCCGGTCTAGATTGTTGTTTATTAGTTTTGGCCGTGTGGATAGTAGTGAGTGAATGGAAGGAAACAAACATACATGCATCCAGACTTTTCCATCTTTATCACGGAGCATAACTAGATCCGTTTTGGCCGGGTCGCCCCAGTACTCCTTCATAAGGAGGTATCCAGATACAGCGAGCTCACCGCGAGCATTGATGGGCAAGATATTATTATGATCTGAGGGGTCAACGACCTTAGCCTCGACATGGGGCATGAGGCGGCCGACAGTGTTGATGCGTTTATCGAGGGGATCGTCAGTCGTCGTCATTGCAGAGACGGGGCTTGTCTCTGTCATTCCATAGCAGATGGTTAGCTCTGTGAGGTTGAGCACCTTGTGTAACTTTTTCATGAGCTCGGAGGGGATGCTGCTCCCCGCTGCGATTCCGGTGCGGAGGTGCTGGAACCCTTCGTATGGCATTTCGCCGGATTCAAGGAGACTTAGTTCCTCGAGAAACATTGTGGGGACGCCGTAGAGGGCTGTGCACTTCTCTTCCTGGACAGCTGAGAGGGTTGCGCGAGCGTTGAAGGCCTCGGCTGGGAAGACGATGGCAGAGCCGTGGGTTGCTGTGGCCATGTATCCTAAAACGGAGCCGAAGCAGTGGAAGAGGGGAGGGGGGCAGCAGACGGTGTCGTGTGCTGTTAAGCGCATTCTGTCGCCGATTTGGGCGCCGTTGTTGAGGATGGAGCGGTGCGTAAGACAGGCTGCTTTAGGCATTGCGGTTGTGCCAGAGGTGAATTGGATGTTGACGACTTCTGACGCGGAGAGGTTTTGAGGGGGTAAGGCCTTGCCATCTGCGGTGTTGGAGGATGTGATGGAGGTGTAGGGAGTTAGGCTTTTGAAGTCTGAAGTGTCGATACGGCCGTTGGAGTTCTCCACGAGGATTATGTTCTGTAGTGTTGGGACGAGGGCTGACTCGAGCTTTGACTTTTGGAGATCTTGGACGAGGTGTTTGAGGAGAGGCATATTGCTTCTTGGGTCTCTTCGGGGGAGGTTTGATTCGGAGCTGATGATCATGTGGCTTGTCCCAAGGTGGCTAAGAGCTGCGACTACTTGAGTCGAATTGAAAGATGGGTTAATTGGTACCTTGTTACGTTAGACAAATGCGTAGAGGTGAATCCGGATATCACCTACCAAGATAGCTCCAAGCTTGAATAGAGCATATGTGACCTATAGGGTTCATAAGCATTTACACAACTGATACAGTAGCGCAGCGTACAGTGGCATGTTCCATTGAATTTCCCAGCATAACTGCAACGCGGTCTCCTTTCTGGACCCCAACAGATTCTAACCCTCGCGCAAGTGCATTGCTCCGAGCGTCAAGGTCGAGGTAGGTGGCTCTGTCATTCTGGTGCTTGGAGATGACACTGGTCATTTTAGCTTCGTGCCGTGTGCGTTTTGGCAGAAACACCATATTAAATTAAGGAACGAGTGGAAGGAAACCAACGCTGTTCTGTCCCCATAATTGTCAACGATATTGGCAAAATGCTGTCCTATCGTAGATTCGAAGAGCGGCGGCTATAGACTGCGTCAGCAATATGAACAAGAGACTGCATTGAGAACCGAGCTCGATTTGTACCTCTGTCGGACCACGCGCATAGCTCTGAGTAAGTAGACCGCGCCTAGTTGCTGGAAGAGCTTGCGAGAGTGGTCCAAAGGTGGCTATCCTCGGGAGTCTTCCCCGGAGGATAGCACTGGAGCAAAACATGGCTGAGCGAGACTTGGGAGTTATTGATTGATAGGATGTTCCATGACACTGTATAATCTAGAAATTTTGTTCAATATCTGGTCTCAGAAGGCCGGCAGATGAGCGGTGGCCTCTGCGGCTTCGGCGTGGTCTCGCGTGTCACAAGGAATGTTATACTCCGCAGTTCGGCAGATATTGGCGTCCGATTATGGCAGGCTGAAAACGGCGATAATATTGGGAACACTATAGGGCTTAGTAGTGATTGCATACCCTGTCAATGGACAAGAGCGTGCTGAAAAGGAGAGGAGAGCCAGAGGACTAGAGGTCGATGCAGAGAGAGTGCAAGAGAGATTGCGGGGAATCTCCTCACCTGGTCCGGCTGCCGAAATGCGGGGTCTGTCGCCTCTACAACTACAACTAACTTGATCAACATCACGATCAACATCATTAATGAATTATACTCCGTCCCATTGACTACTCCGCTGCCTACTAACACAGTTTGTCTCTCCACACATGCATTCCCGACGCGCCCAGTAATCGCTCCCATAGTTGATCGTGAGATCCTCAAACGGAGCAATATCGCGTTTTGCCTCCACCGTCATCACCGTCCTCCTCCCGACAGTCCGATAGTTGAATTCCGTCGACGGCCGGCAAGAATGCGCAATATACCGCGTCCAGTTTCCATATTTGCGCGGCGAGACGATCGCAAGAAAGTACTCCGGGTCGGTTTTCGACGCATGCATCAGAGAGTAGATATGATCACCGTCATAATCAGGATGATGGAGCTCTCCGACAAATTGACCCAGGATATCACCCTTCTTGAAGTCCGCTAACGCCCGTACCCCAGTCCCAGTTAAAGGCCGATCAACCAGCTCAACCAGGCTCCCAACCGAGAAATCAAGAACACAGTCGCAGATATCAACAGACCCGCAGAGATCACAATCCCCATCACTTGGTATTCGCGCCGTCGGGTCTTCAACCCTCCCGTCTATCTCCCAATTCCTTGGATCGAAAATCGGTTCATCAATATGAACCTGGGGCATCCCTTCAAACATCGGCCGCCGCACCTTCTTATCCAGAGTTTGCACGACATGATGCGGGTGCTGCTCCCACATCTTCCGAACAGGTCGCAGCTCTGAATGAAGTTCCGGTATGAGCTCCAAAGGGGCGTACTTCAGCAGCTGCCCACGCCAGTCCAGATTGCGGGACCGCGCGAACACTTCTATGCTCCATTGGTTCTCTCGTACTTTCTCTAGGAATTCTGCCCAGATCACGCTGTGGCGGATCTCCCGACAGGCACGCCGGAATCCTTCTGCTACCATGCAGATCGAGAGCATCTTCCAGCCGAATATTGTGACAAACTCTTCAAGACGTCGGATTGTTCCTCTTGGATCAAAATAAAAGTTGGGGTCTGAGCCGTTGTGAGCACTTGTGCCGCGATTTATAAACCATCCAACGACCCTGTCAAGCAGATCGCCACTCTCACGGAACTGCAACCGGTACTGAGCTACAGTTTCAGCAGTGGGATCCAATCTAATGCTACCACGGAGAATGCAGACGTAGTTGATGTCGTAGTATATTGAGGCGAGGATGTCGCTGACTAGGTTCGAGACTTGCTCTTGCATTTGCGGTGGGTATGCTGCGAGATTTCGCTTTTGTTTCTTTTCATATCGTTGACCTTCTAGGCTTTCTCCCACTGATGCATCCTTGCGAGTCCGTTTCTGGCGTAGGGGAACTCCGCCCAAGAGCGTTTTTGTGGACGTGGATCGTAGTTGAGGCATCTGGATCGTGCTGTATACTATATTTGATATAGGAGTTTAACCACCAGAACGTTTGAAATATGCAGAGGATAAGACGTCATTATTAAGTAGTTGATGTCGCTAAGAACTAATAATAGTAGAATGGGAAGATTGAACAATGAATCTTTTATCCTGTTTTGCCATGATTCAGGATGTTTCATTGTCACGGTCTGCGCCCTTTGGCGGTTTCAGATTCTCTCGGATATTAAACTAGAAAAGTTTCAAAGAGATAATTCGGTTTAGATTGTAATAGAGTCCAGTGAAGTATTGCCTAGAGTATAGATCTATAATACCCTCAGGTATATGCCTTTTTCTTCATCCCCATCCACAGAACCCGACAGCAACAGTCATAAGCGCAATAGAGCCCAACAACATCATCCCAGCGCCCTCTCCAGCAACTCTAACAGCCCCATTCCCACCACCAGTATCGCCATCAGCTCCACGTCCTCCCTCAGCCGAATCAGCTTTCCCAGTCTCTTCCGCTCGCTCCTTGGGTTCAAAGCCTACACAAGCAGTTGGAAGATCCCAAGCCTTACTCGCCAAAACCGGCGCCACCCCACGCGAATCGTTAAAGCTCATGAACCGCACATCGTAACTCGCAATCACACCTACATCCAGTTCCACAGAAGGGACGAGGTGTGTTGCATTACCAGAATCAGAATCAGAATCAGACACCACGGGATCGCAATTTTCATTAACACCGGTAGCATGGGAAACATTCAGCGATAGACTCGGCATGCTGACAAAAGCGCCGATTCCGCCGTCGATATTGACGTTTAGGGCGTCCAAGCCTGTGTTTATGCCAAGCAGGATTTGGGGCTGGAACGATATGCCTAGTGACATGGAGGATATGGTTGTTGAGGCCGAGAAGGGAATTTGATCGAATTCTGTGTCCGAGCTAATAAGTTGACGTCGTTAGTTGTGCTCCATTCTGGACATGCAGGTATGAGGTACTTACAAGCCAGTTATTGAAGATTCGTTGAATTCAGGGATTTTGATATGGATTCTCGAGTCGTCAGGGACCTGGAATCGTTAGTAAGCCAAAGGCATACGGGTGATTAGGTAGTTATACTGTTGCGTTGAAGCCATAGGAGAACCCAACATCTCCTTCGAGGTCTGCCGTGATGATGATATTGGGCACAATCTGAGGACCAAAGGTGAGTACTCCTGCTATCTAGATCAAATGATGTCAGTAACCCCCCAATATTAGAGCGTATGATGTGGAATAAAACCTACCTGGAAAGGCACAAGCGGAATAGTAGGAAGCGGGACAGTGAACTCGATCAGAGGTCCCTCAGACTCGAGCTCAAACTCCAGCTCAATCTGCGAAAACATTCGCTTGACCAACAGTTCAACGCTGCTGTTCGTGAAGAACCCGATCGCCTCGTCCACCTCAAAATCCTCATCGTCTTCGGCCGTCGTATTGTGTCCAACGCTGAACTGTCCCTGGGAGAGTTGGATGTCGCCCCGAATGGCGCACGTTTTACATCGTACAACGACTGGGAGATCAGGCCTGTTCAGGTCAGTTCGCATATCCTGGATAGGTGTATGCTCTCATACTTACACGACTTCGTCAGCGAGTGGCGCATCTATCGGGTAGATCTCCAGACCGGTGTGACGCACATTAAAGTCGGCATCTGCTGATGAATTGAGTCCATCAACATCTGAAGGAGCTGCAGGGAATGATTGCGTAGGAGATGGTGCCTCCTCTCTTTTGACTGGCGTGGCTACATGTTTCTGGATCTCTGATGGATGTCTGCGGGCGAAGGACACCCTTGTCGTAGGGAATGCCTCATGCCAGTTCATTGGCACTATGTCGAGGGTACCCATGTGGTGCTCTGGATCTACGTTGAAATTTGTAACTCTGGTGGATCATTAGTTCTGATATACTTCATTGTCAATCGTGCTTGTTGAACACACCGATGCGCAGACCGGTCCCCTTCAAGGTCGCAACCGTCATGGGAAGTGACGACGACAAACTCAGGAATGCTCTTGATTTCGGTATTGAACCTCTCCGCAGCAGCCGCGGACACAAAACTGAAGTGTATATTGGACTCTGTGCAGACGATTCTATTGAATTCGGAGTCCAACTCCTCCAGTGCAAGTATAGGCCATCGTGATTCCACGTCTAGGGTTGTTGAGAAGACCGATTCTTCCTCAACATCATTAGCGGCATAGTCGAAACTTCTCTTTCGCTGAAATAAAGGAGCTGTAGTCTCGGCTCGAGCCTTGAGCTTTGACGACAATGTCGCTGCAGACAAGCGCTTTGGTTCTGGGGGGTGCAGCACTTGATAGCGAGGGTTTAAGCGTGGGCTACTCGCATGGACAAGAACAAAAGACAGGAAAGTGATAAGTGTAATGAAGAGAAACATTTTCGATAGCATTGAGTACCATCAGACGGCCCCCAAGCTCCCTGTAGAGAAGACATGATGACAGTCGGGTCTCCCCCTATTTATCAACGAGACAAGTTTGTGGCACAGTGATGCTGCATATTTTGAATCCTCCAGTTCAACCCTAGCCGTGTCAGCCGCGTGGCTCACTAACTACAGACCACGCCAACTGTGACGGACAACAAGGGCCTTTGCAGTTTGTCCAGTCCTGTTGAGACGGCCGGGGCCGTTCCTGCGGCCCCCATGCAGGGGTACATCCTGCGAACTGCCAACTGAATACGACACAAACAAAGGCGCAAACACGAACTCCCCCAGCCTCGTTCGTTGTGACACCTTGAATTTCCGGGTACATGCGCAGCCACCAAGAGAATGACGGTTGTGAGCTCGCTGCGTAGTCAAGTAGCTGGGACTTCTGTGAAAAGGGAGCAACTGCCAACAAAATTAGTTAATGACAAGAACATCAACGCCAGAAGTCCAGGCCTTTGGGTACTGAACCTGAAAGCCGGGACGGTCCACATTTCTGGGACTTTTGTTGACCAGGCTATCCGGCTGAAACAACGACACCGTATACCAAGGCCCTCTGGCCCCCAGCCCAGCTTGTTACACTGCAGGTTCGACAGAGAGTGTTGATTCATTCTTCGCCCATGATCCATGATCCGTGAATACGAGATGTGAGATTGTTGAGTCAAGAGTTGCCCGCGGACATTCAACCTCGGAGATCGGACTTCGGAGCGCCAAGCGGACAAGCTCGGGAAATTGGAGTGATATCATTGGCCTCCGCCCATTACATCAACCGGCGCCATGCCTGTTCCAGAACAGTCGTCTCACCTGACCTGTTTTCTAAGCAGGCTCGCCACAAATTTAACGCGGATCTGATAAGAACCGACGTCAACTCCTCTGCCTCCATCATATTACATCTCCCCTCACTTGTATTCATCAACTCATCTCCATCACGCTACAAAAATGCAATCCATCAGAACTGCTCTTCGTATGACCAGCGCGATCCGCCCAGGCATCGCCGGTCGCAACATCGTCCCTCCTTCCATGGTCAGAGCCTACCACGAGAAAGATATGTGCCCATGCCCTTTCCCTCGGTTATGTTTTGAAGGCTAACCTCCTCAAACTGATCGATCACTACTCAAATCCCCGCAATGTTGGCGCTCTGAACCGCAAGTCCATTGATGTAGGCACTGGTCTCGTCGGCGCCCCGGCCTGTGGCGACGTTATTCGACTCGACATCCAGGTGGATGAGGCGACTGGAAAAATCACCGAGACCCGTTTCAAGACCTTCGGCTGTGGTTCAGCCATTGCTAGCTCAAGCTATCTTACCACCCTGCTGAAGGGCAAGACCTGTTCGTGTTTCCCGGGCTTTCCGATATGTGCAAGGATTGATGACTGACATGTCGCTTAGTGGACGAAGCTGCCAAGATCTCCAACACAGATATTGCCTCTGAACTCTGCTTACCACCTGTCAAATGTGAGTTTCCTGTGTCAGTCTTTCGATGATACAGTTGGTTGCTAATCGACATTTTCAGTGCACTGCTCCCTCCTGGCCGAAGACGCAGTAACAGCCGCCATCAAGAACTACCGATCGAAGAATGCCACCCCGGCCACAGATCTTTCCGGAACGGCCAAAGAAATCCCCAAGGAGGCCATGCAGGCATAATTTGATAGTTAATTGTTGTTGAGCGGAGTTGTTATTGTTGATATACCTCGTTTAAAAGTCTCGAGCTCCGCTTCTCAATCGTTGGAGCGGGGTACTATATTTTCTTGCGAGATGTACTCTACTAGTCTTTAGTCTTACGGTCGTTTTCTCTTCTACATTATGGCGTTAGTGACTAGATTCCCAATACGATAAAGATGAAAACACTCGACTTTGTGATGACCGATTTGTAGTCAAGACTTAGGCACGGATCCTTTTTGAAAGATTTGGCACCCACCACTTAATTAACCAAGCGCTTGTGTTGGACGCTCGAGCATTTATGCATATCTAGAACAAGCGTTCGATTCTTATCAGATGGAAGCTAAAGACATCGTATGATGTTGCGGGTCGTCAACTCGCCAGGGGCCCAGCTGCTGGGGCAAATCCGGGGACCAGGCATGACTTAGCCCTTTACGCACGGCCTCAAAGTATTCCAGTGCGAAGCGAGCTTCTTTTAAGGTCTGGATGTATTTTGTATTTGCATTTTGATTGGTAGACACACTTCCTGGGGGGATGTGGGAAATCTGGGAAAATCAAGCAACGAGCCGGGCGCCGACCGTTGCGACTTTTAAAATGTTTTGATGGTGAAAACTGATTGACCATACAAATTCGATTCTTTAAAAATCATGGGCGAGACCCCCTGGCCGCTACCAAAAAAGGACAATGATGTCAATGTCCAGTCTCAACGGGTCGACCAGAACTCGATGAAGATCCCAATTACTGTCACGAGTCGCTGCCCTGAGTGAAAACTGCATTATTATGCAAAAACTGCGCTGCCTCCGCACGATTGACTCATAACGAGCCACCGTTGCGACCGCGACATCAGCCACACACCCCGTGCCAGTGGTCGGGGTCCCAATGCGGAATAGCGCTCCGTCGGGGTCCCAAAAAGGGCATGGCGCCATGATGAAGGCTTAGAGGTCTGAGCCTCTAAGGCATCCCCCGGCCCTAGATGTCGAGCTTCGTTCTTTTTATTATTTCCCATCATCACCTCTTCTCCGAGTGAGCGAGTGCTATCTCCGTGCAGTTTCGCATCTCAATTGCCTCCGTCAAAGCGCGGCCATTGTGACTGATATCGACGCTCACTTTTCAAACCTTGAGCATCCGCCCCGCTATCGATTATCAGCCTCAGGCCTACACTTCAATTGCGCCAGACAACCTTCAATATCAAGCTGTGAACCCTGAACTTTTCTGTACCATGTCTGCAGACAATTTGCTCTACCCGATGGACTTCTCCAGCCACCAGGATGAGTGGCTTGAGTTCGACAGCTTGTTCCAGCTCTCTTCGGAGTATCTAGACAGCAATCCCACCTCCGTGGAATCTATATCTCCGCGCGACCTCGACCAGCCGTTCACCGATACCGGCTTCCTGAATTGGGACTCGGACCCTGCTATGTGCTCGCAGGCCATGTTCCCCGAGTTCACCGGCTGCGAAGCCCCAGTGGATGGGCTGGACCCGTCTGCATTGGACTTCCAGTCATTCATCGACCCCAATGCCGTTCTGCAACCAACGTCTCAAGACCAATTTGGCGACGCTGGTTTCGAGAGTGCTTGGCTCCCTGAGGCACAGGACTTTGGGACTCCTTCTTCTTTCCGGTACATGGTTGAGTCGCAGGCAGCCCTGGACAACCGTTGCTTCTCGCAGAAGGAGAAGCGACGGGATGCTTCAATTGCTTTACACTTGCAGCGCTTCCAGGATACACCATCAAATAACCTCCTTTCCTCTCCTAACTGGTCTGAATTGTCCCTCGATGTAACGCAATATGAGCGTTCCTCCACGACTTCGACTACCCCTCCTGTCTCTGACTCGCAAAACTCGTCTTCGCCTGTTTCGGGATCGGAGCCTGGGGCTGGCTCAATGCAAATGGTGTTGGATCTCAACATGAACACAACCACCAATGTGCCAAAGAAGCAGAAGCCGAGGTCAAGAGCCCAGAGGGAGAACTACATCAAGGCTAGGAAGTATGGGGTCTGCGAGAAACATCGCAAGCAGCACAAGAGGGTAAGCCGCTGTCCACATTGCAGCCAAGTGGCAATTTATTAACGAACATGAAACAGTGTAACTGCCTCGAGAAGGCAGCAGCAGCAGCGGCAACAACTTCTCAGCTAAATGTTAATGCTTCACGTGCCGACGCCAGCACGCTAGCTCACTTGCGCACGAACCATGAGAGACTCCTGTCGACCAAGTCGTCGCTACAACGCTCTGTTTATAGCCCGACAGGCTGTACGAATGTCGATCCACAAAGACTACTGACGCGACCTACACGGGTACCGCTTCCGGATCTGTCTCCTACGCAACCGCTGGTACCAGCGGGCGGCCGCGACCAGGTCACGGTGAGACAGCCGGTAGATATGCGCAAGCCGAATGTATCGCGCACGCTACCAGTACAACCATGCGTTTCGCCTACAAGCCACAACAGAGGCACCGGTGTCCACGAGCAAGTTACACAGAGACAAACGGTAGATATGCGCAGTTCGCGCACGCTACCGGTGCAGCCATATGTTTCCCCGACAGGCTACAATAGTGCAGCCGCACAGAACACGCATCTGCTTGTTACAACAAGTGGAGGCCTGCCGAATATGCCAGATCGCTTTAGAGACAAGCGCAACCAATCTATGCAACAATCCACCAGATCACAGTCCACCAGACTAAGATCCAGCGATCAACAAGTTCGCCGGACAATACACGATTCAGTGGACAGACTACCAGTTGGCAGTCGCGGCTTATTGAATGTGCCGAGATCTGGAGTTGCAAACTATCCTCTCCTAGAATGTGCAAGCACAATTGTTCGCAGGGTCGCGGGCAGCTTGTTCTCCTGGAGAGATTCATCAGCTGCTTCATCGGTAGCTGCCCCAGCCTCTTTCCTTGGTCGTCTTGCAGTGTTCTCTTCCAGGCTTTATATGCAATATAGGAAGGGAATGGGGTTCTATTGAACCTCCGCCCCGTGGGCGATAAAATTGATCGAATTGCGGTTTTTTTATGTATTGGTTGGGTCGTTATGCTCTAGGTTGTGAGGTCTTAGCGAAGTTTCATATACCTGTTTGGTATTGTTCGTTCATACATTTTTATCGAGCATATTTCTAGAGACTCGAGTCCACTAATAGATTCTGTGGAATTCATGACTATTTCTACTGTCCTTATATTTTCAATTCTCCCCAATCGTAATTTTTACAAAAGCTTCTACCTTGTAAAGTCCGTGGTGAAAGTCGGCCACGCCCGCTAAGCAAAGCGCCGCGATCTCCCGGACAAAGTCCACTTCTCCAGCTAGTCTACTGAGATTCTGGACCCCTGGAACATCAGACGGCATTCTAGGCTTCAATTTATACCTCCGTTACTGCCCAAGTCAACTCCCCGCACACACCAGGCACTCCCCGCTCCCACAACATGGCAAACCCAAACCCAACCACAGACCAGCCTTCCAGCTTCCACTTCCACTTCTCAACGGTCCCCGGTATATTCCTCCAGAGCGATCCCACCACCAACCCTGACACATTCGACTATGTAAGTCGCCCACGGCCCCTTATCAATACCGTACCGGGATAGAGAGGGAACACAATAATCTAACCTGGGGGAAAACGCCTTGCAGGTATCCTCCAACTTCGGCCTCATTGACCGCACTTACCCCTCCGACCCCGCAAACGAAACCGACCACGAAACAGCATCAAAAACAAAAACACAATGGCAGCGCCTAGAATCATACATATCCGAGCTGAACCGTGCTTCACCGAGCGAAATAACATACAAACTCCTCATCCTGGGCCGCCACGGGCAGGGCGTACATAATGTGGCGGAGTCGCGATACGGCACTGCGATGTGGGATGTACGTCGCGGTTCTACCTTTTAATTGAACCTCGTACTAATGCATAATGTGGCTATCGCACAGTGCCGTTACTCCCTCCTAAATGGCGACGAACACGGCAGCTGGTTCGACGCCCAGCTCACAGAACTCGGAATCGAACAAGCGCGCACAGCAAACGGGGCATGGAAGACACAGATCGCGAACGGGATTCCACCGCCGCAGTCTTACTACGTGAGTCCGCTGATGCGGTGCTGCGAAACCGCGAGGGTTACCTTCGATGGGACCAAGTTACCAGGGACGGAGCCGTTCCGGCCTCTTGTTAAAGAGGTATGACTGTCACTTGTCATTCTTCATGCCGTTGTTTTACAGGAATTGGAATGGAATAGAATGCCTAGCTAACATTGAAACTGAACATCTAGCTCCTCCGCGAGACTCTCGGGCTACACACCTGCGACGCGCGCTCTCCCAAGTCTGCCATTCAGGCTGCTTACCCGTATTATATATTCGAGCCGGCGTTCAGTGAGGAAGACCCGTTGCACAAGGCTGATTTGCGGGAGAGTGATTCTGCGCGGGATGCGCGGTTCTATGAGCTGCTGGGCGATATCTTCGCGCACGACGGTAATAGCGTGTTATCGCTGACGGCGCATTCCGGTGCGATCGCGAGTGTTTTGAGTGTTGTCGGGCATAGGAAGTTTACATTGGAGACTGGAGGTGTAATCCCAGTGCTTGTCAAGGCGGAGAGGAGGGCTGGCGAAGCGCCGGCGAGAGAAGTTGAGCCTTGGTTTCCGAGGCCGGAGTGTCCAGGCGAGGCATGTTAGATGTTAGAGTTAGAGACGCATTTGGTTATGTAGTTTATATTTCGTAGTGTACATAGGTGAGCTCTGGACAATTGTGTGGGGGTAAAATGCCAGTGAAAAAGAAAAAGATGCTGATCCGGCCCAGGCGGAGTGCTCCCAAAGATGTAAATAATACAAAACGCCAGAGGAATACTAGTATAGTATAACTTGAACCATGGCTCGAATGAACAGACAAACACGGCGGAAATCACCAGCTGTAGTACTGGTTCTGCTGCGTGATCGGACGGTCAGGCAGCTGTGTCCAGAGCCTAGCCTTGCGCTTGCGCAGTTCCCTGGCCTCGCGGTCCTCCCATTCACGGATTCGTGTCTTTTCCTCCTTCAACACAACCGATAGAGACGTGTATGGTGGGCGGAGCATGTTGATCTGTCCCCTGGCCCGGTGGTCGTAGTCGATACCGTACGGTCCGCGGTTCACCCACGCCTGGGAGATGTAGATGGACGTAGGGTCGTTAATTACCTTGCGCTCGCCGTCTTTGAGGGTTATCTTAATGGGCTTCAATGGCTGTGCTTCCTCGCCAGCCTGAACAGCGCCTAGCCCCATACCCGAGCGGACGACGGCAACGTTCTTCGCATGCTTAAGGTGCTCCAGGACATCCTTTGCAGCCTTCTTCTTGCTGAACTGCATCTGAAGAATGGCCTCGTCGATATTCTTTCCAGCAATCTGGCGAGCCAGCGGGCCCAATTTCTTGATCGAGGTCTTGAACCAATGTGACTTGGACAGCGACTCACGCTCCGTACGCATGATCTGTTCCGTCTTCGAAAGACGGCCGCGGCCGCGTAGCTCGCGGACAACCATCTTACGCTCCCACCGAATACGCGCCTTCGGGCGCGGATCCAGCACTGCCTGCATGTTCGCTCTGTTCCTTGCCTCTACTGATGCCTGCGGCTCAGCCTCCTCTCCCTCCGCAGCTGGGCCTTCCCGCTTGCGTCCAGCTGGCGTTCGGCCAGAGGCCATCAGCTTGGGAGTAGCTTCATCCTCGGCAAAAATCGAATCGGCGCTCAGGCTACCTTCTCGCTTGAGGGGGGCAGCCTGTCTGCGGACGGTAGGTTTCGCGGCATCGGACTTTCCGCCAAAGATGAAGTTCTTGATTGAGGATAAAGCAGAGGGTTTCGAATTTGTCTCCGGCTTGTTATTGGGGGTGTCGTTGTTCTCTTCGGCTCGACGGATTGGTGTGTATGTGAGGGTGCGGCGAGGGACGTAGGTGATGCCGGTCCGGGCTGAAGGGTGTGTTAAAGACCAATTCGGGTGGAAATCAGGTCAGAATACTTGAGAAGACTTACCTGACCGTATTATTTGCCCGTAGGGATGTAGAGCGCCCATCGTAGCCATGGGGGGACAAGCAACTGGACGACCGGCTGCAGTCTGCTACAGGATCAACAGGAAAAAAGTTGAGTGTTGGCGGTGCACATTTGGCATTACTGGTCTGCCGTAGCTTTTCGTTCCTGCCTGAGGCATGAAAACCGTCAACACCAAATGGAATCCTCGTTCCAATCAACTTTTGCTTTCTTTTATCTTTAATATCTTGACTCCCGAATATTGTCTCTTCTAATAACCCACCGGGCGGGTCCCAGCGTTTGGTCTGGAGAAGCGCCCAAAGCACCTCGTATATGTTTCCCTCGCTTAGATTACCTCATGGGCTCATCCAGCTGCGAGACACGTCAACCCGATTGGGAATTATGCTTTCGCGATGCTTAAGCTCTGCCCACACTTATGATACAATATACGGCTTGCACGATACGATAGGGCGAACGCCCGGGAGAACTGCTCGGGAGAACTACTCGAGTCGGTAGCTAATTGCCTGAAATCCTAGGCAGGGCTCCATCGGTGTACGGGGTTGTGGACCAGATATGGCAGTGCAGAGCACGATACTCCGTCACGGTGGCAGGGCTTGCGAGACTCAGTCTGTGCGCTTGTCTTCGGTTTTTGCTCTCGCAGGGCCCAGAGCTCAGCGCTAGTGTAGGCTGCAGAAAGCAGTAATTATTATCGATGTTGCTGCTCCGGCGCAGAGATATGACGTAGCGAAGCAGAATTTGCAGCAAGAACTCCGTAATTGAGGACGCATCGTCAGATCCTCGGCTGGCGCATCAAGAGATACGAAGCGACAGCCTGAAACTGCAAGGACGAGCACTCCAGAGTTGGAAACGTGTTGTGGCCACCGAACGGGAAACACGCCAGACTATCATCCTCATCTCGAGTCGTGGTCCGTTTCCTGTGCCGAGCTCTCTCTTTCGTCTCTCGTCCATCTCCACCAGCGTCGTCGATCCACTGGTTCAGGTTCTCTCATCCTTCGTCGGCCCTTCGAACTTCTCTCGTCTTTTCACTCTCCCTCCAGCACTCTCTGTACGTCGCTGCCCTTCCCACGCGACTTCCCACCCGCTGTCCGCTGACTGCCCTGCTCTCCTAGGACTGCTCTCTGCTGTCGCTAGAGCGCGTTCTCTAGCTTGTTTGCTGGCCCCTCCCTGTCTCGACTCGCCGTCTGGATCGTCGTGCCTCCGGTGCTTCACCTTTCTTCCGCACGAGCCATCCCGTCGAGCTCTCCCGATCCTGCATCAGCCAAGGAAAGGAGAGAAGCATAGCTTGTGAGACTCTCTATCCGGAGCTATTTTCTCTTCTTTTCTCCCCGCTATTTTGTCATCGCCTTTCTTCTCGCGCATCCTGCTCGTGGCCTGAGAACTTCCCCGTTCAAGCAAAGAGAGACAACGCCCACCGGTCGTGGAGCTGGACAGTCTGGAACTGGGGCAGGAATGGACTCGTTGATGAGGAAACTGTGGACTGTTCTTTGAAGAATCTATTTCTTTTCTTCCCTTGTTTTTTACATCCTCCCTTACGTCAGCACCTTGCTGCCAACTCTTTGCGCCCTTCCTTAGCGTGGTCCATTGCTATCTTCGATAAAAAACCGATTCGATGATGGACATCAATTCTCTCCTTTCGCCCCAGGATGCGAACTCAAATTCCGGGCGCCCAACGCCTGCCACGAGCTCTTCTGGCAATCCCTCCTCCGCTCCTGCGCCCGGGCCAGCTCACAAGCCTCTACGAAAGAGTCGCACCGCTGCGAACCGACCCCCTATGGCATCGTCGCCACTCGCGCAACAAGTCTACGCTCCTCCAACCCGCGTACCTGAACCCTCGCCGCCTTCGTCGATGAGTCCTGCTGTTGGGCCTAGTGTGGGAGGAGGTGGAAGCGGAGGAGGGACACCACCAGCTGCCGACCTGCAGAACTCGCGGCAACCATCAACCCCGGGCATGGACACTCTGGCTGACCTCGCATCTATGCAACATCACCAACCACCGCGGCCGAATGCCGCCATCCTACGACCCGAATCATACGAGAGTCAGCTCTCACCGTCAACAATGTTTCCGAATGTTAATCAGATTTCCCACAACACCCCCACTCCACGCTCGTCCTTCGATATTGCCATGTCAGACGGCCCAAGAGAGAGCGCCCGGAGAAACTATGCCGCCTCATCCCTCCTCCCCGACGCTCGACGGATGGCGACC